AGCTATTTTAAATTTCCTTGGGGATAGTACAAAGAGAGAAATTTAAGCGCGTGCGTGTCACGAGCGGCCACCGACTCCAGTCTAGCCTGCGTAACTGGCGGGATCTAATCCCGCCAGCTAATAATCAGGCTAACTCCATGGAGTCTCGTTTCTTTTTTTGCCAGACATACGTCCCCTGCTCTTCGTGCTTTTTCTTTCATTCTCCTCTTTTATCCACGGTAGCCTGTCGCATTCCATCTCTTCGTCTTATCTCTCTTTCAATTTTTGTTAAAAACGTTGTCGTAGTGGAACATGCGATTTCTTGCCGAGAATGTGGGTTGCCCATACGTTTTCCCGTCAGTATGCGAGGTATATGGTCGATATCTAAAAGAAGGCTTTTTAAATTGTTTGTTCCATGCGGGTGGCAGACGGTAGACGGTAGACGACTGACGAACAACGCAACTACGGCGAAGTCATAACGAACAAATTGACGTTAATTAGTGCTTCAACGGCGCTTCAACGTCTGCTTAGCGGGAGACTAAGGTGTTTGAGGATGAATGGTATGAAACTCGACTTTCATCACCGGGTTGGCTTGGGGACGGTCTCGGGTGACAGAAAGATGCGAAGCCCTTTCTGGGTCCGAAATTTAACAATATTCCCCTGGTAATCCAGGAGTATATTTCCTTTCATATCGAACAACTGTGTCAGATCCATCACAGTGCGACTACTCGAACCGGGACACTTGCAGTTTTTTTGCAACGGACCAATAAAATTAATGGTTGAACCGTGCAACCATTGAAAACTTTAAAACCGTTTGAACTTACCTGACCTCTCAGGAAACACCTCTCAAATTCATGAATATTTCTTTTTTAGTTTTTCACTAGATCCTCTTGGCCTACTTTCCTTTTATTTTATACTGCTGACCCTTTCCTGTCAGCTTCAGGAATTTCTGCGAGACATGTACTTACGGTTTATACTGTACCTGAATACCTTTCCGTACAAATCAAATAAAAACAAATAGTAAACGCATTTTATTCCTAAAGCATCGTGTGGGGCAATGGCCATTTTAACTTATTGTGTAATTGTTTTTCTTTAAATCGGGGTTCAATACTTTTCACCCTCTTTATCACCAAATGGCCACTAAGATTTTTTCGGAAGAACAGCTTAACTACTTCCGCGTTTGTCACGTAGCCACTGACATACTGCCCCAAGCTCTGCGATTTCTGTTCAAGCAGGAATGGGACAATCGTTACAAGACAACGTTTGGGGAATGGAAGGACACACCTCAAAATGGACTAGACTTCAATAACGGTGAGTCCCCAGCTAATCAACGAAGAAATGCCCGACTGTTGGCTACAATGGTAAATGGAGACAGGGCGCAATGGGACTGTACTATGTTATTTTATGCCATCCTGTTCTCTGATTCTATTCATGGACTGAGTCCACTTATCAAAACCAATGTTGATGATCTCAGGAAGTTTCGCAATGAAGACTTCGCTCACATGACAGAAGGGCAGCTCTCAAATACAGATTTTAGCATCACTGTTAGCAAAGTGGAGACAGCATTTCGAAATCTTGGCCTGTCTACCGTTGAAATCCAAACTGTAAGCACACAGAAAGGTTTTCCAACTGACGAGTTGCAAAATTTGATTAAAAATGTTAAGAATCTTACTCAAGACCTTCACGCAAAAGATGCTGAACTTAAAACCAAAGATAGTAAATTGCAGGAAAAAGCTAAAGAGCTTCTGGAGAAACATGCTGAACTTCAGGAGGAAAAAAGCAAATTACAACAAAAGCATGCCGAACTGCAAGAAAACATAGACAGGCTACAAACTAAGGAAGAACAACGCAAGGTCCTTGAAGAGCAGCTACAGCGCGAAGTAGAACCATTTTGTGTCCTTCCACCCAGACCTCCCCATATGATCGCGAGACGCGATTGCGACGTTACTAAAGTAACGCAGAAACTCATAAACCTTAGGAAGGCTAACGAGTACAATTTAAGTTTTTGTTATATTTCAGGCAATCCCGGGAGTGGTAAATCTCAGCTGGCTGGACTAGTTGCCGAGAATTTCTACAAAGAGGCCCGTAAAGACACGAGTGCTCCGTCGTTTGTCATGACTTTAAGTGCTGAAAATGTAGAAACACTTTTAACATCATACCTCTCGCTGGCGAGAAAAGTGAGCTGTCCCGCGTATACTATAACTACTACAGAAAACTCCAAGGATTTAAGTACTGAGCAGAAAATAGCCATTATCAAAGATTTAATTACAACAAAAATTCACCTTTACTCATCTTGGCTCTTAGTGATTGACAATGTCACAAATCTCGCTGAAATGGGTCATTTTTTTCCTAAGCGTGGAAATGAGCAGTGGGGCAAAGGCCAGCTGCTAATCACAACGCAGGATTGCACATGTATTCCTTCAGAGAGTTCCTTCACATCCCACATCTCCTTGAGCAAAGGTATGGAGCTTGCTGATGCTACTTGTTTATTAATGGATCTCTCTGGAATCTCCGGCAACGAAATGGAAGAACAGGTGGCTCATGCTTTGGATTATCAGCCACTTGCTCTAGCCAGCGCAGGGGTGTTTGTGAGAAAGCTGCGAAATACCAATCCAGCATTTGGCTGGAAGGGGTACTTAGAAAAACTAGAAAAAGGGAAACGCGAACTCACTGAAAAGGAACTTGCCAAAGTAAACGGTATCTACCCAAACTCTATGACTGTAGCGACCAGGGTAGCTGTTGAGACGGTAATGGCTTCCGATCAAATAATGAAGCACGCTTTCATCTTTCTCGCTTTTTGTGCACCAGAGCCATTGAGGTTAGACGTGTTGACCACGTATGTTGTAAATGCTGATGAAAGCTTGGATAAAGAGGAGGTAGGCATTCAGATCCAAGGCTCCTCATTGCTGTTGATCGACAATGAGAATAACGTGAACATTCGTTTACACAAAGTGGTACAGGATATTCTGAAGTGTCTAGTTAAAGATCGAATGAAGACTGATGAACATACCCGAGTTTTATCTGTTGCATTGCAATCATGCAAGCAGTTTATTACCAAAGCGGTCCCAAAGACTGAGCAGATAGTAGATTCTTTCCTTGAGAGCAGACACATAGTTCCACACTTAAAAACGCTAGCAGTGGGAATTAACCACATTTTCTTTCATAAAGATACATTTCAGGTTTTCTGTAACACAACTTTGGATGTCTACCAATTTTGCTATAACCTAAGAGTGCTTGGCGGAGTTTGCCGCCTTCATAGCGAGTTCCATTCATCAATTGAGTACTTAAGCGCAGCTTTAAAGATCATTGAAGATGATCAGATAAGGCCACCGCGACCCAATCACTTGTTCGTTGCGAGTCTTTATTGCGAACTAGGTGAACTACATTTTAACTTGAGTGACCATCAGCAAGCCAAGGAATACTTTGAACTTGCCCTTTCCATAGAAGTAAATGAACTTGGAGCCCATCACATTGTAGTTGCGCGAATGTACCATAACATTGGTGCCCTAAAACAAGAGATTGGTGACCATCAGCAGGCCAAGGTGTTTTATGAACGTGCCTTGTCCGTACGACTCAGTAAGCTTGGTCCCGATCATGTCAGCGTCGCAAGTACTTACCAAAGCATGGGTGTCCTACATAGCGAAATGGGTGACCATCAGCAGGCCAAGGATTATTATGAACGTGCGTTGTCCGTACAACTGAGTAAGCTTGGACCCGATCATGTCAACGTCGCAAATACATATCAAAGCATGGGTAACCTACATAAGGCATTGGGTGACCATCAACAGGCCAAAGAGTATTATGAACGTGCCTTGTCCGTACGACTCAGTAAGCTTGGTCCCGATCATGTCAGCGTCGCAAGTACATATAAAAGCATGGGTAACCTACATAAGGCATTGGGTGACCATCAACAGGCCAAAGAGTATTATGAACCTGCCTTGTCGGTACAAACCAATAAGCTCGGACCCGATCATGTCAACGTTGCAGGTACTTACCATAATATGGGTAACCTACATAGCGAAATGGGTGACCATCAGCAGGCCAAGGACTATTATGAACGTGCCTTGTCCGTAAAACTCAGCAAGCTTGGACCCGATCATGTCAACGTCGCAAATACATATCAAAGCATGGGTAACCTACAACAGGCATTGGGTGACCATCAACAGGCCAAAGAGTATTATGAACGTGCCTTGTCCGTACGACTCAGTAAGCTTGGTCCCGATCATGTCAGCGTCGCAAGTACTTACCAAAGCATGGGTGTCCTACATAGCGAAATGGGTGACCATCAGCAGGCCAAGGATTATTATGAACGTGCGTTGTCCGTACAACTGAGTAAGCTTGGACCCGATCATGTCGACGTCGCAAATACATATCAAAGCATGGGTAACCTACATAAGGCATTGGGTGACCATCAACAGGCCAAAGAGTATTATGAACGTGCCTTGTCGGTACAAACCAATAAGCTCGGACCCGATCATGTCAACGTTGCAGGTACTTACCATAATATGGGTAACCTACATAGCGAAATGGGTGACCATCAGCAGGCCAAGGATTATTATGAACGTGCCTTGTCCGTAAACCTCAGCAAGCTTGGACCCGATCATGTCAACGTCGCAAATACATATCAAAGCATGGGTAACCTACAACAGGCATTGGGTGACCATCAACAGGCCAAAGAGTATTATGAACGTGCCTTGTCCGTACAACTGAGTAAGCTTGGACCCGATCATGTCAACGTCGCAAATACATATCAAAGCATGGGTAACCTACATAAGGCATTGGGTGACCATCAACAGGCCAAAGAGTATTATGAACGTGCCTTGTCGGTACAAACCAATAAGCTCGGACCCGATCATGTCAACGTTGCAGGTACTTACCATAATATGGGTAACCTACATAAGGCATTGGGTGACCATCAACAGGCCAAAGAGTATTATGAACGTGCCTTGTTGGTACAAACCAATAAGCTCGGACCCGATCATGTCAACGTTGCAGGTACTTGCCATAGTATGGGTAACCTATATAGCGAAATGGGTGACCATCAGCAGGCCAAGGATTATTATCAACGTGCCTTGTCCTTACGACTCACTAAGCTTGGACCAGATCATGTCAACGTCGCAAACACTTGCCAAAGCATGGGTAACCTACATCAGGTATTAGGTGACCATCAAAAGGCCAAAGAGTATTATGAACGTGCCTTATCCGTCCAAATCAATAAGCTTGGACCCGATCATGTCAGCGTCGCAAATACTTACCATAATATGGGTAAGCTACATCACAAGTTGGGTGACTATGAAAAAGCAAAGGAGTGTTATCAACGCGCTCTTTCCGTAAAACGGAATAAGAGTGGACTTGATCATGTTGACGTCGCGCAATTGTCCCATTTGTTAGCTGCTGTGCAGCGTGTTTTGGATTCCCAGCTGCAGTCGCCTGATTATCATGACCGTACACAGATTAATCAGCCACTAAAGCGTGGACCGGATCAAACTGATTTCGAATTTACTGATCGTAAGAAACGTCGTGAAGATGACTTTTGTTAGTTTTTCGAGTGATATTAGTGATAATCTTTTGAGTAATCTACTGAGTTAGTTACATCGAGGAACTGTTTTTTTCTTTTGTAGAAATGTTCACTTAAGTATACATGATACTTACACGATTGCTACGGTCTGACGTGGTTTGCGTAGAATATGTTTGTTAGAGCAAATTTCCAGTTTTTCGTTTTCTTTGGGTGTCCGCTTCCTTTCGGCAAATCCAAAAACGGATTTTGATCCTAGATTTTCTGGATTTTGCAGTCGAAAGGAACGTGAAATCCGAAATTGGATTTGTAACTTGGTAACCTTTTGCAAACGCGTGCAATCATACATGGCAGCCTGTCAAGAAGTGACGTTTTTTCCACTGTTTACAAATTACACGATTACACCGTGCAGAATTTTGTGGTCGGCAGTTCGAATAGCTACGATGGAACATTTAAGCGATAGAAAACGTTTTCCGTGTTTGCATAGCTTGATATAAACATGAGAGGGGTTGGGGGAATTCGAGACAGTGATGCAAACCCGAGACTTCGTCTCGGGTTTGCATAACTGTCGAGAATTCTCCCAACGCCTCGAGTGTTTATATCAGGCTATGCAAACACAGGAAAAAAGTTTTCTATTGCTTTTATAAAATAAATTTCCCGAGAGAGAACGCAAAACTCTTTGTATGGCACTGATTAAAAGAGAAATTCTTACCAATCGCAAAGTCTTGTCCACGAAGTCTTGAACGCGTAATCAGTTCTTGCTTTGTTTCTCGCTTAAAATGTCAGCTTAAGCGAAAAAAAATTGACACGCCTTCTTTGTAACGATTTTCCAAGTTTCAGCCGACGAAGGAACGGGTAAGTAAAGTAAACTTGTCGAGTTTTGAACTTGAAAACTTTTTCAAATTTGTGCTTGCGTTATTAGCACGAAAAGCAAAACATCTTGACGCCACAACCATAATAATAACAATAATAACTTTATTTCTCTAGCGCTCTTATCCTATGTTCAAGGCGTTGAACATATTTACATACTCTCATGCAAACACTCCTCTCGGCCAATCAGAGCGCGCATACTATCTTAGTTATTTTATAAAAACAGATCAAGAAAGACCCAGTTTGATCCAGTTTCGTAGCTCGGATTTTTTTTTTTATGTAACACCGTGATGGAATGCCTATCGCGTCTACAAGCGAGTTTGTAGAAGGAGAGCAGTTCATTTGTCCCCTTTACTTATTTGTGTTTTTAAGCAATCTTTAGCGACAAACGGTGTTTTCAAATGTTTACGGCAAGTGGCAGCAACAAGCTAGGAAACTCGACGGGAAAACTTCAAATGGAAATACCGCTTGATCATCTGACTAATTTCGGATCCACTGTGAATGGAACAGCGTAGATCACTAATCCGTTAATCTGGATTCGGATTCTTCAGATTTCAAATCCAATGAATCCTTTTTCAAATAGGATTCACCAGATCAAAAATCCGTATTTGGATTTGCCGAAAGGGACGCGAAATCCGTTTTAAGATCTAAAATCCGTTTTTGGATTTACCGAAAGAAACAGACCCTTTATTTTTAGTCTTAGTTTCAAATTATACACAGTGAGTTTATGTGACATTTATTTTTGTATATTACAAATAGAACGCTCATTTTCAGTATAACACACGTCCTTATAAGTCTCAGAGTTAATCTACCCTCATGTCAAATTACAAAATTGTTCTGTGATGTTCAAAGGAAAAACAGAACGCTTGTTTATGAGGGAATAAATATTTTACTTACACTCCTTTTGATAATGATGTAAGAATCTTTTTGTCCGGTTTTATAACAATATTTCGGCTGCAAGTTAATGAGCACAGTGGAATTCAGGTTTTGTTTTTAATTTTCCAAAATTTTACGCACCAAAAGTCGTTTCCCCTACGCTCTCTTGGATTTGTGCAGACACTGTAAAAACATTTTCACCCCGATTTTTCGAAACTCTCCATGCACGTATTTCGAACTTACCCTGCTCTTCTTAAAAAATATTCCATTCGCCTTCTCGTTCTTTAAAAAATCAGACACTAACAAAACCGATTTTAGCCAAATGCAATACCCCCTTTTCAAGGGCTGCGTGAGAATTTTGGGCGAAGCGCGCGAGTTTCATACGCCCGTTCCGGTTTACCCTCGCTCCAGGACTGTCGCTCTCCGCGGTTTTTGAGCTAAGCACAAAATACGGGCTGTTTGCACTCTCACTGATGGATGATAAAGACAGTAAAATGCCATATCTTAGATGAGCCTTGTTATAACTGCGAAACGTGTGGTAATTTTTTCAATTTCTAACAATACTATCTTTTAAAACGATAAAAGTTAACGGTATTACTAAAAAGCCGAAATTTTAACAGTTACTTATGGCTACCAGACCTAAAGTTTACAAACTTGTGAAAGAAACATCTCAGGCCAGATACGACACGAGAAAATTCTCAAACATACCAAAGTTTTAAACAACTGTTGAATGAAGCCAAATATGGCATGAAGAAACATACAAATTGAGGAAGGTGTTTGCCGCCTCGGTGGATTAAACATCCTCCTTGGTGAAATGCACATATCGAAAATTCGACTTTTGAGCGCAAACGGTATCATGTGTAGTAGTAGTTTCTACCCGTCTAGCTTCCCTTCTACAGCAGACATATGAGTGACATGTCTGACATATCCGCAACAAGGATAAAAAGTACAAAAAAATCCACAACGGTTGCTTGTCTGTACCTACCGAAGAATGTTTTCAGGCTTGAGTCGCCAGAAAAAAAGTAACATCCAGCCCAGGCATAAAAAAAAATCAGCTCAGTGGTTTAAGTGTCCGACCTGCCAATGGGATGTCATCGGTTCTTAATATCCAGTCGGTTTTCGTTTTTTCTATCCACCCTCGTGGCCAGACAAATATTTTACCCTCCTGAAGAGTTAGTTACCATATTCAAACTTTGAAACTGGGGCTTTTTTGAGACCGGAGAAGAGTGGGGACGGGGGGGAAGCGGCTCGGAGGCCCCCTCAAAAACCTTTGAAAACAGCTCATGCTACGGTTACCAAAATTACATAGAATAATGTACTCATCAATTTCAACTTATAGGCGTAACGTGATTGACACAATATGACGTCATATTTTCCAATTTATTGATCGAATATAAATTCCCTTTCATGGAACGTCATAAGAAATTGTATGTGAAGTAAACTTGCGAATTCCTATTTGACAATTGGTTCAATGAGTAGACCTTGTTTTCTTGTACTGCTCTCTGTTTTCACAAGAGGTTTGGTTTGCAGGGAGTTTCATCATCTTATCCTGCTGTTATACCCTGTTCTGTTTGTTTAAGTTGTTTACTTGTATGTTCACATTAATGTTGTTTAACTGCGTGCAGGTAAGCTGCGGTCAAACCCCCGCTAAAGACGAGGAAATGACTGTGACACCTGAGTGTAGTCACCCGCGGTTTGATTCACTTTTAGGGAGTAAATATAGTTATTTCTACACCCAAGAAGTACTTGCTGATCAGTAACAACTGGAGATGAAAATACTTCACGAGGTAAAGAGTAAGAACCTAAAAGAATACCAGACTTGAGTTCCAGTATAAACAGGGTTCCCACAGTGGACAACACAAACACTGCCATTTTTGCGTGATTTGTGTGACGCGTTTTACATGTCACATGACATCTTGAGTGAAAGCCTGTCTGATGCTTGAAATTTAGTTGAGTAACGAAAGGACTTGAGTACACTTGTCCATCAGCCATAAAACTCCACTGCATCTTTCCATCAACTGATAAACAGTACACGCGTTTATCATGAGATCCAAACACGATATACCCAGGGGTGTCAGAATCCCATTCTGTTCTAGTATAAGCAGGGGAACAAAAAATAGGGGCGCCAGTTTCAAAGCACCACGTCTCTCTTCCTTGAAAATCAAAACAATAAACAAGCCCATCAACGCATGCGCACACAACGCCACAGGGGATCAATAGAGGTGATGCAAACACTGGTTTGGGACACTGCTGACTCCAAAGGACAGTGTGCTCATCGGCATCAACAGCAACAACACGGCCAGTCAATGTAGCAATAAAAACTAAATGAGGCTCATGACTAATGCAAGGAGAACTGAAGCATGATCCACCACCACAGTGCACTGTACAGACACACTGCTTGCGCTTGATGTCGAGACCGTACAGGTGATGATCATGTGACCCAACCCAAGTCAACCCTGTCTGTGAGTCTGTACAAGGTGAACTTTTTACTGTTGCATCAGTTTGAAATGTCCAATGTGTGTCACCAGTAAAGCGGTTAAATACATAGACTTTGCCGTCGTAACAACCTACAAAAAAACACAAAACAAAAGAAAACATGTTAAAAAGAAAAACAACTTAAGCTCTAAGGAAACGAACAGTACCTTGGGTGCACCTTTCGAAAGTAAAAAAAAATGTCTATAACCACTTTGAAGTAGTCCTGATTTAGCCTAGAATTAGGACGCAAGGCGCAAGAAAATTTGAAATCTTTTTCCTGGCGTGATCTGCATTACTTATGATGCCAAGCCTTCACTTTTTTATACCACATTGTAAATGTAAAACATTGGCAGCAACTTGAAATATTTCTCCTGGCGTGATCTGCATTATCTTTCATGCCACGCACTCATCTTTTTTAGACTGCATTGTAAATGAAAAACATTGGCAGCTATCTTCAAGAAGGTCAGAGGTTTCTTTCCACCCTTTCTGTCTCCAGTTACTTAATTTTACTTTTGCTAGTATTTTATCTGGGGTACGGACTGCAAAACAGCCCGTATTTTCGCCTAGGTTAAAAACGCGCGCACGAGCGGCCAAAGGAAAGGTCTGGGGTGAGGGGGAAGCCACGCGCTTCGAGCGAAAATAGTGTGTTTAAGCTTTACGTACACGGCAAACGTCAAATTCAAGTTGAGAATTTCTCAAAATAGAACATAAGCAGATAAAAACAGCCCAAATCAATTTTTATGGGTATAAAAATTGCGCGAAACTACTTATTTATGGGTAGAAATAATGAACAGTAAACGAAAAGTAAACGGGAAACTTGGTCACGTGGTACAAATTCGAGTTTGCCGTTTGACGTAATCGTGATGTTTAACCTCTCTAATATCACGCCAGCGCTTCGCCGACTGTTTTGAAGTCTATCAGGGGTAGGATACTCGGAACTGACGCTTGGTCTTTAAAGAATGCATTTTTCTAAGGCTCTTTGTTGGAATGCCACTTCTTTCAAATATTCAAAAATGAAAGATATTAGCTCTTCCAAGATTGTGTCAATATTCGCAGTCTCCCTGCGATAACAAAAATACCTCACCTACAATGACATAAGTGCCACATGCAGAAATTGCTGCAGATGATTCTATTCTGTCTCCCACACTTCTCTCCCACAGGACTTCACCGTCACTGAGTCTAATGCACATGAACACTTTACCATGTGACCCAATGAAAACTTCACCCCCGCACCCCCCTGGAGAGTTCACCACAAGTGGGGAGGCATCAATGCATTTGTATAGACATGTGCGCCACTGACAAGTGACAGTGACCTGGCTACCAGGAGCATTCACATCTTCAGGGGAGGGGAGAGTCTGATTTTTATTGGTTGATACATCATCAGATGCAGAGAAATAATGAAGGTGACTTTCATTGGGTGCAAAGGACTCTGTTTGACTGGTGATATCACTAGTTGAAAAGGGTCTTGATAAAGTGCAAAACGTGCAAACAGTCCACTGGTTTCCTCTGCGTATAGAGCAGAAACAAGTTTTCAACTCTGAATTGTTTGTTCCACTTTTGACTGAGTTGCTCTTTCTCTCTGCAGTTGATAACCTCTTCGACTTAACATCCACTTCATCTTTCGGAGAAGCACCATCAACTGAAGATAACAATTTCCTCTTCAATGGAAGTTTCATGGCATCTTTGCCAGAATTTAAATCAGAGAAAATCTCATCATTATCACCTTCTTCTTTATATACCATGGTTGTCCCCTTAATACTGCCCAAATCAATTCCACTTTGGCCATTTACTGCACTCTCCATGTAGCCACAAAGAGCGCCAAATGATTGGCTTAAAATAACATCCAGTAATTCTGGAAAGTTCATAGGGGTCTTTACTTGTTTGGATAGCCAGGATTCAATAAGATCTGCCAATCGCACAGCCTCTAGGGATGTTCCACCGCTGGCAATAAACAGATCATCTTCCTTTACATCCCATGCGCTTAATTTCATGACAGGATCATTCTGGAACAATTCAAGTTTGTCAGAATCTGTTCTTATGGCCTTGGTCACTTGTAAACACTCTTTCCAAGAACTTTGAAGTAATTCTCTGATAGTTTTTATATCTTTGTGAGCTAAGGATTTCTGAACACTCCTTAAGAGCCCATCGCGGTTAGTCTTTCCATGAGCTGTCATTGGCAGTTTAGGCACTAGGTGAACAAAATCAGGTTGAGCATAAACTGGTAACAGGTTATGCAGATTACTTCTTAGTGATGCAAGTTTCTTGCTGTTATACAAAGAAGATTCACTGACCACAAATAAGTGAATTCTTGATTGACTTATCCCACCTGATTTGTCTAAAACCAGAGAACACTCACTGCCAAGAAGTTTTCTGGCAATTTCATGCTCAATCCAGTCTAGGTTTATTCTCTTTCCCATGCGCTTTATTTGTCGGTCTCTGCGTCCACAAAACCAGACACAGTGGTTTTTCACATACGCCCAGTCTCCTGTTTTACGCTTGGTTTCTGCAGTGTGTGATGTTTCATCACCAAGGAGACAAACACGGTCTGGACCACCTGCAATACAGTTACAGTAACACAACATCATATTATTTTGATTCAGTTCAAATCTAATAAACAAGCTCATACATGTACATGTCTTTAGAAGCGTTAAAGGTTTATTTGGGCATTTTCATGATCCCACCACAGACTTGATTCAATATTGAAGATATATGGAATTCAGTGCTATATTATTTTAACTATTATTGAAAAAAGACAAGAGCGTTAGTTAGTCAAAATGTAGCGTGCAAAGGCTGATTAATCCAGCCCACTTTTACAATTTTAAGTGCAGTGTTGCACAATACTTCAAAAATGGCTTCAATCATGTGGAGTTACATATGTATCCAGCTATGGTAATATAGTGTGCTGTGAATTTTGAGAGACTATCCAAAGTAAATCATCTGAGTTATAAAAAAGGGAAAACATAAAAACAGACAGCTACAGTGTACCTTCACTCTCTATTTATGATGAACAACTTGCTAAGGAGACAGACACAAAGTGAGAGTATTATGTCGTACTTGTTAAACTCGCAATTAACATTCATATTTTGATAAGTGATCTCACCAATGTAAATCTGCCCAATGCCTTCTTTGATAAGTTCATTTTTTTCATCTCGGATTTCAATCACAGTGTTAGACAGTGGTAGGCCAAGAGGTACATCACTTACAATCCCAACTGGGAAATCATCTAGACTTTTCTCTCTGCAATTACCATTATCTGCGTCACTTGCTATTTCCCTAAATTCCAACTGATCATTAGGAATATGATAGCAAGAAGCCCAACAGGACACCTCAGTAATGCCGTACAAATTGTACATCAGTGTCTTGCTTCCTGGTGGTCTCCATGCTCTGAGGGTGGAGAGGGTTGGGCAGGATTCTCCTCCAAAGGCAAGCACTCTGAGAGATGAATCGCTAGCAAGGATCTTAGACTGAATCAAGTCCTGACCAATGAAATGCATTAGAGAGGGTGTTGGCTGTTGTTTTAAAGAGAGCAAAAAAGTTAGTTCAGTCTGTAACCCCATGCATGAAATTAAGGAGATTTAATTATGTATTTGCTTTCATTGTCTTCCATCATAAATTACCTCCGATTTCTAGGCAAACTTCACATTATAGTGAGGAAATCACAAAGTGGTGCTGTTCTCCTCGTAGTTGTAAACAATTCTTCAAATTAATGGTAAATCAAATATTACAATTTAAATATCAGGCCACTTAAACACTTTGAAGTGACAATCTTTTCTTCTTTCAAACACAACACACTAGGACTCATATTTTAAAAAGTTCTTACTCTAAAACCTTGGCAAGGCACTAAGTCCCCACCAGCAATTTATTTTGTGTTTTATATTCTCCACCTAGTTCTGTGGATACCACCATTAATTTTGTAGTCTGAGAAAGCAAACAAATTACATTGCTTTTAAAAACACCAAGCTAGATCATGGAGTGTGTGCAGTTTATGCCATTAGAGTCTGTATTATACGCTCAACAAATATAAAGCCAGTACAAATAATATACGCAGAGAAATGCTATCAAGAATATCATAAGAAGATAGTTTGAAATGTCAGAGTGTTACCTGTAAAATGGTCACTCTTTCCTCATCAAAAAGGATTTGACAAAGTTTAGAAGGTGCCATTTTAACCTGCCCAGGAACAATCACAAGTCTGGCTCCAGCGGCAAATGCCATAAACATCTGTACAATAGAGGGATCAAAGGTGTAGGGAGAAGCAAGGTACACTACGTCATCTGAAACCAGTTGAAATATTTCCCTGTGGAACAGGTATGTGTACTTCAGTGTCCACAATGATTGTTACTTCAATCTTTAAGGAATTAATATCGGTGTTCAATCTAGAAATTAGTCAAAGTGGTTGCATATGTCCTGCATGGCACTTGAAATTGGGTCATTTCAAAAAATTAATGGTCTCGGTCAAACTACAGACAATGCAAATAACATCAACATGGAGGCTGGCACTGCAGGTGGTGCAGCTGTAAGAATTGGCCTAATCGTAATCGTAAAGCTGAAACATTTCCCTTTTTTTAATTTAATTACAGACTAATAATATTATGAATAAAAGGTGACAAAAAAGGCAAAAACACTCAACTGCCAATCTCTTTTGGGTACAAAAAAGAACTTAGCTTTTGTTATCACTTCATATTGAAATGAAAACAAAAGATCAAAGTTGACAAAAAAAGCTTGAATCGATCAGCAAATCAAAGTATGCAGAAGTACACTCCAGTCTTTTTTGGAATTACATAGAACGCCTGACACAAACACAACTCATAAGCACGTACAGTCTGACATGATCTGCCTCATTTCAGGGCAGTAAGCACACCTATTTTTTAAATTAACCTTTATTACTGCCTGCTGCTTTGGAAGTACATGTACTTATATAATAATATTATGAGGTAACTTTTTTACGTCATTATGACTCCATGTTAATTTTATTTTGCGCCAGAAAAAATTCTTCCATGTCAATGACACAAAAATGGGGCAACAAACAGGCATGTTTCTTGTGAGTAAATCCACCATATTGCACACCAATTACATGAAAAACACAAGCACAAAACATGCATATAAAAAAATGCATGCAAAAATACATGAAAAAATATGCGCAAATTTTTGGAAACTGAGTGTAAAATCTTCCTGAAATCTGTGAAACGATGAACGACAATCTGTCGCCTTCAAATCATATTTTGAATATCAGTCTTATTATGGGGAAAAATAGAATGAACTTTTCTCTTACCAGGGTAGCTAGGTAAATATTTGTGCAGTTCAATCTTGAGGCTCTTCGTTATACAATTGAAACTAGTCAGAATGATTTGCTGCACTATTTGATTTTTAATGTTTCTGATGTTTTAAAATGTTTCAAGGACACATGATGTATGGCACGTCTGTATTTTATTTTATTTTAAAGAGCATTGTTTCCTTTACCTCTTTGTTCCATTTAGGCTTCTGATTCTTTCAATGTTATTTTTTCACTTGCTGGTTACATTTTTTTCCCCAAATCAAATTTTCCAACAGAAGCGACTCCTTCCGAATCAAGCTTTTGTTATCTCTTTGTGTAATCTGATCCTTTTTTTAGCTGTGCACTTCTCTTTGCTGAAGCTTTTAATTTACAAGTTTCTTTTTGTTCAAACTTTACATATTAAAATGACCAAAAAATTAAATGTAAATCAGCCACTATGCACGCCATTATTTTGCCGGTACATGCATGTAAATGCCGCAATTCCCCTGGTCTGTACTGTAGAGCTCAGAATCTTTTTCAGAGTTCTTTTCTTCACATATACCATTCTATTTGTCAATAAGTTTTGACTGGAAAAAGATGTTGACCGACATGAGCAGTCACCACCTTTCTATACTATTCAGCCATTTACCAGGCTCAAAGAACAACGAATACACACCAGTACTAACAGTAAACCTCAGGCAAAATGTCCATATGCAGAAGCCACTGCTTTCCTTCCTTAGTGTCGAGTTTGCCTCCAACTAGTCAGAACCGCAAGAAATAGGCCATTTGCACGCATGACATCATTTTACTACTATGACCAGAATCCTTCAGGGTTTTACTTTCTTGTGCAAATTAGGGCTTTTGTTATTCAAACCTCACTGGGATTACAAAATTTTAAATATGAAGGAAAAAGGAAAAGGATTCTGGTCGTAGCAGTAAAATGACGCCATCGCGCAAATGACCTATTGGTTCATCTCATGAGTAATTAATGAGCCCCATAAAAAGTTACCCCCATAAAATGTTCAGAGAGAACTAAACAATCCATCCATCAACCCTTTCTAATTTTAAATACTGTACTCATCTTCTGCCAAAGATCACTTTGATTTCAACCTTCCAGCTGAATTGTTCCACACTTGATATACTTTGCCAATCTTTTGCAGTGTGATAGAGTTCAGTATTTCAAACTGACCCAGTTTGACCTTTTTTACCTCCCAAGCAACTTACATGTATTTGTAAGAAACCTGTAAGGAACTGCTATTTTTATACAGCTTTTTTAAGGTCTTAGGTCCACTATGTTGCAAGCTCTGAAAGTAGTGGATGAATTTGTAGGGGGCTAATTCACAAAGGGATGAATTTACGGATATTTCCTGGTACCATTACAGCTAAATCCAAAGGCTTATCTGGCAATAAACCCACCTTAAATCCGTTACATTTGGAACAATGCATCTGTGGGGGACTTTCACAGCTTTGGGTTCACCCGTGGTACCAGATGTCTGCATAACATAAGCAAGATCCAGCGACCTAGCACTCACTGCAGAAAAGTTAACATCTAACAGTTTTCTCACCAGCACAAGTCCATTCATACCAAGAGCTACATTTTCCTCAACTTCAAACTGGTAGTCTTTTGCTAAACTATGTTTACTTTGACGCAAGCACTCTTGGAATGACTCCAGTAGCTCCTTTGCAACAAGCACGAGCCTAACGTTTAAATTCGACAAGAAATTACACATCGTTTCTGGGAGCCATTGAAGATCCACAGGCGCGAAACAACCTTTGTTTTTGAGAACTCCAAGAATAGACACAACACAGCCGATCGATTGTTTGGAATACAATGCCACTGTTTCATGCTTTTCACATACAGTCTTCAGAAATTCTGCTACCTTGCAAGCTTTTTCGTTGACTTCTCGGTATGTTAACTCTTCTTTTGTTGAGCCAGAGTTAAATGTAATAGCGATATTGTTGAAGTTACTACGAGCGGAATTCTCGAAAATGGAGTGGAGTGTCTCCATCTTCTACGCAATGTGCCGCAGCCCGCCGCAGCCCTTCCTTCACTAGTAACGAATATTTTTCTTATTACAAAAAAAAGATACTCGTAAAGCTAAAATTTGTCATCTCAAACATTTAAATTCAGACGGTTTTGCACAAAAGACAGTAAAATACCGGGTAAAGGTCGGCGGCCAGATTTCAAAGAGACAGCCAAAATGTCCGCCATCATGGAGCCTGCACTACAAAAGACCAGCTGACTTTTTCAAAAAGGTACACTCTTGGGCATTTCATAGAATCGAAATCCACTGTCCAATGAAATGTTTACAACTCTACTTTTTCAGACTTCTTCAAATTTACAGAGGGAACATCTTTCAGCAAAATGAACACGTTTCTATCACGGTTAAACACCGTATTTGCTTTTACCCTTACAGTTCTCGCGGCCTTGACGTTTTTATGTTTCCTCTCGACGCTTTTTAATGCACATCAGGCGCCACTGCATCTTCAGACAAAGAAAGTTTTGGTGTAAGTAACTCCTCGAGGACAATGACGCGAAAATAATTTCTTGTTCTAACACGTGCGTCTGTTTTTCTCTCTTATCAGGAAAAACGTTCAGGACTTTAGCGTTTCAAAGGATAAAAATGATTTGGGCTTCATTACTTTCGATCTAGAAGGAGATATCCTTTTTGAAAAGGAATGTAATTAAGGACTTCTGTTACTTGGCCTTTCCATTTTATACCCGCATCCCAGGCATTGAGACAAAGTAAATTATAAATATTAGCCCTTTGGAAAAAGGAACAAAGACTGCTGACACATTTTTCCAATCAGAAAAAGAGAGATGTTTTTGAGATATCAGAGGTACCAACATACATGATGCTACCCCTAAGAAATGACATATTGAACCCCCCTCCGTCTACTATTTCTCTGTACCTCATGAATGGGGGGGGTATTGGACGTCACATGGAATGGCCCAATATTTGTAGGCAATTCTCCCTCTTGTACAAAGGCATTGTAGCTTTAATTAAATTAAATTTTATTTTAAAATAACAATAATCAAAATCAGTGCCAACACAAGTCATGGCATTTTTATTCAGATGGCCCCTTGGTGTGCATTGAATGGCATAATGTTTTATTGCATCAATGACATGATGTGAAGGTCCATTTTTAAAAAGACTTTATTTGATAAGACCCAGTAGTTTTCATTATGGCCCTGACCCTCAATATTATAAGTTCATAACAATGCATCATTGGGGAACGTCTGATGAAAATTTGCTTAGTGTGGCAAAATTCTTCCTACAGTCAGTCATGATGACTGGAAAGATTATGCTGTTATTATTATAATAATTATTATTTGAATCTGAATATTAATGTTTTGCATTAGCACTTGCATTACTTAACCAATAACTGGCTGTACTGTCCCTTTATTATTGGATTCAAGCGTATACCGTAAATCCTCCACTAAGGGCCCCCCCTCTCAAACAAGCCCCCTCTCCCTAATAAGCTCCCCCTTTTCAGGGGAAGAAAGTTAATAAGTTTCCGCTCTCTTATAAGCCCCCCCCCCCCTCCCTTCCCTCCCTCTTATTATTCTTCACAATAAATGATAGTCTTCTTGTACTTGAGCTTTTCCACCTTGTATTTTGGTTCATTATGGAGAACTGATACCATCATCTTTGCTTAATAAAATACCCCTGCTCAAATAAGTCCCCCATCTCCTCCCCCCCCACCCCCAAATGTGTTTGAAATAAATAAGCCCTCCACCCTGGGGGGGGGGGGGGCGCTTAATAGATGATTTACAGCAAATGTATCCTCATACTCATTCTCCAGACTGATGTCCCTACATGTAGTTGAGAGCAATTGAAAAACGATCAAAGCATTTCCCTTGTTGAACACTTTATTAACCTTTTATCTCAATGATGTATTGATGTTGTTGCAAGAAAATTTGTTTTGGTCTTATCTCCCCTCCCCTACCACTAGAAACCTACTGAGGGTCCCTTAAAAAGTCATCATGTAAACTTTTCATAGCATAGTGGGACAAAAGTTCTTTGTTTTAGGGTTTGTGTTTTCTACGTGTAAGTATACAAGTGTTTTCCTTAACCTAATGAAACATATGAAAGGAATTTTCAACTGGAATGTTAAGCAGCTTTTCTTGTATTTAACAGCAGAGTACTCAACCAAGAATAATGTATGTGTGTTTCTTCCTCTATTTCAAATAAAATTGACGAAACTTCTCAATCGTCAATTTGTAAGGAGAGAAATTTCTTATAAGAATTCTGTTTATTTTGCCCCTTTGTGCAAGTCAATGTAATGCAAGTTTTGATTTTCTTTTTGGGGTGGACCTCTTCAATTAATAGCACCAATGGAGAGATTTAAGCATGGTGGTTGTGTCATGTTTTGAGAACATGACAATAATTATTAATACATACAAAATGTATCAGAAAAGGGTCATCAATGGATTAAATGTTAACAAAAATGTATAAATTTTATGATAATGAACTGAAATTTTTCATAATCAATTATCACAAATTGTTTTTATGTTTTCAGTCAATTATCAATAAAAAGATCGCCACACCACTAACATTTTTCTGCTTAAAAGTCTTGCTGTAAACTCATTTAGGATATAAAATATAATTTTTGTCTCATGAAGACACTGTGGAATTATTTTTCAAGTGCCTTCAGGTGGTATAAAGATGTTAATTTTATTGATTTTCTTTTAATCAGAAATTTAATCAAGTGGTGATATGGGACAAGATCATCTTACGTGGAGACAATGCTCTTCTGAACTATCATGGCATGAATACAAAGTACTACTTCTTTGACGATGGTCTTGGACTCAAGTGAGTTTACCAAACAACATTATTATGAATGCCTTGTCATAGTCAAACCAGTGAAATGTGCATGGACATTGATTTTTCTTTTCTTGTCTCTTTTTTTTTTTTCAGGGGAAACAAGAATGTCAGTCTGTACTTATCCTGGAATGTAATTCCTAATGCTGGAGTCCTTCCCTTGATAAGCCAACCGAACAAGTTCTACTTTGACTTCCCTAACGAATACACTGTTAACAGAGGAGGATTTGATCATTGATGTTTTTGCCAAAGTCAAAGTTTGGAAAATGTTCACCTTTAAGATTCATTTTAAAACAAGTCACATGCAGTATCATGCAAAAATGCCATAGACCTTTCTCTTGAAACATCATGCTGCATTAAAATTATTTCATCCATAGACATACATGTAAACAAAGAGGATTTCAGCTACATTCCAAGTGTTAAAACTACAGCATACCTGCATAACTGTAGGCTTATATCTGAATATTTTTTTCATAGAGAGAGAAAAAATGAAGCTTTTTCTAGCCCTTGTTTGCTGTTTGATTTATTATTTTGCCTCTGTCACCTTGTGATCATCTTATGTTTAAAATAAATTTATTAATAATCTTACATCATGTTTTTCAAATTCATCCAAGTCAGTAATATCATAAAACATATAAGACACACTGTTTCATCACAAGATCAAACAATTAGAGGGGAGTTGATAATATGACGTGCACAGTTGAGTGTTTTTGACCAAAGGGGCCCCACACAATCTGTGAGTAACCAGTTGTTATTTAATTTATAATAATTTGCTGGATTTACTGTTTGCTTCATCTGTAGTGGTATGTTGCTTTAAAATTAATATGTATATACAGGGTGCAAAGAAAATCATTTTTATGGCCTGCCATTCGTGCAAGCTGGAGCTAGCATTTACTATCCCAGACGTCATTTCAACTAGCCCCCGACGCTTTTTGACGAGCAGAATTGATTTCATAATAGTTCCTCTGTTATTCAAATTGCTCACAAAACATCACTTACCTGTCGGGCAAGTTATTAAACGACAAAATTCACTACCCCGATAGCAAAATCCACTAGCCCGGGCTATTGGACACTACTAAATTTCTTTGCACGCTGATATAAATCAATGTTAAATTAATGTTGTACTACCTTACCTGTGGTATACTGTTGTCCTTTTGCCTCAAACAACGTACCACAGGTAAGGTAATACAATGTTTATTTGACATTGATTTATATACATATTTAGCGATATATTACGATACTAAGATGTAGCAAACGGTAAATCCAGTACATTAACTGTAAAATAACAATCGGTTACACACACAGATTGTGTGGGCTCCCTGTATTCTGACAAATGTTGTAGTGTGATCAATGAATTCAAAATTCATTGATTTTCTTCTCAAGCAAAGTGATTTTAGAAAGAAACATTAAGGATGCAAAAGTGAGGAGTTTTTCCTCTGATTTCCAAACACTTGTCAAACATTTTTTTGTATAATTTATGAATTGTGATTGGAGATTGTGATTGATTAGAGTTGATTAGAGTTGCAAGGGATGCTGATAATTTTGTTGTGGCTGCCCTTCATACAACATGTTCACATGAAAACTGTCCCAGGAGAAGCTGTGTAATAACCATACAGTTTAGGTGTAGTTTTTGCTGCAAGTTATTTGTGAAATCTATCAAAACTGAAAATAAAACCCTAGTGAATGATTATCATGTTCCTTATTGTTTTTATTGAATCTTTCTCTCTAGGGCGAGGTTATCTTGGCATTAGAACTTATAACTTTTGCCTTTGTTTCGCCCCATGTAAGGGAATCCAGGAAAAAGTTTTGCTTGTAAAATCCGGAATCCTGGCTTTGAAATCTGGAATACAGCTCAAGGAATCCGAATCCAAAGTCCGCTGACACAGACTAGAATCCAGTACCTGGAATCCAGAATCCAGGACTGTCTTGGATTCCCTTACATGGGGCAATTTGGTCTTAATAGCCCGCAGGCAGGTTTTCCATCAATCTTAATAGGGACTTTAAGATCCAACGACGCGACGGCAATGAGAACGTCGCTTAAAAAACTCTGTTAAAAAACCCGATAAAGGATATCCCATAAGACTTGTACCTCTAAGACTCCCTCCTCCTCCACAGAGGCCTCCATTATTGCTATTTTTATTGTGATACCCAGCGCGAGCCTCTGCAGAGGAGAGAGTCTCTAAAATGATTGTTGGATGTATACCGTGACTTTCCAAAGCCCAGAGAACAAACTATGAAATTAATCGAACTATTACATGAACCCAGCTTCAGAATTTGGCGACCTAATGTATCGGTCAAATCGAAGCTTCAACATGCCCCCCCCCCCCCGGGCAACCCCCCGGGCATTTGACTTTTTTGAAAATCATTGTTCAAATTCCCCACTACCCGGGCCAAAATGCTGTTCAAATACCCCACACTAGGGTCCATTCAGGTGACCAAATGCCCCCACCCTGGGGACATTTCACAGGCACAAAAATGACAGAGGAACGGCGGAAACGCCCTCAGTTGTCGAACAAAATCTTTACAAATATAACAAAAACTGAGAAACACTGTTAGCGTATTTCCTACGAACAAAATTCTCGTGCAAAGCGGCGGAAATCGCAGCTACAAGGTCACTGAATGCTCAGCTTTTCTTCGTCGTGCAACATACAAAGCGTTCTATAAAAAAAAAAAAAGATTCCACCTATTGAGATTACTACATCATAACCATTTCACTGACATGCATCATCGCTCACCTTATTAATTAACATACTTGCAGAAGGTCAAAGTGGTTGACCTGAACTTTTTATTTTATTTTATTTTATGTTGTTGTATTGAATCGCTGGTATAGGTATTGTATTTCAATGTAAACACAACAATAAAATACATTCATACATTCAAAGCCTGAATCCAATTAACAATTTTAAAATTTAAATACTTCAAATACGGCACAAAGCTTGCTTAAGCCCTTTCCTCGTAACCAATTGGCCACAAAGGCACAATCTTTTCCACGAAAATCCTCTAACACCGCGTTCCCCATGATAGCTCACCACGCCAAAGATTTTACATGAAATCGAGGGTGCAGTTCAAATTCCCCACCCCTAAGGCATGGGGATCAAATTCCCCACCCCCTGGAAGACTCTGATCATCAAATTCCCTCCTCCACGGCAAAGGTGTCAAATGCCCGGGGTATGCCCGGGGGGGCATGTTGAAGCTTCGATTTGACCGATACATAAGGAGGACATATATGCAGACTATGCAGGTATGTATTAATTCAGCGTCATAAACTCTTCTCTTAATTGCTCGCATGAAAGGACACGCTTTTGTTTTGTTTAATATAAGACTATCCAAAAATGATATCCCCAAATGTGATAGCGTGAATTATGGTGATAGCCCATTATTTGGACACTAAAGCGACGTGAAGTTTCAAACATGAAAAACTCCTGGTTTCCAGACAGCAAAATATAACTCTTTTTTTTGGAACCGGGCAATTTGTCAAACCTACTGCCGATTATTGAAACCATGCAGAGATGATTTCGCTTCACTCAGCAGGCAAAAACGTAAATTTTACAGTCCCCTCTCTCTCTTTTGCCCACATGTCCGTACGTACTTACTCAGAGCGTGGACAGCTCTCTGTTTTCCTAGCAATTTACAAGAGAAGAGACTTAATACTTGGATCGAATCGCCGCATCTCACTTCCCACCACACCATGAAAAGAATTCAGTGCCTAATTTCAAACCACTTGATCTCTTTATTGTGGTCTACATACCCTTGAAGAACTTAGTTTATGACAACATAGAAATTTAAGTGGAATGGTTATGAAACCAGTTCGACTCTTTATATGTTTTTGTTAGTTTTTTTGGACCTGACCGTGCACAACGTTCAATAATATTCTTATGATTTTGAACTCACTGTCCAATAGAAACATCCCTTTAATTCATTCAGTCATAATTTGTGAGCAAAAAACAAGGGATTGGGCATGGTCAGAGAGCTTCCAACATAAACTACGAGGGTTGTCCAATACTGTCGACTAGACTCCAGTCGTATCCCCTTGCTTTCAGCCATTAAACTTCAGCACTAGCTACTAACTATCGTCCAATCACGCAATCTGAGCCTCGTATTATGTGAAAAGAGAAATAAACTTCAACAGAGGAAATTACCAGAGCTTACCAGCGGCGCAGCTGTTTCTTTAGTTATAGAAACTTACTATTATTGTCATCAATCACGGTCGGGTACTAGAACTTAATTTCAATTCTGCAGCGTTACGATGCTTTGTCCCACGAACTTATCTTCGCCTTCAGGCTAAAATACATTACCCTCTCCCCCTACGTCTGTTCACAAGCAAAAAATACATACAGTGAAGTTCAAGCCACGCCCTACCCTTACTAGTATCTAAGTAATGTTAATTAATTAAAAGGAGTTCTTCACTCTGAAATTCGAAGGGCATTGGTCTCCACAGTGCTAAGATAGGATTTTCAGAGTATGTCGCTGTGAGGTTTAAAGTTCTTATTCAACTGAAAATACATTTTCTGTTTTTCCTTCTCATTTATCCAGTATATGGATGTCTAATTTAACCATAATTTTAAAAGGTGCTGTACTTTTGGATTAAAGTGACTAAAATAATCAGAGACAATTTCTTTGTTGCTTAACCGATTTTGCTTTTCAGAAACCAGTTGTTCAGTAAAGGCAGCTAGTACTTTCCACCGTTTATATCATCATTCGCTTGATATGGGTTAATAAGGCCAATGTCGTGGCAAATTAGTTCCCAATATTATAAAAAAAATGTTAGTTTCGTGGATGTTTTTGAAAGGTTTCGTTTATAATGGCACCCATGGACTTAATGTCACGCCAGCTGGAAGCCACGTTAATTTAAGGTAAACTTAAACAATAAGCCAAGAAGGTACAAAAATGAGATGGAAGCTTATTTCACGGGACTTTTCGCGTTACGAATCTCAATTGCTTATATTCAGGAGGGCTTGGGGAACGGGCGGTACCAGATGGAGAGGTAGCCTGCGTGCAGACGATAACTAAACTCTGATTAGTACCGTCTGCGAAGCAGCGCAGAGATCCTTGTTCTGAACCCCCAAAGGACTCAACGAATTACCGGAAGTGCGTTTCGAATTTCCCTTCAACCTGATTGGCGATCACGATAAACAAAACAAAGGTCTTTTTTAACTGGCCAATCGTGGCGCGTACTCAAATCTGGGTACACAGCTGGAAGTCCAGAACAAGGATTTCGGCGCTGTTTCGCAGACGGAGTTAACCAGAGTAATTTCGTCTGCGCGCAGGCTAATGGAGAGGATGAACAAATAAACTTCAGACGTAGTTAACCGATTAAAATACTTATTATATCCACTTTGAAATCACTCGCTATCCGTGCAATCTGATTGGCTCTCAGCAGTGTGATTTATTCCTAAATCGCACCATTTTTTGATCTAAATCGCATCTGTTCCAAATCACGTCATTCATGTTCTAAATCGCATCATTTCTGTTTTAAATCGCACCATTTTTGTTCTATATCGCATCATTTCTGTTTTGAATACAAAGTGAGAGGTAAAAGCCTTTTTGTTTCGGCTTTTTAACAAACCGGCTACTCGACCAATAAAATATTAGTACTGGCTAAATTCTGCGATTTCAAAATGGATGTAATAAAGTGGTAATTGAACTTCGTGTCGTGCAATTTTGGTCTGAAATCATACTTGTGATTTCAAATCAAACTCGCACTGCGCGCTCGTTCGATTTTGAAGTCACGCGTATGATTTCAGACCAAATTGCACTCCACTCAGTTCAATTACCATTATATATCGGAAATCAATCGACGTCATCGATATTTAATCCACCAATTAATATCGATTGATATCGGAATTAAATCGATAGAAATTAAAGCCACAGAAAAAAATAATTTATCGAACAAAATTGATAAAAATCGATAGGAATTGATAGTAATCGATAACAATCGGAAAAAATCATTATCGATTTCTATCGGAAATCGATATTCACGGATGATTGATATCAACACTATCGATTTTTATCAATTATCGGTTTATCGATTAAGTACGTCTGGTAAACTTCAATTTATCAACTGCGGATCAAATAAATCACGATAAAGATCCCTTTCACGCAAAGTTCATATATGATTCTGTTTTGCTTGTTTAAAATAAAAACTGGTATCCGTTATAGACAACAGGGGATCTAGGCTGTAGATAGACAGTACAGTGCAACATCATCGTATTACACATTCTTTATGGGTAAATATACATGTACAGTGCTACTGAAGAGAGCTCTAAAAAGAGATTCAAGAAAGAAATCCAGACTTCACTTCGTACAATATTAAAAACGAAATAGGTAAATAACAATAAAAAGCTAATATACTGCCAAAAGGGGTATCGCTTGTATGGTCACAATACTATTATACAGAATTTTGGTAACTGACGTTCAGACTAGAACTATATCACGTAAGGCCAGTCTACACACGCTGAATGACGAGTATTTCCCATAATCAACGTTTAAATTTGCACTTTTTCGAGCCCTCTGTCTGCATCTTCACCTTACACTTTAAGTTTATTTTACCACTAATGAGTGCCTGAGGGGGTTATTTACAATTTCCTCATTTAGACCAGGCGGTTATTTCAGGTTATTTGGTGCCCGGCAGACAATCGAGAGAAAACGTATCCGCTTTTCTCAAAAACGATCTTTTTTTCTTCGTTTTCAAGGAAAGAAAACCTCGGCCTCTAGGTGTGATTTTAAATTATGTTTGTTTGCCGATATGTACCCGTTTTTGTTTTAATTTTTTTTCCACAGATTAGCCGCAGTCAATCTTGAATACCCTCCGCCCACCAACCTCCCCCCTCCCCACCCCCACTCACCCTCGGCAAAGAGATTATCTTTTAACCCCTCCGAAAGGATAAACTGGTGGATGAAGATGACCCACTTCAAGGTCTAGCCTGTCGACCTTTGATGGCTCAACAAGTTCGACTTTCGAGACCGGCTACCAGCACCAGTCTTATCATATTACGCCACGACTAGCATAAATAATTATTTAGAAAGCAAAACTTCCCTGACAAAAGGTTTTTTTCATACGTAAAAAAAGACGTCCAAGGTATAATTAGCAATGTTAAATTTGAGTGGGGTCTTTTCGGGTCCGCGGTCTTGTTAGCGCGGGCTCATTTCCCTGAACAGCGGCTGGTAATCGAGCCTAAAATTTCGGTGGTATGCAACTCTTACAACGCCACACAGGATTGGCTAAGAGAACAGTAAAAAATAACAATGAAAATGGACCCTAGCTCTGAACCATTCGAGCTCAGTGCTATTAAAGATACAATGAAATTGAAGAGCTGCATGCTATCGCTTGGGAGGACTACGATTAATTGACGTTGATAAAGAGATCCATTTTCATTTAGCCTCTTTCAGGTTCCAAGATACCGTAAAATTCCGAAAATAAGCCCCGGGGCTTATATTTTTTAAAGGCCCTTTTTGAGGAGCTTATTTTTGGAGGGGCTTATATTCGGAGGGGCTTATCTACGGAGGGAAATTTGCGTCTCAAAATCGATTGGGCTAGCCTTATAGTTGGACGTAAATTTACCGCTTTTGCTTTGTGTTTTACCTTGTATTTGAGGGCAATTTTCCAATTTCAAGCCCCCAGGGGGCTCATATTTGGAGGGGTGATTTAACGGAGGGTTTTTTACGTTACCGGTCTGGGGGGCTTATATTTGGAAGGGGTTATACATGGAGGGGCTTATTTTCGGGATTTTACGGTAGTAATGTAGCTTGATGCACAATGCTAAGATCGCAAAAAACGCGCTGAGGCTGTGGAGAGAGGAGGCGGCGCTCCCTCTTTTCCCGCCACAGCCCTTTTCCAGATCTCGCGCGTCATATTTTCGTTTGACCTTTTTTTTGTCTCGACGCCCCCACTATCTGAGAGCCTGGCACTAATTTTCATTAGTCCACGCGAGCATAAGGGGTGATTTCAAAACTCCCCACCTGGGAAATCGTTTTCACCACTTCCACCAGATATGAGAGGATGGAAGCCTGGCAAAACCGGGCAAAAAGTTTCCATTCAGAATCAAACAATGAAAGGCGTATAGACGGGCCCCGATTCTGGCAGTGAAAGACTTCTCGAATTTCAGCTTATTTTCATCGTTTCATTTTATCCCCTCGCTTCATAGAAGAGTATGTAACCAGATTCAGAAGATTTCTGGATTTCTGACGTCAAGCCATAGAATTCTTCTATCGCTTGCGCTTCTATTTTCTGCAAAATAGACACGAGAAAAACTAATATCAGCTTTGTAGGCAACCGCAAGTGCGTCTACAGCCTAGGTACATGTAGCATAGAACCCCCTTTGCAGACTTTCTTAGGCGACGAACTCTACCTATACAGTATAGGAGGCTACGCAACTAACGCGATAGCTATAATTATTAGCCGTTTTAGTTATGAAACAAACTTTAAGCTACTACCGACTGATACGTTTCTGCACTAACGGAGGGTAGATGCCCCCACTTTTTTTTTTCCAGGGGAGTTTCGCTCCATCCCCCACTGAGAGACTCTTCGTTGGTCACACTGAAAGTTACTCTCCGTCAACGTTTGAGTTCACTCAAGGGAGTATTCATTTCCCTTTGTTATTCCTTTACCCATAAATATTTACTTGTTGCAACAACTATTACAATACTTCTTACCTCTACAATATCGTCATCAAAAAGTAGCCAAAGGCCGTGACTTTTTACAATTGTTATATAATGACCTCTGTTGGGTCCACTGCAAAAAGATCAAGAACAAAATTTATAAACTGTTATCTTATTTCTGCTGAAGGTAACCACAGTTGTTTTATGATTTTGCACGGCAACGTGCTTCCGTAGGTTTTAAACTTTTTCACGCCCAGAAGTGGCTTAAGTTAAAATTAGAAACAAAAAACAGTTGTAAAGTTTCATTTGGGAATGTGAGTCTCTTGATAAAATAAAACAACAAAACAGAGGTGAAGATATGAAATTTCCTTCGCCAAAAAAAATAAATAAACAAACAGAAAAACTACTCGTGGGGATAATGCGCGTAAAATGTAAACGGAACAACTTTTATTTCATGGCTTTCATTTCTCATTCTGTGATTAGCCAGTATTGGGTCCATAACTTCCCATACGAACCTTCCCTTTTCCTTTAACACTACCACTACAAGTGCGTCAACCTCGAAAAAAACGAAGGCGTCATGTGGTTCATTAATTGCACTTTTCATGTTTGCTTCCTCCGAAAAATAATAAGTTCTTATCGCTCGCCAGGCGCCTATTTCTTGACCCACAGAAGAAAATCACCACATAATCATTCTTTAAAATCAAAATTACGGATCACTTCGTCCTTCCCCTTAACTTTCTACAATTCTTGCGACTTTCGTCGTACGTTTAAGGTTTTTGCGACTTTGTAGCTCAAAATGAGTCACGAATGAATTGCGATTTCGTCGCTCATAAGGACTCCCTCAGTTGTTGAGAGGAGAAAATGACTCGAAGCAGTCAGATGAATTTCAGGCTACCAATTTATGGCCCACCGATCCGATCTCAAAAAAGGCTAGTACGAGGTACTTATCGTTAAAAAACTGCCGTGTATGTTTGACCACAGTTATTTGTTGAATGAATACATACCTGCCACAATGGATCACAACAGCAACCAAATCATAAAGCTTCTCGTGATTAATAGCATCGTCAGACTACAATTAACACAATTAAAAAGTCAGAGAAACTAACTAACTATTGCGAAAAAATAAACAAACAAATAAACAGTTAAACTGTTCTACAAATGCAACACTATGTTTATAGTTGACAGAAATAGCTGTTTGAAGGTAAGCTGTGAAAGCCGTGCTAATGAACAAATTACTGTCCGGATTGGAGCATTTTGACAGTGACTAAGAGGAACAAAGTCATTGGAAAGACTGTATCTAACTTACGTTGGAGAAACAGGATTATATTGAGAGACAAGTCACAATTAAAGATCCAAAACACTTAGGAGTCTTACGACGCAGCGGATTGACCTTCACTCGTACAGGAATAGTAATACTGTAATTGCTGTTCAGGTATTCCTGAACAGTCTTTATCAATGAATTTTCCGTTATTAAAAATAAGACTTGTGATTTGTTTCTTGAACAGTGATGTCTCCAGATCAATATCACAAACGTCAGTGGCATCATTGTTAAAGGAATCTAATTCTGTTCTTCAAAAAAAAAAAAACTCTCAAAGAAAAATCAACAAGAAAAGGGAAGACTTTGATATATCAACTAATCTTTTTCTTTTTCCTTCTTTTTTTTTGCCTTTACTGCGAAGAGAAGGCCTATCTAGTCTAACAACGCTTCAGAAGCAGGATCATCCACCATGTATGCCTCGGGGCAAGAGAAACGCCGTTTTATTTCAAGCACTCTTCTCCAGTTTCACAATTGGAACTAAATTCATTAGTACTATTTCACAATTCATATAATCAATCGAGCACACCCCTATAGAATACCTAGCACTTCACACAATGTGAAAAGTATGCAATTAATACGATACATAAATAAATTGTATGTACTAACAAGGGACAATTTGACAATTTAATGCCAGTAATCTATGATACTTACTGTGTTAAACAGTCTGAGTTCAAAAGGAAACACGACACGGTAGGAGAGCTTTGCATATCTTTGTAATTGCTCCATGTATTTGAACCTCTTTAAATGAAGTGCTAGGATCTTTGGAAGCTTCTTAACTTTCATCCTGACAAAGAAGAAAAACCAAACAAAAAGCATCAAAAAGATCTCCCTAATGCCACTAAAATAAGTAAAGAATACATTACATTCATCAAGCACTCTACCAAATGAGCTAGTCCTGCCATGGTGAAGCAAATGCAGTGTGTGTGTAGTAGTATTCCCCCTGGACATGGTGATACTGTAGTCCATTGCTGAGTTTCCCAAGCAGTACAAAATTAATGTAAGCAGCCAGGACACATCAATAAAGTTGGACAAATAGATTCACTGTTGTCTAGGGAAACAACAATATTTCAATGCTTGGACCCTGACTGATGCTGTTGACCTATACAATGTAAGTCTGGCATGTTTATAAAACCAGCTGTACCACCATGCCTAGACAAAACTGGTCATACTTAAAATGCATGTTTCTTGAAGTCAACATACTATACATTGTGAACAGGCTCATTCGTACTTAACTGGAACAAAATCAATGCGGTATAAAAGAATGTACCCTGGCAAACTTGAGATGGACAAAATATTATTCTGTTGAGACAAAATACCTTTTTTGAGCTTCTTGCTTACTGCAGCATGTTTCACAGAAGTACTTGTGTTCACTACAAAGTGTCTCAGTTGATGAGAATCCTCTGTTAAGTGACAAACAGAGAAAATAATATTAGTACATGTATGTCTTTATCGTATTTACCAGTTACATTGATGTTTTCTGAAGCTTGTTACAAGTCTTGACTGCAAGGCATTTCACATCCATTAACAGTAATATACCTGCCTTTGCTTTGACAATTTAGTAAAACTCACTTGAGACAATGTGTTATTGATGTGTTTTGCTCAACATCCACTGAAAGATCAAGAAATGACTCATCCTTGCTGCTAACCTAGAAAAAAATAAAGAACAAAAAAATGTGTATTTAGCAAACTTGTACAACACAGGCTGTATTCTAGCAGCATATGGAACTGTGACTTCTCTCTTAAGTACAATATACATCTGGGCAAATGGAACAATTTGCAGTAATAACCTACAGGGTTTTCAATAAGATTTTGAGTAGATGGCAAAGGCTTTGAAGTAGATGGAGAAGGAAAAAACTCGCATGAAATCTGGGCCTCTTAGAATGCATATCCAGCATTCTGGAGTGTTTGTACAGAACACAGACATCAATACATTTTGGTTTTTTTATTCATTGACAGCACACGCATACTCTATTTAAACGAGGGTAATTTCCAAAGAAAAGTAGATGGCCAGTTCACGTGAAATGGCTGGCGAAATTCTCTGGCCACTGGCTCTTATTGAAAACCCATGAACCTACATGCTAGGCACCCTGAATTCACACTGCACAGGCTCAAAGTTTTTGGACTCCCTTCAAGCTTTCTTAGAGCACAGCTTTGCAGTATGAAAATCTAGTCAGCCTCTATTGGTCAGTGCGGAAAATACCATAATATTCTTAAAACTGCTGTTTGGGTGTTGCTTCATGTAAACATTACTTTTTTTTTGGTATTTTTTTTTTTGGCACAAACTGCAAGTGCAGTGTACGCAGTTTACGAGGAGCTGATGCACTGCATGTAAGAATCACGCTAAAAAAATAATTTATTATGTTGCAAAAGTTGGGTTTACATGAAGCACCATCCAGACAGAAATTTAAAGAATATTATTGTATTTTCTCCTTTGGCAAACTAGGTTCAGTGAAGGTCAACTGCCAAGGTCCCAGAAATCACTTCCCTTAAGACATGTTACATGTAAAATAAACTAGAGGTCCCTGTGCCGGGGTACTGAGTACATTTGTACCATAAAATATAAGAGGATCAATTAAACAAAATATGCAGTGATCTGATTTGTTTAATTACAGGCATGTACAGTGTACAGTTGTATAAACAGCAAAGTAATTGAGATGGTTTGCTTAATATGACCCCAAACTTTTCAGTAGCTAAATAATGCCTTTTTTCAGTCAGAACAGTTTATCATAATTTTACCAGGGTTTTTAAAGCATAAAACAGTAGCCCAGGTTTTTCATTAAGAATCCTTGTAGCAAGAGAAAGGTGTAAAGTCACAGGAGAATACATGTATTTTGAAAAAGGCTTCACGTTTGTATAAAAAGTACCAGTAGTCATAGGCTACCGAACATGACCCGGAGAATTCCGTGTAGTAAACGGAGAATTCTCCAATCTCTGATGCCTAATGAACACCCTGGTAACCTACTGCAAAAAGTAAAACATATCCTTAGAACTTAGCCAAACAAAATGAGATAGTGCATACTGTTTCACAGCAGAGACATCTTGTCTCATTTGTCAGTATTCCTTCAAAAATGTCATGAACCCAAGTGGGCTCTGGTTTGCCATTTTGGTTTGTTGATACTCCATTTATCGTTCCTGCTGATGAAATGCTGCTTTTGCTGCTGACGCTGCTGGTGCTGCTGTGCTTGTCTTTTTCTTTTTCCTTTGCACGCTCACCTAAAACATGATAACAATGTACATCATCTAACAATTTCTAAACACAGCTTACATTTTGAAGAATATTAAACTTTCTTTTCTGTTTTCAGCAAACGTACAGTGTATGACGGATTCCATTTCAAAATCAGCCACTAATTGTGACAACACTGGAGTTTAAGGCACAAAATTAAAGCCTCACCATCCAGCACAGTGGAATCATGGATTAACCACATTTTATGATTGGGCTACATGTACGATTATCTGGTCACAACACGCAACAATAGAATTAGCATTGTTTCATTCATGGGGTAGTTTTACATAATATGTTACAGGTCAAAATTATATACAGGTTAAAATTTTTTAACCTAGGTTGATTCTCAATTTCCTTTGTCTCCTAGCCCTAATTATTCATGAATTAGGGCTAGAAGACAAAGGAGATTGAGAATCAACCAAGGTTAAAAACTTTTAACCTGAATTTAATTTTGACCTGTAACGTATATACTATTATTAGTAAGCTTTCTGGAATTTTTACCATTATGTGATGACAAAATTGATAAAACTTAGACTTTAAATGTTAGAGGTCAAACATAATGCTTGAATGCTGATTTATGTACTTTACACAACTTTCAAGAATCAAAGAACTTAATCATTTTTCAATGACTGCTTCACTTAATGTCAACAAGAATCCATTGAGAATGAAATAAAGAGGTCAAATTGTGAAGAAAATATTGTTCAAGGATGCCAAAAAGTGGTCACTTGCCCTAACAGTAGGGCACAGACTGATACATGTATGTATTACAATGTATTTTTAAAAGCTTGAAAAAACTGAGTAGACTTTTGCCTGGCCTGGGAAAAAGAGGTCTGGATGGGCTGCTTGTATAGCATGGTTAAACGGCAATCTTACATGTATAACATTATATAGAACTGTTACCTTGCAAGAGATCAGCTATTGTATTCAGTAAATAATTAAGGAATTCATGGGCATCCTGTTGCATGTAGTTATCAAACAGCTCTATGGGAAAAAAAATTATCATTTTAAAATAAATGATCAGCATTATAATTTTACAGACATAATGTACATTACAGAGATGATGATGATGATGATGATGATGATAAATCAATAGTGAGCTTATTTAATATTAAAGAAGAGGAAAACATCACCCTCTTTAATCTTTTAAAATTTTTTCTCTACTCCTGATTGACTTACAGTTTGTAAATATTCCATAAAATTCTTTATATAATGTGCAATCAATGGCCAAATTTATGCTTCAATTAATTACCCTGAATTATAGGGAAACGATTCTTTCAACAGATTTAATGCAATTACAATACAATAGTTTATTGACACTCCCCTGGTGGGGCTTTTCAGTGACAATGCGACTAAAAAAAAAAAAAAAAAAAAAAACAACTAATTAAGATAAGAGAAGTAGTTAACAATTCAATTAAAAGGAAAGAATGCAGTGAACAAAGCAATATAAACATACCTATTTAAGAATTAATCGTATAATAAATATTCTCACTACGTACTATACAATATGCATATTTTAAGTTAAAATAAAATAAGAACTGATACCAGTAAGATACTAAAATACTATCATAACGTGCTATTTAAAAAGTCAGTAATCAACTTATTTTTCAGACAAAATTTAAAAGTAGAAATCGATTTTGCAGTTTTAAGAGTACTGTCTAGATTGTTCCAAATGTGCACCATGCAGTAGTGGAATGTTCTCTGTCCGGTACTCGACTTATACAAGGGGATGTTTAATAATTGGCAACTTCAAGTCACGTGCCCGGTGACCGCAATTCTTGTTGTAAATTGATCGTTGAGGTAATGTGGAGCTTGACCAGTCATGCATTTAAATGCCATGAGAGCGTCGCGGAAGAACAGCTTTTGTTTAATCGGAAACCAACGTAGATCTCTTAGTGCGGGGGTTATTATGATCAAATATCCTGGTACCTGTAATAATGTGCGCGGCAAAGTTCTGCACTGACTGTAGTCTACAGATATTTTTGTTCGAGGTGTTCGACCACACTGTGGAACAGTACAGTAATTTGCTAAAGACTAGGGCATTTATTACTGTCACCAGTTGGTTACGGTCAAGAACATGTTTAACCCGACTGATTTGTGCGAGGCTTGACATACAAGATGACGCAGTTTTTAGAACATGGTCATCAAACGTTAGTTGCGGATCTAAAACAACCCCAAGATCTTTGGCCGAAGATGTAGGAGCGAAATCTTTTCCTAGAAGAGATATTTTGAAGTTGGGGAGTTTGGCAAGTAGTTGTAGGCTTCCAAAGACTTTAAGTAACAAACAATAAATTGGTGCATAATTTTGTCAAACAGCATTTGAGATTTGACAATCATCCAATTTATAAACAATCAATGATTTACTGGCCAAACTGATCATATACAAAAACTCAAAGAGAGAAAATTGACTGGGACTGGTATTGAAATGGGAAGAATACCCCTTACAAAAAGACATCCATAGAAATCTTGAAATATACAACAGTGTTCTCACCAGAATTTTGTTATTTGTGGCCCAGGGACCCCAGGCCTTGATGTTTCTGGGCCATTTACAGCTCTTTCGGATAACACACAACCTGTGTTGTCAAAAATGTTTCAGGATTTTGGGTTTTTTTGCAATGTCAAAGAAACTGTTACCATAGCATCCACTGTGTTTGTCAAATATAGGTGGCAAAATAAACAAGCAGAGGCTGCAAATGTAAATGTTAGCGGTAACGTACCCTTCATTTTCACATGTTTTCACCCTCACATATCTGTGCCTCTTCTGGATTTGGAAGCTCTATAGGAACAATAATTTTACCTTGGGAATCTAAACTTGCCATGTTTCAGCATAAAGAAGATAAAAAAACTTAGAGCTAAGGTAAAATTTACTGCACTTTTCAAAAACACACGACCGAATGTAATGAACTTTGAAACACAGAAACACACTCAAATGGATCGAAATCCACCAATCACAAATCACTAAGACCATTTTGTTTCCTAGGAGGTTCGCTAAGGTGTGAAGGCAAGAAAGCACCAATTCTTCAGATTTTGATTGACATCGCAGAAAAACCCAAAATCCAAAGACATTTTTGACATCGCAGGTCGGGTGTTACCCGAAACCGCTGTAAAAGAAAGAATGGATCAAGAGAGTTAACTCAGTTTGAAGTTATCAATAATTTGTAATTTGTGTGATACAGTGTGCTACAAACACTTGAATAAAATCAAACATTTTAAAAGATTATTGTTGTATGTAGTCACATTCAACATGCAGAATACAACAATCACTAATTTAAACAAACTCATCCTGCACAGAGCAGTAAAAAAAAATTGATTGTATGGACTTTGCAAAATGACACTTGATTCTCTGCAAAACATGTCATTCACGCGATCAAGAAGGCTTGTCTGGAAATTTTGACTTTGATGAAGCAATGCAAGAAAAAACAGCAAGTCCACAAGTTCTGGAAAATGTATTCCCCTTATCTTTTCCAGGATCCTTTGCAGTGCTTGAGCTTGATAATAGTTGCTAAAGTTCTGCACCCAGAGGGCCCTTAACCCATTCGCTCCTAGAGATTTTGCCGAAAAACACGTTTTGAAGCTAGTCGAGTGGTTTTCTGGTCACTGTCGTGCTATAAAGAGCTAAAACTTACCACAAACTGGTTTACAGGTCGTACACTTCGCGGCCTTCTGATCCAGATGCAAAATATCAGCTTGCGAAGTTTGGGCATGCACAGAAAGCAAAATTTCGCTTTCTCTCCTCCCTTCTTTTTTCGCTTTTCTTGCCTCATTTTTTTTTTCTCTTGCTGGGCATTTAGTACGCTTTATTTTGGTGGGAAGAGTTTTTAGGAAAGCTTTTAGGATCTTAGGATTAGGTGAAAGGAAAGATAGGTGGGTAATGGAACAAGATTTTCATGGAGATTTTCAGGTCAATGTCACATGGTTCTTTGATTCTTTCTCCAGTGTCCTTGACTGAATTGTGCTCATTCTGGTATGGTTTGAAAGATCTCTTCACTCTGCACAAGTTAGCGAAGAAAGTTGTCCTTGACTGTTAAAACTGATGACGTCACAAAGGGTAGAAAGGACCTGGATCCGCACGGGCGGTTACGGGCGGTTCAGGGGGGAATGGGTTAAGGACTTTTTAAATGCGCCATTTCGCTAAAAAGTGCAAGAATCACACAATGTCACAGTCTGGTGAGAGCACTGATTCAAAGAAATTCTGCACTGAGGTATTGAGCTTGAAAATCTTTTTCATGATTATAAAATCACGAATAATAATTAAATATGGTAACACCTTTAACACCTGGAAGTCGATCTGCTGCAAATGCAGTACTTGACGTAATCTTCTACTCGCTGGCAACTGTTGCTAGTGAGACTTTTTATGGGCTGCGGGAGTGATGTGTTCTTATCATTTTTGGAAATAGGATTTTTATACTTCTTATAATGTTTTAACTGTTTACATAGTTAGTATTTGTGAATTTTTCTTACGGGCACACTTAATTTGGAGCCTCACTCTTTTGTGTGTTCTGCACCTTTGTCTCTTGTTTCAAATGTATTTTTTTTTCTAGTCTCATTTTAGCATTGTAATCTTGGTGAAAGTGATCAAATAAATAAATGGTTTTTGTATAACGTGCAGGGGTAGGTGTTGTATCCTGAGCCAGCAAAGCCAAATGCCTTTCATTTATTCAGCCACATCCAAACATACTTTTGATAGACTGATTTGGTTATTCATTACAAAACTCATAAAGCAGGTTACAATAAAAAAATGCGGTTGCCAAGTGACATTACAAACATAATATTTATATATGTTACAGTTCAAATTTGATTTCAGGTTAATTTTGATTTAACCTAAGTTGACTCCCAATTTCCTTTGTTTCCTAGCCAGAATCCATGAATAATTAGGGCTAGAAGACAAAGGAAATTGAGAATCAACCTACACTGTCCGTTAAAAAAATTTAACCTGAAATCAAATTTGACCTGCAACATATATATACACGTAGAATATTTGTTTTCCGACCATTTTTTGGCCCTATTCTAATCTCGTACCCAGATCTCTTGTTTATGAAGCTGAAGGCGACATCTGGTAAAGTAACAAAATTTAGCTTTCCTGACTGGCTAGATTGGGAGCGAACGACGTGAGTGTTGTCTCCTGCACGTCCTATGGTATGTGCAATGTCTTCAGTTCTGTTCAAATAAAATATTTTCACTGAAAAAGTAGTTTTCTGTCTCAATATTACTTGCAAAACCGTTTTTATCTCATCTTTAACGATTTTTTAAAACTCTCTCTTGGTATCAAAATTAAGACTTTTGAAAATGGTAAAAAAGAATTCTCACGTAGAAGCTGACACGTACTGCTTTGAGCTTTTAGCACATGCTAGGATAATTAATATTAAACTAACTAGCTGTTATGTTGAATTTAATGTTACAAAGAAAAACAACAACAAGTTCGTTGGTTCCTACTTAAGATATGCATACAACCATGTTTTGTTAGAGAAAACTTCACGCCTCTACCAAATTCATTGTTTAACATGTCTAAAACTGAGGATTTATATCAAGCATGCGCTCTTTCATCGCCTGTCACATTCCTGACAGGTGATCAAGTGCACAAATCGGATTTGACCAAATCTCTCCTTTGCCTTTGTCAAATAGAGATCTGGGTACGAGATTAACCTTATTCTCTAAGATTTTAAAATGTTAAAAATCTTCTCAGCCATGTGTTCCGCTATTTAAATATTGCAGATCAAAGCAAAAAAAAAAACAAACAAAACAAGCTTCTGTCATCACATTTTCACGTCACAAGATTTCAAGGAGCGACAAAAATAGGATTAAGTCCTGAACAAAACTGAAATCAAGCTTGAAAACGTTAAAAAGATTTTCCACTATTCAGTTTAAATACGGTTTACAAGTTGACCAATTAATTATGTCAGACTGTTGATCGGTAAAAATATTAAAACTCACCATTTTCCTTTCTTAGCCTCGCGACGAATTTTTTGGGTGCCAGGACACCAACCTTCTTCTTCTGCGAAGCGATGTTACCAAAAAGATCAGCTAAACATGTTAAAAGGGATTCTTTCCTTTTAGACAGTGGTTTGTACGCCAGGACCCTCTCGCGGAATGGCCGGCAGAAAAACAACGCTTGCAGCACAGAATTACAGTAACATGTATTCCCAAACTGCAGAAGAAAGAAATGAAAATGCAGTTTAGTTCGTTGTCAAGGTTGGCACAAAAACAACTACAGCAACTATACAATTAATATGGAGTATACTTACGTTAACCAGACCAAAGTAATGTTCATTTTGAGGAAATTCTTGCGGGCCTATTTCCTTCTCCAGCTGCGAAGCGTTTGCACCCTAGAAATCGAAATACCACCATTATAACACTCACAAATGATCAGGATCGCTTTAACAACAACGCTGTGAAGGCATTCCTACCATGTTTGCCGTTCAACCCATATTCTTAACTCATTTTAAACTCAATAAAACCTAAACTCGGCTGAAGTGCTTGAAAACCAAAATAAAGTTCTAGTCACTACTGCGCATGAGTAACAAGTTCCCAGTGTTGGCCGAGTTCAGCGGAGCCAATATGGCGGACGAGAAGGTTATTTTTTGTGCAAACTGTGGACACAAACAACGATTCATGAAACGGTGCAGTGCCTGCGGACAAGTATTCTATTGGTAAAAGTGTTTCCTTAGTAAGATTTTCAAATTACGCTATTAATGCGCTACACCTTTATCTTCGGATCTTTACGTTGATGTAAATAAGCCTAAGCTTATGTATTGGTCAAATCGAAGCTTCAACATGCCCCCCCGGGCATACCCCGGGCATTTGACACCTTTGCCATCCCAGGGAGGAGGGAATTTGACAACCTCGTCCCCAGGGTCTTCTCGCTTTCCAATATGGCGGCGGCAGGAGAAGACCCAACCTCGTCCCCAGGGTCTTCTCGCTTTCCAATATGGCGGCGGCAGGAGAGAAGACCCTGGCACACAGCAGAAATCACGTGACTGATTTGTCCACGGAGAGTGGAAATTTATTCAAAATGGCGGCCAAGATAAAGAGTGAGAGGATCTGGGTACGAGGTCTTGAGACTGGTGAAAAACAAACAAAATGGCGGCAAAGGCAAAACTCAAAAGAAGCTAAAAATATGAAAGAATACACTTACAAGCCACAGGAATACGGTAGAATGATATAGCGATCTTATTTTCTGTTCAATGACCTTCATTTGTTTTAAGCCTGAAAGTTCTAGCGCACACGGCTGTCTACAACTTAATTTCTCGATACCGACCTTTTTCACCGTTTTTTTTTTGTCGTACCCCTGAGCGCGCAGAGGTTCAGGTTTCTTCTTTCGTGAAAGGGGAGCTTTTTCTAACCGTGAGCACAATTTTTTTCTTCATGTTAGGAATTTCGAGAACAGACCTCTGAAGCCAGGGAATTTTTTGTCATGACGTGACGCTCTAAGACCTCTTCCGCTCCGAAATTCAACTAAGCATTAAATTGAGTCGCACACACTTTAAGCTGATAAGTTATCGTCAGTTTTGTTACAGATCTTCATGAGGTTTTTGACTATTGTTTTTCTATCTGCACAAATTTTAACTGAACTCTGATATGTAAAAAAACAATTTTTTTTTCTGAAAATAAGAACCAGAGAACACTATTTTGTTAATATAATTTGAGGAAACTTTGGTTGAAAATTAAACAGTTCCTTGGTCAGTTTGGATATTTTGTCACTTGAACTGGTACAGGTAATAAAATTATTGTTAATCTTCATCTACTTCACAGTTTTTAGACTTTGTTATTGGCTTTTGATATCTAACCCCGTTCACAGTGCTTCCGGGCAATAGAGATAGGGGCCTTATTTAATCTAGCAAAGACGGTGGTATTAGTTCCCACCAAAAAAAAATGCCAAGTGAAAAGCCCAAGTACAAGAAGGTTGGAGGTCAAGCAGCCGAGGATCAAAAACAAATCCGAACTTCCAGTTGGTGAATAAATCATCCTGGATCGGTCCACAGAAAGCTTTACAGTTTTCATTGATTTATACAGTCTCTTATTTATTAGTGAAGAATAAGAAAATAATAATAACTGTTTATTCACAAATCCAAATCGGAAAGTGAAAAGGAGATAAAAGAGGTTATCCCTTTCTAGTTTAAGGTGGGATGGGGGTTAAAAAAGACGGGGGCTTATTGTTAAAACTTTCTTTCACTGAAAAGGAGGGCTTATTTGAGAGAGGGGGCCTTAATAGAGGATTTAAGATGTTGTTATTATTGTTTTTTTTTTTGCCTCTCAGATGTAAAACCCCGCTTTAATAGCTAGCAAAAGGTGAAGAGTGTTTCCATTGTTTGTAATATAGCAATCCAAAATGTATTCTCCACTTTGAAATAGATTTGATTTTCAGAGCAAAAACTTCCTTAATCCCTGACTTTGGTTTATTTGACATATTACTTGGGGCTGCACTTTGCCATGTCAATGTGCAAATTGACTAAAGGCTAGACTCCAGTTCAAAAATTTGATAGTCCTATCTGAGTCATGTGCACAGTAAAAGTTCCTGTCTCATTTGGAGATAATAGATGTTTTAAGTCAAACACGCTTTGCTCGTCAGATGGGCCCTTTCGTACTCTAATTGAGACATGACTTGGTAGCGGTGTGCTGATTATCAATCATAATCTATAAAGCATCAGAAACCTAAAGCAAAGTGAGTATTGCTTATACAAATGTTCAGTTGATTGTTGTGGAAAATTCACAAAAACATTGTTGACAAATAAGGACATTAATACACCTGTGTTGTCTTTTTGATGGGCTCTTAATGTAGTTTATATGTTGTTTAGTTGGTTTAACTATGTGACAGATAAGCCTCTGCTTGCAGGGTAGGTTTTTTGTTTTGTTCACTTACAAAATTATTTTCAGTGTTGAAAGTGGCACACAGGGGGCACAAAACTATAATCTACTATAATCGATTATCAGTTTAATAGTTGGGTTAATCTGATTATTTCTGACGATATGATTATAATACAGACACTATTACTAAGACTAACCAACACCTTAAAGTAGACTTTGAAAGTATTTAAGCCAGCACATCTAACAGCGGCAACCTCACACCGCAACACCTAAACAAGATAAAAGCCTTGCCTTGTCCCTGTGTGGCATTTTCCCAGGCCTTAATTCTTGGTCAATTCATTTCGGTGACTTATCTTAGGCAAACTGGAGGGAAACTGTTTCACTATTTCGCTTGGGACCACGTGACCTAAAACTCATTGGCCATGACTAGGCAACTAAAAGCTCACTATGCTAATGGGGACTCTGGCACAAAACACTTCAAAAGCCTTTGCATCTCGACATGAAAAATCCCATGATCGAGATGCTCCAGGCCCCTTCCGCTCTTGTTTATTCAGTGGATAGTGATATATGCACCCTTTGAAGTAGTTTATTTTTTAAATCCAAGGTTTAGAACTGAATTATAGCTGCTTCACAATCATACCCAGCTGGTGTTGGAATACTACAGCACCAGCCACTTTTTCACCTGGTCCACAAACCCCCTTTTCAAGGATATAGTGACAAGAACATCATGCAGTGACAAGAACAACATGCACACTTAGCCTACAGTAATTAGAAGCTCAATTGACAGGTTTTAGTTTGACAGAAAACATATTTATCTTGGGGTCACTGTCACCCCATGTCTGGAATCTGGGAAATTTTTCTCTTGGAATCTGGAATAAAGGTCCTAAAGTACTCTGGATCCCACTTATAACTGGAATCCGGAATCCATGTTCCACTGACAAAGAATCCAGAATGCGGTATCCATGGCGCAAAATTGAGAATCCAAGACTGTCAGATTTCCTTGAATGGGCTGATCACTGTTTTCAACTTGATAAAATAAAAGACATCATGTGCTTTCATTTATTTTATTTTTGCAACTAGAAAGAAATCCCACAAGCTTCAATACATCAATATGTAAGTTTTTCATTTCTGAGAAAGGAAACAGTTTATTTTCCCAATGTCTCTGTATTTAGCTGTATTTTACTGCCACTGAAATGAGCAAACAATAATAAATTATCATTATTGTGACACTAAAAACTGAATAAATGAAAAGTCAGGATTAAAAATATCAAATGATAGCGACACTATGTTTGGCTTCAATTTTTAGTTTTGTTTCGACATCTGCCTCTCTCGCTCCTCGTCCCCCTTCAAAATCACAGTGGAAAAATTAAAAGAAGGCCAGGTTAGGCCCATGAATGTTACGATCAAAGGAAAAGAATGTTTCACTTGACAAAAAACTGCTGAGACAAAGCGCAGATTATGCAAGATTTCCGTATAACCACATACATTAATAATATTAAGCATACAGCTTTTGTTCAAAGAAAACAAAAGGCAGAACAATACTACACCTTTGCAACGGGCAGCTAAATTTATTGATAAGCTGAAGCCTTGCAAGTATTCTTTCACAAATCGGGAATTAAAGAAACAAATCTTTAGTAATTTTCGGAACACACAAACCAAATAGCACGAGTAACAGAAATACCTCTACGCGTTATAATATTCCCAGCGATTACCAGATATCACTATATTCGAATCTTTGCCTTCCAACGGTATAGTCACAGTTTTCCGAACAATCAGACCTGAATTCTGTCCACCTTTTAGGTCTCAAACACTGAAGAAAGCACTTCTCAGCCTCTACGAAGCCCTCTTTGTTTTGGAAGGAATAAACCAATGAGAGCGCACGTATGAACGCGCTATGAAATGCACCAATCAGCGATCGTTTTAGTTCGCTGTGTGCCAGGGTCTTCTCTCCTGCCGCCGCCATATTGGAAAGCGAGAAGACCCTGGGGACGAGGTTGGAGAAGACCCTGGCACACAGCAGAAATCACGTGACTGATTTGTCCACGGAGAGTGGAAATTTATTCAAAATGGCGGCCAAGATAAAGACTGAGAGGATCTGGGTACGAGGTCTTGAGACTGAAGAAAAACAAACAAAATGGCGGCAAAGGCAAACGCAAGAGAAGCTAAAAATATGAAAGAATGCACTTAAAAGCCACAGGAATACGGTAGAATGATATAGCGATCTTATTTTCTGTTCAATGACCTTTATTTATTTTAAGCCTGAACGTTCTAGCGTACACGGCACTTAACAACTGTCTACAACTTTAATAATTTCTCGATAGCGGTCCGTTTTTCACTGTTTTCTTTTTTTGCCTACCCTGAGTGCCAGAGGTTCAGTTTTCTTCTTTCGTGAAAGGGGGAACTTTTTCTAACCGTGAGGGCAATTTATTTCATCTTAGGAATTTCGAGAACACACCTCTGAAGCCAGGAAATTTTTTGTCATGACGCCCTAAAACCTCTTCCGCTCCGAAATTCAACAAGGCATTAAATTGAGTCGCAGACACTTTACCGAATACTACAATAAGTTATGTCAGTTTTGTTACAGATCTTCGTGAGGTTTTTGACTATTGTTTTTCTATCTTTACACATTTTAACTGAACTCTGATATGCAAAAAACAATTTTTTTTTCTGAAAACAAGAACCAGAGAACACTATTTTGTTAATATACCGGTAATTTGAGGAAACTTTGGTTGAAAATTAAACAGTTCCTTGTTCAGTTTGGATATTTTGTCACTTGATCTGGTACAGGTAATAAAATTATTGTCATCCTTCATCTACTTTACAGTTTCTAGACCTTCTTATTGGCTTTTGATATCTAACCCTGTTCACAATGCTTCCGGGCAATATTTATTTAATCTAGCAAAGACGCTGTGATTAGTTCCCCACAAAAAAAAAAAAATGCCAAGTGAAAAAGCCCAAGTACAAGAAGGTTGGAGGTCAAGCAGCTGAGGATCAAAAACAAATCCGAACTTCCAGCTGGTGAATAAACCATCCTGGATCGGTCCTTACAAAGTTTTACAGTTGTCATTGATTGATAGTCTTTTATTTATTAGTGAAGAATACGAAAAGGGGGGGGGGGGGGGTGGAATGGGGGTTAAAAGAGAGGGGGACTTATTGTTAACACTTTCATCCACTGAAAAGGAGGGCTTATTTGAGAGAGGGAGCCTTAATAGAGGATTTAAGATGCTGTTATTATTGTTTTTTTTGCCTCTCAGATGTAAAAAAAAAGCATTAACCCCGCTTCAATAGCTAGCAAAAGGTGAAGAGTGTTTCCATTGTTTGTAATATAGCAATCCAAAATGTATTTTCCACTTTGAAGTAGATTTGATTTTTAGAGCAAAACGTTCTTAATCCCTCATGACTTTGGTTTATTTTACATATTACTTGGGGCTGCACTTTGCCATTGCAATGTGCAAATTGACTAAAGGCTAGACTCCAGTTGTTCAAAAATTTGATTGTCCTATCTGAGTCATGTGCACTGTAAAAGTTCCTCTCTGATTTGGAGATAATAGATCCTTTAAGTCAAACATGCTTTGCTCGTCAGATGGGCCATTTCGTACTCTAATTGAGACATGACTTGGTAGTGGTGTGCTGATTATCGCTCATAATCTATCATTAATCAGAAACCTAAAGCAAAGTGAGTATTGCTTATACAAATGTTCAATTGATTGTTGTGGAAGATTCACAAAAACATTGTTGACAAATAAGGACATTAATACACCTGTGTTGTCTTTTTGATGGGCTCTTAATGTAGTTTATATGATGTTTAGTTGGTTTTTAAAACTATGTGACTGATAAGCATCGGCTTGCAGGGTAGGTGTTTTGTTTTGTTCACTTACAAAATTATTTTCAGTGTTGAAAGTGGCACACAGGGGTCACAAATCTATAATCTACTATAATCGATTATCAGTTTAATGGTTGGGTTAATCTGATTATTTCTGATGATATGATTATGATACAGACACTATGACTAAGACTAACCAACACCTTAAAGTAGACTTTGGAAGTATTTAAGCCAGCACATCTAACAGCTGCCACCTCACAGCCCAACACCTAAACAAGCTAAAAGCCTTACCTTGTCCCTGTGTGGCATTTTCCCAGGCCTTCTTGGTCAATTCATTTCGGTGATGTATCTTAGGCAAACTGGAGGGAAACTGTTTCACTGTTTCACTTGGGACCACGTGATGTGAAACTCATTGGCCGTGACTAGGCAACTAAAAGCTCACTATGCTACTGGGGACTCTGGCGCACAACACTTCAAAAAGCCTTACATCCCTACATGAAAAATCCCATGATCAAGACGCTGCAGGCCCCTTCTGCTCTTGTTTATTCAGTGAATAGTGATATATGCACCCTTTGAAGCAGTTTATTTTTTTAAATCCAAGTTTTAGAACTGAATTATAGCTGCTTCATAATCATACCCAGCTGGTTTTGGAATACTATAATGCCAGCCACTATTTCACCTGGTCCACAAACCCCCTTTTCAAGCATATAGTGACAAGAACAACGTGTACACTTAGCCTACAGTAATTAGAAGCTCAATTAACAGGTTTTGGTTTGACAGAAAACGTATTTATCTTAGGATCACTGTCACCCTATGTAAGGGAATCCGGAATCTGGGAAATTTTCTCTTGGAATCTGGAATAAAGGTCAAGTACTCTAGATCCCACTTATAATTGGAATCCGGAATCCAAGTTCCACTGACAAAGAATCCAGAATGCAGTATCCATGGTGCAGAATTGAGAATCCAAGACTGTCAGATTTCCTTGCATGGGCTGATCACTGTTTTCAACTTGATAAAATGAAAAGACATCATGTGCTTTCATTATTTTATTTTTGCAACTAGAAAGAAATCCCACAAGCTTCAAACATTAATATGAAAGTTTTTCATTTCTGAGAAAAGGAAACAGTTTATTTTCCCAATGTCTCTGTATTTAGCTGTATTTTACTGCCAATGAAATGAGCAAATAATAATAAATTATCATCATTGTGACACTAAAAACTGAATAAATGAAAAGTCAGGATTAAAAATATCAAAGGATATCGACACTATGTTTGGCTTCAATTTTTAGTTTTGTTTCGACATCTGCATCTCTCACTCCTCATCCCCCTTCAAAATCACCGTGGAAAACATTAAAAGAAGGCCAGGTTAGGCCCATGCATGTTACGATCAAATGAAAAAAAATGTTTCACTCGACAAAAAACAGCTGAGACAAAGCACAGATTACGCAAGATTTCCGTATAACCCCATACATTAATAATATTATGCATACAGCTATTGTTCAAAGAAAACAAAAGGCAGAACAATACTAAACCTTTGCAAACGGACAGCTAAATTTATTGATAAGCTGAAGCCTTGCAAGTATTCTTTCACATATCGGGAATCAAAGAAACAAATCTTTAGTAATTTAGAATCGAACACACAAACCAAATAGCACGAGCAATACCTCTACGCCTTATAATATTCCCAGCGATTACCATTTCAGATATCACTATCTTCGAATCTTTGCCTTCCAACGGTACAGTCACAGTTTTCCGAACAATCAGACCTGAATTCTGTCCACCATTTCGGTCTCAAACACTGAAGAAAGCACTTCTCAGCCTCTACGAAGCCCTCAAAGGATAACCATCTTTGTTTTGGAATGAATAAACCAATGAGAGCCCACGTATGAACGCGCAACAGAATGCACCAATCAGCGATCGTTTTAGTTCGCTGTGTGCCAGGGTCTTCTCTCCTGGCGCCGCCATATTGGAAAGCGAGAAGACCCTGGGGACGAGGTTGGGAATTTGATTATCAGAGTCTTCCAGGGGGTGGGGAATTTGATCCCCATGCTTTACGGGTGGGGAATTTGAACTGCACCCTCGATTTCATGTAAAATATTTGGCGTGGCGAGCTATCATGGGGGACGCGGTGTTAGAGGATTTTCGTGGAAAAGATTCTGCCTTCGTGGCCAATTGGTTACGAGGAAAGGGCTTAAACAAGCTTTGTGCCGTATTTGATGTATTTCAATTTTAAACTTTTTAATATTGGATTCAGGCTTTGAATGTATGAATGTATTTTATTATTGTGTTTACGATGAAATACAATACCTATATCGGCGATTCAATACCACAACATAAAATAAAAGAAAATAAAAAGCTCAGGTCAACTACTTTGACCTACTGCAAGTATGTTATTTAATAAAGTGACCGATGATGCATGTCAGTGAAATGGTCATGATGTAGTAATCTCAAAAGGTGGGATCTTTTTTTTATAGAACGCTTTGTATGTTGCATGACGAAGAAAAGCTGAGCATTCAGTTACCTTGTAGCAGCGATTTCCGCCGTTTTGCACGAGACTTTTGTTCGTAGTAAATACGCTAACAGTGTTTCTCAGTCTTTGTTATATTTATAAAAATTTTGTTCGACAACTGAAGGCGTTTCCACTGTCCTTCTGTCATTTTTGTGCCTGTGAAATGTCCCTGGGATGGGGGCATTTGATCACCTGAATGGACCCTAGTGTGGGGCATTTGAACGGCATTTTGGCCCGGGTTGGGGGGAATTTGAACAATAATTTTCAAAAAAGTCAAATGCCCGGGGGGTTGCCCGGGGGGGCATGTTGAAGCTTCGATTTGACCGATACATTATATCGCGACATTTCGACTGGTCTTCATCAGGCAATCAAAATCAATTGGTTAGCACCATCACCTGATGAAGACCGATCAAAATGCCCCGATCAATAACAAAGTGACTATCATTATTTTAGACAAGGTAAGCGAGCCTGTCTATATATTCATATAAGCTTATATTAAACTTTGGGTGATCTCAAATTTTGTCTCTCCTTGTAAATATATAACAGCTTAAACGGTTCTTTACTGTAAGGCTGGTTTTCACTTGTGACGAAGTCGAATTGAGAATTGTAAGCAGAGTTGTAAGAGCCGGCTTATGGCCTTGTGAAAATAAAAAAATAAGAGTCAAGTCGTACACAGAGTGATAAGCGCAACGCAGTCGGAGTTGGAAGAATCGGAACGTTTCCATTTTCTTCTGACTCCAGTTATGTCTGCCGTTTCCGATCTAGTGAAAACCAGATTGTCGAAGTCAGAAACAGAAGTAGAAGCAGAAGGATAAATCAATCACAATGCATGTCCCCAGGCCTTGTGATTGGTTTAGTTATTCTGCTTCTGCTTGCGACTCTGATGACCCAGTTTTCACTTGATCATAAATGACGGAGTTGTAAGTGCAATCAGAATGCTGTTTTCACTAGATCGTAAAGTTCTATGCTTCTGATTACAACTCCAACTCCGTCGCTAGTGAAAATCAGCCTTTACACGGTTAGCTTTTTATATTTAGTAATAACTAGACTTTGTTGCTGTTGCTGTTGTTATTATCATAATAATCATTATTTTTTCAGCTCAAAGGAATGTCAAATCAAACATTGGCAATGCCACAAGTCAACTTGCCACAAGTTAAGAAAAGTTGACCATTTTGAATTAACAAAAGCTAACTGTTTTAAGGTCTCAAGCAAGTCAAGCCTATCTGATATGCCTTCTTTGAAATGTGCTGGAAATGAATCAGTTACTTTGAAGTCATCTCTGGAAGACGACAGGTGCAATTGTGAAAGATTTAACCAGCAAGATGAGCTCACAGGACATTCTTATAGCATCACATCAACAAGTACCATTAGTAACTGCTTTGTTTGCAAAGTTCAGAAAAAGGAGGAAGGAGAAGGGACCTTTGAATGCTCGCGGCAGGATGACACAATGAATCAAGTCCATCAGAGTCTATTAAAAGAGCTTGATACATGTAAATCTGAAAACACTTTTATGGGGAAAAGTGTTGCAATAATAATCAAACACAACAAAGTGAGACAGGAACTGAGTGTTCCATCAACGGAGAATGGTGACGCAATTTTACAGATGATTTCACATTGTGTTGGCATCCCTGTGTCCAAGTTAAAACTTATTCACAAAGGCAAGATGGTGACAAGAGACAATATTCAGAACATGCTGTTCAATAAAGCTCTCTTTCTAGCATTTGGAGAAATTTCTGAGAGTGAGGAGGGTTTGATAAAGGAGGACATTGATTTGATTGTAAAGCAACTTGGTGTAGAAAGAAACCTTGCGGTAAAAGTTTTGAGAAAGAATGGCAATGTAGTGGATGCTATTATTGAGATTGGAAATATGTAAAATGTAGCGTACTCAAGGTTAAAAGAAATATAGGTTGAAAATACAGAAATTAACAGACAAAGGGAATCAAACCCACGAATGTGGATCTGGAAATCCGATACTTTTGAAATCATGGTTTCATAAGAACTTTGTATGTGACCAAGTTACCTAATTTTTTCTGCGCTCCAAGTCAGCTCAACTTCCATCTCCTTTTGTTCGGAACATTCCACCAGAAAATAAAGGAAAGAAAGAAAAGATTTGATCACAGGGTTTTGATTTTTGAGGAGTTAGTATGCAAAAATATCTTTTAAAAAAAATTATTTAAGGAGTTACATATACGCCATTTGCACATCTCCCATAATGCACCTTATTTGTTTCCCAAAATTTTGTGTAAGCATTTTTTTAAAATTTCTCTTGGGACGGCTGTAATAACCAGGAGAAATGAAAAACAAAGGTTATGCAAAATTTTAAGCCCTATTTCAAGCCCTCCTCCCCCTAATTCTTCACAACCAAATTAATAAATAAAATCACGAATATAATGATAGACTGTATCGATAAATCATGACTGCAACACTTCTTGTGGACTGATCCATTATGGTGAATTCGTGTGCTGAAAGTTGGGATTTGCTTTTTATTATTGCTCACAAGGAAACAAAACATGTTGAGTCAACAGAAACAAAGTTAAACGTATAATCTGAAAAGGAAACTTTGTTCGTGATACTTGCCCTGAAAGTAGGAAGGGTGAACGGGGACAAGCGAAGAAATCTGTCCACTTCGAGGGTTCTTAATTGTTACTGGAGGAACTACTTCCTGATAAAATGTTCCTCTTTCTTATCCAAAACAATGGAAAGTCAGGTCGCTGAAGGTCGCAGAAATTAATTAACGGTGCGGAAATTAACATTTCAAGAAATCAACGCGCCTTTAATGCGAATTTGAACGTACGTTCAACTTGCTGAGAGTCAAATAAACAGAGCAAAGGAAATAAGTGAAATGAAGCAATTAATTTATCGAGGTTAATTTATTACAGTATTTAAAATAAGCGGGAAAAATGAACTGAGTTCGCTTCACTGCGCGCTAGACAGAAATGGCAAATTTTTTTAGATTGCTCGCAGTCCGCCTTCTCTCTTAAAATCCGTCTAGTTCTTATCCCATGCAGCGCGATTGCAAAACAAGACTTAAGCCCTCGTTTCATTGCGGCAAGCGGCTTCGCCGCTCGCGTGCTTAGGTTTCGCGTGCAGTAACTTCGTAAAAAAAAAAATAAGAGACTGCTGGCAGTCTACGAATTTTTCGAAACATTAATTTCCGCCACCAAGTTCCCCTCCCCTGGCTACCCTCTGCTCGCTTCGCTCGCCGATTTCTTTTTTAGTCCACGTCGATTTAGTTTTCTCCTTTTTCCCCCAATTCCGCTCCAATTTTTGCGAGAAAACTCGACCGCATTTACTCGACCGTAAACACTTGCTATACGCAGGCTATTTAGCTGATTTTTTAATAGCTGTGTGTGATTTGCGATAAAAAGCAAAAATTCTCGCTAATAAATCCTCTGATAGTTTTGGAACTCTTGAAAAAGAAACAGGATGCACTTTAACTTGATGAGGGTCACAACTAAACGGAACAAAGGAAATAAGTGAAATGTAGCAATTAATTTATTGAGGTTAATTTATTACAGTATTACCATATTTAAATTTAGCGGGAAAAATGAATTGAGTTCGCTTCACTGCGCGCTAGAAAGAAGTGGCGCTCAAGTCAACAAAAGTCAAAATCATTGTCAAATTCACGGCCTTTTTGTTGTCGGTTGTTCACTGATGCTGCCTATCTTGTGATATTAAGTGGAAAAGTAAATAATTACTATGTTTCGGAAGCAGGTTATGTGACTTGAAAGGTGAGTAGGTTTGTACTCTAAATAGTTATAGCTACATCAGAGGCTTTTAAAAAAATAATGCGAGAGAAATATTCAAAAGATATGGCGCTAAGATGCAGAACCACATATCACGCGTTCAACTTGTCAAGACTAGCTGCTGACGATAATAAAGCTGTTAAGCATTTCTGTATTCTTATTTATGCAGCCAAGTGGTTCTAATGTACAATTTACTACTTTGCACGAAGAACTGTTTGACAATTGTTAAGCAAACTGTATTCGTACTTCAAAGGATTAGGTCTATGTGGCTTGACTGTAACTGACATACTGGATAGCTTTTCCTGCCGACACGCAAAAATTATCCGGTATATAAGTGGTATAGTATATAACCGATACGTGACTCTCTATTTTAGAGAGCCGGCTTCGCTCCGTTAAAGAAATTGCGCCGAAACAGGGAGGATATAGTTCTAAACCACTTAACATAGCATTAGTGAACGTATTTTAGTATTTAAACGGTAGATATAGGCATATTTTTATCCCCTAAAAACTTTTCATCTGTTCGGATTTCCTAGCTGAAAGTCTAGTGATCCGAAAATTATAGGGATCAAAACTTACCTTTCCGAAAATTTCAGCCAGGAAAAGGCTCACGAAAATTCTAGGTGGCCTTTTTTAGGGTAAATATCCCTTTAAAATGGGTAATTATACCATTTTGTAGATGTTCGAAAATCCTAGGAGAGGCAGGCAAGCAAGAAATTTTACAACAAATGTTCCGAAAATTCTAGTTCTCAAATCGTCTTCCGAACAGATATTTTCCCGAAAATTGCCGTTGGGTACCCCTGCCGAAATCACCGTTGTTATGTCTAAACAAAAGCTAATGGAAGTCCTGTATACGGTATGGGTATCGTGCAGGCGTATTTAAAAAGCTATCTGGTATCCTCAGTATGAACTGATGAACTTTACTTGATATCACTGTAGGTTTATTACTGCCAAAGGTATATAATACCAAATGAACTTTTATATACCCCTCCGTAAGAGACCCAGTGGAATATCTATATCTTGACTGCCTTCTCGGAGAAAACGTCACTGGGTTGGTTTATTCTCCACTGGGTTTTTCTTCTCCTCTGTTCTTAGGGGTGGCAGGCCTTACATCGTTATCGGCATGATTGCTGTTGCGAGATTGATTACCTGTACCATCTGTATTTTGTTGATTCTTTGTTTTTGTCAATGGTCTGATAATGTTTTATATGTTTGTTTCTTCTACCCTGGCAAATGTGAGCAACGGAATACACTGGTCTTGTAGGAGTCACGATAGAAAGTGACCGGGGAAGCAAAAGCTCGGCCGGGTAGAAACAAACTATTCGTTGGGTATTGGGAAAGCTAAATTATCACTAGGTAGACTTAATTAAAGCACTGAGTAGGATTTCAATGGGTCTGTTACAGAGGGATATTTTATATACCCTCTTTTGTTTTTATAAGAATGTTGTTTTTCAGGCCCAGGCTGAATATTCTTATTTTTTCCCGCGATTTTAGGCTGAAAATATTCTTGTCTTATTCTTAAATTGTAGCCTTTGACTTTTCTATTTTGGAATCTATTGGTGTATAAATTACAGTTATGGCAAAGGAACATTGTTTTTCTTTTTGGTGGCTAGTTTTGCGCATGCCTTTAAGAGAAAGACTAATGGTTTCACGGTCAAGCTTAAAACGTATAATTGTATTGTATAAACAGATTTTTACCGGGGCATAATTTCGCATTTTTAATATTCCTTTACAAGTGCATTGGAGGTAATAATTACATTCTATTTTAAATTTGTAAACCTAATAGTCTATCCTTAACAATCACTCTACACACAATTGGCCAATATATATTGGCCTAATTTGGTGAACATATACACTGGACTGGGGCATTAATTTTTTCTGTCTTCAAAATACGCTTGGGCTTTAATAATTTGCCTTGTATGTCTAACAGATGCACTGGCATAACTCATGGTAGACTAATTAAACTGAAAATTCACTTGATCGATGACGTTTTTCTTCTTTTTTCTGCATTTGATATTAATAACTGCCGGGTTGAGAATGTAAATTGCTCATTTCCCAATTAACTGTGTTGAGGTATTTCGTCTTTCTTGTTACCATACGATTGCTTTACACAGAGATTGGACCTTAGAAAATTTTTATAAATTATTTTGCTGTTGACCGTACGTGGATACTTGCGGGGGTAACTTTTCAGACAATGATAGAATTCCCCGAAACGATATTTATTGCGTTCAGAGTAGAAACAAATTCAGCTTCAAACGCTGGATAGTGCTAAACACCGGATATATCACTATGCAATGGATAAGTATTAGGAAACCAGTTTATTCACTGGATAAAAAATTTATCTGGATAAATTAGTATCAGTATTCAGTGGACAATAGTGAGGGAAACCAATCCCAGAGGCCATTTCCGAGTTCCCACGGGCCTCTGTATCAAAAAAACGAGGTTAAGTGCTCAGCCTTTGATATGGAAATGATTTTTCATTCTCATGCAAATAAAACTCATTTTCACAAGAAAGTTTGTGCACTTGGCCTCATTTTGAAAGTGAGGGTTTTTGGAAATGAGAAGTGGCCTATTCTGTTGTCGTCTGGATAGATATTTATTCAGTGGATAGCGTTTAATTTACCTTTTGAAAATTCGACGGATTAAGTCAGACAAGTCATTCGTCCAAAAAATCACTCCATTTGATGCGAATCGTCAATTATACAACGTACAACCCGTCACTTGTGTGAAAACGACTAACAATTCCTTTTTTTCCAGGTATGACAATGAACGGAGAGTACCACCGTCTAAATACTTTGGGATGGAAAGAAAATCCCAAGAAAAACGCCGGTATTTTTTCCATTCTTTTCTACCGGTGGGTTGGGGAGATTGTTGCCATCGGCAACAAGTGCCCCATTGAAATCGACGATCTTTTCCCTTTACTGAGCGAGGACAAAACTGAAACTTCAGCTGAAAACCTCCAACGGACATGGAGCAAAGAGAAGGCAAAAGGTGTCGCTGTGACAGACAGAAGAGGTTATCGACTGTTCAGAGCTCTTATCCAAATGTTTCCTTGGACTTACCACCTGTCTGTTGCGAGCGCTGCTTTGTTAGCCGGCGTTTGCAATGTCCTTCAGTGCGTGTTTTTGAGTTTGTTGTTAGCGCAGTTTGTGAAGTCTTCCTCCTCTGGTCGCTGGCTGATGTACGTCTATGCTGCTGGCATTTGTCTTAGTTCACTGGTGCGCGCCATTGCTACTCCCCAATGGATATTTCATGCTTATTTAATAGCTCTTAGGTGGAAATCAGGAACTCTAGCGGTCATCTATAAAAAGGTGAGAAAACACATGCGACAAGTTGTCTAAGCTCTAATCGACAAACAAACACACATGTTATCTGGTCAATTACCAATTCAAGTCTCATATTAAATGAGTAGCAACATTCCACCTTGGAATGCGCTCTAACAATTAAGTCTGGAATATCCGGTCTCTTATGCTAAGCCAGTCTGAGCGTATTTCGAGATAGATCCCGCCAACGAGTCCCTACTTACTACCCCAGCGCGTGAGAAATGTGAGAGTGCAGGGGCACCCAACGACAATTTTCGGAAGAATATCTGTTCGGAAGACGATTTGAGAACTAAAATTTTCGAAACATTTGTTGGAAAATTTCTTCCTTGCCTGCCTCTCCTAGGATTTTCGAACATCTAAAAAATTGTATAATTGCAAATTTTTAACGGCTTTTTACCCTAAAAAGGACACCTAGAATTTTCGGGAGCCTCTTTTCTGGCTGAAATTTTCGGAAAGGTCAGTTTTGATCCCTATAATTTTCGGATCACTAGACTTTCAGCTAGGAAATCCGAACAGATGAAAAATTTTTAGGGGATAAAAATATGCCTATATCTACCGTTTAAATACTAAAATACGTTTAACAATGATATGTTTAAGTGGTTTTGAACTATATTCTCGTTGGGTGCCCCTGAGAGTGAGAAATGTTAACTTTCAAAATTTTTTAAAGAGCTGAAGTTGAAATAATTAGCTTGTATTCGTGCATGCTTCATCGGTAATTATTACAATTATTACATATCTTTTTAATTCATTATATCTCTGAAACGTAGGTCTTGAGTTTGAATCAGGAGGATTTATTAAATGTAACAAGTGGCTGGATCATTAACCTTGTCGCTGGTGACCTTCAACGTTTTGAACTTTCCGCATTGAGCATATTTCTCCTACCTCAAGCTGTATTAGAAGTGTGTAGTATCTCTTGTCTAATGGTGTACTTCTTTGGGTGGAAATCTCTGTCAGGGGTTGCTTTTATGGTCAGTCTTTCGTTATATTACGGAATAGCTGGACAAGTCAGCTTAAGACTACGAACGAAAATTTCTCGTGTGGCGGATCAACGCGTGGATGTGATGAATTCCATCATTTCTGGAATTCGTGCCGTCAAGATGTATGCTTGGGAGGGATCGTTCATGGAAAAAGTCAAACGGCTTCGAAGGTATATTACATACACCTTATTCGATGGTTTAGCATATAATACGTGCGGATATTTTGCGAGTTGCGTGTATTTTTCCGAGCCCCGCAGGGGCGAGGAAAAATTCGAGCAATGAGCAAAATGTCCGCTCGTATTATATGCTAAACCATCGAATAAGAGGTTTATTATTCCACTACAAAAACAAAATTATCTGGCAATTGGCTTCTATTTTTTGGTAAGAGTATTCAGAGACATCCTGATTCCGTCTGTGAGAATGACGTTAACAATTAGCAAAATGTTCGCGCGTATTATATGCCAAACCATTGAATGAGAGGTTAATTATTTTACTGCAAAAGAAATATGGTATTTTGCCTTCTATCTTCTAATGAGAGTATCCAAAACATCCTGATTCTGTCAGCCACAGTTGCTCCTTTTGCATCCGCCGGTATTCGCCCTGTTGTAAACCGGTTAAACCAGGACACTACGGTGTATTACGGCCTCGTATTTTGCTTGTTCTCTTGATCTTATGGTAAAATGACATAATAGTGGAATAATAAATAGACATAATTGACTCTTGAGACCCTTTCGCGTTTTTTTTTTCACGTTCTTACAAAGACCAGTAAACGGCAGTCCATCGAAACTACTGGGAAGAGGTCATAATAAGGTAACTTATCAAGTTTAAAGGTGACATGTACCTTCTTTCAGACATTTGTATGGTAGGTAGCACGAACTCCCCCCCCAACCCAGCCCCACCACCACCTGACCACCAGTACCACCACCCACCACCACCATACAATTGCGCGACTATGCGGTGCTATATCTTCGTTAGTTTAAAACAAAGTGACTTTCAAACTTGGAAACTTTACCTACTTTAAGCGTTGCTGACGGATGTTCTTCGTTATCTAGTCTCAGTCAAAAGTTGAAAAACCCGTGGAAAGGTCTATTCCAAATTCAATGACCAAATAAATTCCTTCCAAATTGGGTCATCATATTGGACCCGTCATTTCGCACACGTCTACATCGACTCGATGCAGTGTCAAAATCATCACTTGCAGATATTTCGAGAACGGTTGTCGGAAAAAATGTGTACGCAACAATCCCGATGATGTCTATACACTGTTAATGACACTATAGTGCCGAGCCCACTTTTGATGCGTTCCTTTAGCACTCACAAACATTCGTTGATGCCCTTTCATTCCATTCTTTCAAATATCTTTGAGAAACAGTGCACTTAAAACCACCCACAATACCTTTCGGGATTGCCGCGTGCACTTTTTCCGACAACCTTTCTCGAAATAGCTGTAGACTATACTGGCTAGGGGGGGGGGACTTGAAATGATACCTAGGCGACTTTTGTCCCCGCGTAACTCCCCCTCTCTCCTTTCATTGCTCTGTATTCGTTTTTATTATATCACCAAAGATTTCATTCCAAAAGGAGTCATACCGGTGCGATTTCATTGAAGCTTGATGTATAGTGTGATGTCCAGCAGCAGGTATCATGTAAACGAACAATAAAAAACTCATTACAGTTTAGATTCCACCCAGTCCCACTGGACTAAAACTAATCCAAGATGGCGTCGGCGCCGTCATAATTCATAGAGGTATGTTACCGTTGCCTCCTTCACGAGCTTTCCTAAAGCTTAGGGGGAACAGGGACTCATATTACCGGTGCTGAAGACAAGACAGAGAGAGAGCTGGGAACAAGTAAGAAGCGCGTGAGGGGGATGATGGGAACGAGCGCAGAGGAGGCCGGGATACGAAAGGGGTGCCTTTTCTGCTAAACATGGTATATAAAAGGGTAATTTAAGGATTGGACCTCGGGGCAGAACCTCCCCGTATAAAACTTTGTTGAGTACCCCTCCGGGTTCAAAATACACCACTATTAAATAACGCCCTCGGTCAATTTTTGCAAATTTTAAGGATACCCACTCAATATGGTTTTTTCCAGGACCGAAATCAACCTCATCAGAATGAAAACGGTGATACTGGCAACCTTTGCTTCTCTTTCTTTCTCTTGCCAACTGATTGCGACTTTCATCTCACTGGTCACACTGGCGGCTACTGGAACTGAACTGACTGTGTACAACACGTTTTTGATTGTATCCTTTGTCAACTCATTAAGGACGACCGTTTCGTGGAATATTGCAAGACCAATTTATTTATTGGCCGACTTTGCCGCGGCGCTGGCTCGCATCCAGAAGTTTCTCGAATTTGAGAAAAAGAACACTCACAGATACCTAACATATTCCTTCGGCGATGCGATCAATGTAAGAGAGGACTCTAGCAAGCGTTATTACCCATGTTTTAACCACATCAATAAGATAGCAACCCAGTCCAACAATGATTTTGCTCTGTTACTGAAAAATATCGCATGCAGTTGGACTGGCAAGTGGAATAAGTTAACTTTGAAGTCCTTAAGTTTATCTGTCAAAAATGGTGATCTTGTCCTCATCACCGGTCCTGTTGGTTGCGGCAAGTCGTCCCTTCTGTACGCCATTTTAAGGGAAATTTCTCTCTTTTCTGGCAGTGTATCTTGTCACGGTAAAATTGCCTGGGTTGGTCAACAGCCTTGGGTGTTCTCGGGTACCGTGCGAGAAAATATCTTGTTTGGTGAAAAATTCGATCCGCACTCGTACCGTGTGACGATCGAGGCGTGTGATTTAATCAGAGACTTTCAAAGATTCCCAGATGGTGATATGACGCTTGTTGGAGAGCGTGGAATAGTACTTAGTGGTGGTCAACGAGCTCGTGTTGAATTGGCACGCGCAGTGTACTCCAATGCTGATATATATCTTTTGGATGATCCTCTGAGCGCAGTTGATGCAGAGGTTGGGCAGCATATTTTTCAAACCTGCATCTGTGGGTTATTAAGCAAAAGTACTCGGATAATGGTTACGCATAATCTTCAGGCTTTAAGAGATGCCGAAGACATTGTAATAATGAAAGAAGGTACTATTTCAGCAAGGGGTGAAGCTATCTCACTGTGGAAGTCCGACATAGCCATGAATGAAATAAAGAAGTGTACTGATAAGAAGGAAAATTTTGACACAGCACAGGAAAGTACATTACCTCCAAACACGTTGGACAATGAAACAACAGTGGACGGAGAATCTGGTCTGGAAAATGCCGAGGAAGATCGTGCAGTGGGTTTTATATCTTGGAAGTTATATTGGCATTATATACGAGCTGGAACGTCTGCCATTTCAGCCGGGGTCATGTTCATCTTTATCCTACTTGTCCAAGGTTAAGAGTTGAGTATGAGTTCAGTTATCCTTTAAGGCACCTTTCTCTACAGGACATTTCCGTTAGAAAATGGGTGGGGGCGCTGTTACAGTGATATGGGAATCTCCATTCCCAAAACCCAAGTGATATGGGCATCCCCTTCTCATTTTAGCTTAGTGATTTGTGTTAGGGTTAGGGTTAAGGGAGATGCCCATATTACTAGGGTTTTGGAAATGGAGATGTCCAAAACGCGGGGATCCCATATCACTGTGACAGCGCCCCTCTCATTTTGTATGGGAAAAGTCGTGGGGACGAGGTTGCCTTTAAGGAAGTATCTTAAATGATGGCACCAGGGTAGAGGGCACTTCTCATGAAAATAAAGATATAGGGTGTTTACCCAGGAACAGGGTGTGGCCATGGGGCTTGTTAGTCCTCTATACAAAGGTTTCTGAAGTCCAGGCGACATCGAAGAATAAGGTGCTACGTGCTTTAAAGTTTACAAACCCTCATACTTCTTTTAGATATTTAATCTCATGGTGAGTCACTAAAAGTAAGTATTGGCGGTGCCATTTACAAAAATTCGGTTAGATATATTTTCAAAAGACTGTACTGGCCAGCGCCATAAAATAACGACGAGTAACGGTAAACAAAGTCTGCTCCTCAAAACGTAGAAAGAACTAAAAAGTTTTAAAATTTACACATGTTCGTGCCAGAGCAATGAAAAATGATTGTATCCTTTTGTTATAAGGCAGTGAAGTGGGACTCGTTCCAGTCTTAAGAGAGATTGTCCCTAGATTAGAAAATTAGCCATACGCTAAACACAGTTTCGCAATTAACGATTGAAAGAATAAAAACACTTACTAACGAATGAACCTGTCTTCTTTATGTATCGATCATAAAGCGTCCCTAGTTCTTCCCGACTGGTGGCTTCTTAAATTGACCAGTAGATCGCGTGATGCCCAACGTCAAAGTCAAGACCTTTCAATATATGGTTACCTGGTTGGTGCAGCCGTCTTACTATCAACCATCAGAGAGGCCACGTTCCTGAACGTGTTGATTAATTCATCGATGAGCCTTCATAACCTAATGCTGTCAGCGGTAGTCAAAGCTCCGGTTTTGTTTTTTGACACCAATCCAGTTGGACGAGTGTTGAACAGGTTTTCCAGAGATATTAACATTATGGAAGAATTACTACCAGAAGCGTTTCTGAGGGCCATGCAGGTAATTCTATTCTGCATTGGAGCAATTACACTTCAATCTGTGTTAATCCCCTGGATAATACTGCCAGCATTCCCACTCATGGTTATCTTTGCTTTGATCGGTCGATATTACCTCAATCCATCACGCGACTTGAGGCGCATAGAGGGAGTAACTCGAAGTCCAGTGCTATCTCATTTTAGCAACTCTTTGGAGGGACTGGTGAGCATTCGAACATACAACAAGGAAAACACGTCTATAGGAGCTTTGTACAGGTTTGTGATTATAAGAGACCTTAATTAATTTTCAAGAAAAGGACTCGAGATTTCTTAATAAAACTAAGTGGCGCGCGCGCGTGAACCAGCATCATTTTGGCGGGAAAACATGATAACTGTCATCATTCATGTCGTACAGTGGGGGAAGCAACTTTAGAAGTTTTGTAATTTTACTTTTCCGTGGTGCATTCTTTTTTGATAATGGGCGAAAAAAAAAAATGAAGTCAAATCTCGTCCTCATAGTGGCTCTCGTCCTCGAATCTGGGTTATACCCGGTCCTTTTAGAAGACAGTTACCGGTCACAAGTGCCTTTATCACCTCGAAACATCCATATCTGTAAGGTTTCAGCCGGCAAAGTAAAGTGTAATAGCATGTCTTTCGGGCTTCAGATAGAGAGTCATGAAAAGTTACGCGTGATACGCTCACGGCTTCCCCCGTCGCTCATGTGTTCTCTCCTAGCAACTCGCTTCGCTCTATAGAAATATAAAGCTTTCTCGCAGGCTTCCCCGACATGAAAGAACTTATTTTAGTGTAGCAATAATGATTAGTAAACGACATCATGATCAGTAAAAGGGAAAGTTGTTCACTTGGCGTTTGCTCTAAACATGATTTGGTTGAAACTGGAGGTAAAGCCGGCATTTGGGAAATTCTCACTATGGCTTAAAAGCACGAGTATGAGCCGTTTCTTGGAAGAAAAAAGGTGTATTTCTTTCGGGTGGAGCATCCCTTCATCTTGTAAACCATTAAAGGGGTACCCCGCGGGCTTTCAATGAGATCGAAAGAAAGAAATTCTTTCCCAGATTTCTTCAAAGCGAGTTGATTAGTTAGTTTTTAATTTGTTTCTTTATCATCAGATACCAGGATGACCACAATCGAGCTAATTTTGCCATTTTTGCAATAGCTAGATGGCTAGGCATACGTCTGGACATGATCTGCGTCATCTTCGCGACATTTGTCATTTATGTTGCAATCATTACTCAGTCTAAAGCAGGTAAATTGAAACAACAAATGGCCAAGTGAAAATGTGTAATGTTTAATTTTGGGACTCATGGACTTAACGTTAAATCCGTGACCCCCCAAATTAAACATTGCACATTTTTGTTAGGCAGGATTTTTGCAGCCATATCTTGTGCGATATATTTTATGGTTTTTTTTGCTGTTCACACCATAACAGGAACGTGATTTCACCATAATCGTTAGGTATAAAGTTAGTTCCTTAGCTCTATCTTGTTATTCTCCCTGATGAAGCTTGGGGTGTCAAGGTAACAACATGCTCACGTTGCTTCGTACTGTTCCCTAGTGTTCAACTGAAAAAATAAATATCATTAAAAATATTTTAAAATGCAATAAATTGTACACCTGAGCTCACCATACAGTCACGTGACACCTTTCAGCGGATTCCCTATTTTGACAGCTGTCAAATGACCATAACAGGTCCAATAAAAGTGAAACACAGATTGTATAGTAAGTTTGACATTTCACATCCGCTAACATGAATAAGCAGACGTAAGGAGAGACAAACAGCCACAAACGGATGACTTTGTCACAATCAAAATTTCTTGGATGCATAGATAACCAAAATCTAATATCCATAGTGCTCCGTTGTGCACGCTCTGCTGTAAATTGCGACTAGAACTGTAGTTTTTGTTTCGTTTTTGGCAGGGATTGCAGCATTATCCATTGTATACGCCCTGCAGTTTGCGGTTGACACGTCTCAGTATGCCGTTAGGATGTGGTCGCAAGCTGAAAGTTACATGACATCCGTAGAGCGGGTCGTCAAATACAGTCAAATAGAACAAGAGCCTGGGTACCAGAATCATCGACAGCCCCCAGAACATTGGCCCCAGTACGGTCAATTGCAATTAAAAAATGTGGAACTTGTTTACTACCACGGCGGACCCAAAATACTTAAAGGTATCACTTTTACTGTTAATCCACAAGAGAAGATCGGAATTGTTGGTCGCACTGGAGCTGGCAAGTCTTCACTGATTGCAGCCCTGTTTCGTATGCCTCAACCAACTGGTTACGTCATCATCGATGACGTCAATGTCGGTGATGTTAACATTCAAAGTTCTCGCCAAGCCATAGCGGTTATTACCCAGAATCCAGTGTTGTTTACCGGTACACTGAGAATGAATTTGGATCCTTTTGAGGAACACGAAGACAAGGAAATCTGGAATGCCTTGGAGGATGCGAGTTTGGAAGCCATGGTGAAAAAGCTTCCCAAGCAACTGAACCAGCTGGTGAAAGAAAGCGGAAGTAATTTCAGTACCGGAGAAAGGCAACTTTTGTGTCTGGCCCGTGCGTTATTGAGGAAGAACAAAATAATTGTTATGGATGAGGCAACGGCAAATGTGGATCACAAAACAGATCAATTAATCCAGGAAACACTTCGCACGAAATTTAAGCATTGTACCGTGATTACAGTTGCTCATCGATTGAACACAATCATGGATTATAATCGAATTTTGGTTCTGGATCACGGAAGAGTTGTAGAGTATGACAAACCAGAAATTTTACTTCAGAATGAAGGAGGATATTTTTCTAGACTTTGTCGTAGCTATGATGATAATGCCGACCAGTAAGAACTAAATATTGAGTTGAACTATATCCTACAAACATCTTGGCGAGTTTTAGTTACTAATCCTTCGAGGGATAGTTATTTAAGTAGCAACAATTGTCTCAATCCCTGAAATTTCTCTTTTTTTACTTAATTACCATATCTTTTGGATGTGAGCAGCCCTAATATCTAGGAATAAGAAGAAAAATACTTAGATTTCTGGGGATCATTGGGCTGATGGGGAGATTTAACCAAATGGGAGGTCTTGAATATTTTATGGCATGCCTGCCAAATCGAGCAGTGTCAAATATCGGTCCTGTAGCTCCATCTTTGAGCATCTGGACTTTTTAAGAATGACATAGGTTGCTCACCTGTTTCCGTAAACCGATCAAATAAACAAGATACTTAAAGTCTTAAGTAAAAATTTTGTGCAGTTTTTTTTCCTATGATTCAGGGGCACCCAACGACTAAATGTTTCCGAATACGTTAGAAATTTATCATAATTGGTTTTAGAAGCCTGTTTAGTTTTAAAATTTGGAGCTGTCGTAAAAACTATTGATCTGTTCGGATATCATAGCGTGTATTGGTTTGGTCGTCTTGAACATTTTAGTTGGCTTTTTCGTCTCATCCGGATCTCTAAGCTACCCTGATGGATCATCTCGAAAGTTCGTGGGCATGATTAAGTAGCTGTACTTTCGTTAGAATATTCTAAGGGGTATTTCTTTTACTTTTATACCGAAATTTCCGTTTATTCTTACAATAATTGCAATATCTTGGTACTAATGTGAAAAACTCAACCTCCGAAAATCGCGGGTAAGTTACGAGGGTCTATATTTAGCCTTTCTCGAGCTTTAAACTTTTCAAGTCAAAATTTGCCCCTTCGAAAACGTTTTTTCACAGGAAATAGTCGTTGGGTGACCATGATCATTTGTCTTGAGGGTGAGGGTAGCATCACCCTCACGTGCAGCACGGAGCAGTATTACTCTAGATCGGATGTTCACTCAGTGAACTTTGCTTGGCTAAACATGATAAACATCAGTAGATGATCACTTGACACACAAATGGGACAATGATTATGTTTTTTGAAGAGACAGTTTTGATCTCATCACGCCCCAGTCGTGTGCAGGATGCTTGTTACCTCAAACTCTCTACTGACTTGTGTAGATGAGCCTACTTTCGTCTTTAGATTTAATGTAATATAAACTGAATTCGTACTGACTTTGCAAACATATTCTTTATTATTATTACTATTACTATTAACTTCTCAATCTCTTTAGCAATTTATTTATTTTATTAATCTATATTTTTATTTAGACCTTCAGTATGTTACGACTCAGTGTCCGATTTCCTCTAACCGCTTAGATTGGCACTGCTTGCTGGTAGAGCAGTTGTAAATTATCTCTTTGTAATTCCTTGGTGAATAAACTCAAAGAAAAAAAAGGACTAGTCTTCCGTAGCTTAGTTTTAGAGCATCTGCATTAGTAACCAGTTGGTCATTCGTTAGATCCCTGTCAGGAAAACTTGTTTTTTGTTTGTTTCTTTCTTTTCCTAGTGGTCTGTGACTAGAGGATCTCAATCTCAAACGGCCTAAAAATTAACCGTCAACGATCAAAAACGTTATATTTTACCGTCAACGGTAAAAAAGGTTATATTTTACCGCCAAACGTCAAAAATGCACATTTGATTAAACGTCAATCAGGTGATTTTCACAAATATCACGAGATTCTGGCTAAGAAGAATCTCTTAACTGTAAAACTCACTTCCCATTTTCTCAAAAATTAAACACACTCTCACACTCTTACAAGGCCTTGCAACTTGCTTATATCTGAAACTATTTCCACTTTTTAAAAGCGAAAGGCCAAGACAACCTCCAAGACACAAATGAGATTTATTTCTGAAAGAAATAAATGGTTTTATGCTTAATGTGACTGATCATTATTGTATTTCTCCAGCTACCAGCAAAGGAGGGTTTCCTGTCATCCGGGTGATTTGTCACGAAAGTGTCATTTATGTCACGGGTCATGTAAGTCACAGAAGCGAGGCACAAGGCCTTCTTCCTCGCATTACAAGACAGTCAGAAACATTTTTCCCTCCCTTCCCTCCCGTTAGCTTTATTTTACCCTAGGGAGTGGCGGGTGTGCCCTCACCTTTGCTGGGATAATGTTCTTGTGTATCTGGTTTTCCCAGCTTTATATGCTTTAATTTAATAAACGGCCACTCCCGTGGCCAAAATATCCCATAATGGGTTTGTGATTATTTTGTGTCCCAGCAAACAGAGCTCACCCAAAGCGAGACTCCGCCAACATCAATAACTTTCGTAATATGTAAAGGAACATGAAGCATAAAGATTGATATTAATTTATACATACATTAATATTTACTTAAACTCTTGGAAAAAAATCTCTCCTTAATAAAAGTTAACCGTCAAAAGCTCTGAATCTTAACCGTCAAATGTTAAAATGGGAAAAAAATTAACCGTCAAAGCTACCACCCCATCGAGACCCTCAAATAACAGAGAAGTTCTTACAGGTTTTGTTTGATTGTCGCCAAGTATCACGTTTTTTGCAAAAGGCGTACGTGATCATCCTGGATTTTGACAGCTTTCTACTGCGCCTTAATGAAATTAATATTCTCCGCCACATAGCTTTTAGATCTAACCGCTTAGAGCAATTTAAAAAAACATGGGCCAAACTTCTTTAACTAGGTGAATGATAGTGTACCTGCTTTGATACATATTCCTTTAAGCTACACTGTACTGTTTCTCTCTTTAGATTAGCGTCTTCTTCTTTTAGTTTGTTTCCTTTTCTTTTTTTAATTTCCCTTACTTTTTTAGATTTATTTTATTTGTCAGCGGGCCATTGTGAAAATAGAAAATAGTTACTTTGCATATGCATCGTAACTGTTATTGTTCTTTCGTTTCATTTTCAATGTATTTAAATTTAAAAATTAAAGTAATGCTAAAATGAGCAATGTCAGAAAGAAACCTCTGCTGGCAGGGTAGGATCCCAGCACAGCGCCATGTCCCACTCGTCTAAGCGACATAAGTCGATCAGTCGCGGATCTAAAGGATAAATACTGAACGAGGGGCCGAGTGAGAGAGAAAATTTTTTATAAGCATTTTTTTAAAATTTCTCTTGGGACGGCTGTAATAACCAGGAGACATGAAAAACAAAGGTTATGCAAAATTTTAAGCCCTATTTCAAGCCCTCCTCTCCCTAATTCTTTACAACCAAATTAATAAATAAAATCACGAATATAATGATAGACTGTATTAATCATGACTGCAACACTTATTGTGGACTGATCCATCATGGTTTATTCGCGTGCTGAAAGTTCGGATTTGATTTTTATTATTGGCTTTATGACCACCAACTTCATGTGTTGAGCTTTTCCACTTTACGCTCTTGTTCTTTATCGAGAATCAATACGATCGGCATCTTGAAGCGGTACAGCGCTATATTTCGCTGTAAGGTTGAATAAGCCCCCCTCCCGTTTTCTCCATTAAGCCTCCCCCAAAGGTGCTTCAAATAACTAAGAACCCCAGGGAGCTTTATAGTGGAAGATTTACGGTATACACGTTTATGAAGGGTTAAAGAATAAAGCTGAAACACGTAAATACAGTCACTCTATACCCACCCAAACTAATAAGGGGTTGAAACGTGTAACTAGCGTTCAATGCCCGTGAATATTTATTTTTCTAACTACCATTAATATCTGGAAACTCTCGCTGCTGCCTCAAAAAAAAAAACAATAAGATTAACAACAACTTTGCACGTGTATCACGCTTAAGCTTTTTGCACATTTTTTTGCCGTCACAGTACGAAGTGCCTACCTTATTGTAAGAACTTAACGCTCCATGACTCATTGGATCGGAAATTAACGCGAAGCGACGCGACTTAAATTAACGCGAATTTGGTGGAAAACAAATTTCAAATAGAGGAAATTAACGAGAAAGAGAGGAGAAAATTTCAAAATGTAGGGAATTAACGCGACGCTCACAAGGAAACAAAACACGAGACAACCTAGCCCAGTGTCTGGTGTTTGGCATTTAGTGTTAGTGTATAGCGATGTAGGTGCCGTTGTGGGTTGTGTTCATTCTCTCTTGTGTAGTGATAGTAGTAACATTAATGCTTCGTTTCCTCGGCTTTCCGTTGTTATATGTTATGTGGTTTTTTTTCTTTTATTTATTGGAATTTTTTTCTCTATTTTATTTTTTTTCTTCATTTTATTTATTTATTATTATTTTTTGCAACCGTTGTCAAAAAATCTATAATGATTACTTTGAAAAAACCTGGGAACAGTGAAAAAAATGTTAAAACAACAGGTTCAATTGAAATTTAAACGTACACTGAAAAGGAAACTTTGTTCCTGACTGCCCTGAACGTAGGAAGGGTGAAGGGGGACAAGCGAAGAAATCTGTCCACTTCGAGGGTTCTTAACTGTTACTGGCGGAACTACTTTCTGATAAAATGCTCCTCTTTCTTATCCAAAGCGATGGAAATTCAGGTCGCTGAAGGTCGCAGAAATTAATTAACGGCGCGTAAATTAACGCTCCAAGAAATCAACGCGCCTTTAACGCGAATTTTTCGAAACATTAATTTCCTCCACCAAGTTCCCCTCTCCTGACTACCTCTCTGCTCGCTTCGCTCGCCGATTTTTTTCTCTTTTTTCCCCCAATGCGGAGCCTGGTCACAGGTTGACGTAGCATGTGCTTCCGCTCGAATTGTTGCGAGAACTCGACCGCAAACGCTTGCTATACCCAGGCTATTTAGCTGTTTTTTTAATAGCTATTTGTGATTTGCAATAAAAAGCAAAAATTGTCGCTAATAAATCCTCTGATAGTTTTGGAACATTTGAGAAAGAAACAGGATGCACTTTAACTTGCTGAGGCTCAAATAAACGGAGCAAATTAAGGAAATAAGTGAAATGTAGCGATTAATTTATTGAGGTTAATTTATTACACTATTACCATATTTAAATTTAGCGGGAAAAATGAATTGAGTTCGCTTCATTGCGCGCTAGACAGAAGTGGCGCTCAAGTCAACAGAAGTCAAATCATTGTCAAAATCTCTGTCAAATTCACGGCCTTTTTGTTGTCGATTGTTCACCGATGCTGCCTATATCTTGTGATCTTAAGTGGAAAAGTAAAGAATTCTACTATGCTTCGGAAGCAAGTTATGTGACTTGAAAGGTGAGTAGGTTTGTACTCTAAATAGTTATAGCTACATCAGAGGCTTTTAAAAAAAATAATGCGAGAGAAATATTCAAAAGATATGGCGCTAAGATGCTGAACCACATATCACGTGTTCAACTTGTAAAGACTAGCTGCTGACGATAATAAAGCTGTTAAGCATTTCTGTATTCTTATTCATGCAGCCAAGTAGTTCTAATGTACAATTTACTACTTTGCACGAAGAACTGTTTGACAATTGTTAAACGAACTGTACTCGTACTTCAAAGGATTAGGTCTATGTGGCTTGACTGTAACTGACATACTGGATAGCTTTTCGTGCCGACACGCAAAAATTATCCGGTATATAAGTGGTATAGTATATAACCGATATGTGACTCTCTATTTTAGAGAGCCCGGCCTCGCTCCGTTAAAGAAATTGCGCCGAAATCACCGTTGTTATGTCTAAACAAAAGCTAATGGAAGTCCTGTATCCGGTATGGGTTTGGTGCAGGCGTAAAAGCTATCTGGTATCCTCAGTAGATACCTGTGAATTCGAACTGATGAACTTTACTTGATATCATCGTAGGTTTATTACTGCCAAAGGTATATACTACCAAATGAACTTTTATACACCCCTCCGTAAGAGACCCAGTGGAATATCTATATCTTGACTGGCTTCTCGGAGAAAACGTCACTGGGTTGGTTTATTCTCCACTGAGTTTTTCTTCTCCTCTGTTCTTAGGGGTGGCAGGCCTTACATCGTTATCGGCATGATTGCTGTTGCGAGATTGATTACCTGTACCATCTGTATTTTGTTGATTCTTTGTTTTTGTCAATGGTCTGATAATGTTTCATATGTTTGCTTCTTTTAACCTGGCAAATGTGAACAACGGAATACACTGGTCTTGTAAGAGTCACGATAGAAAGTGACCGGGGAAGCAAAAGCTCGGCCTGGTAGAAACAAACTATTCGTTGGGTATTGAGAAGGCTAAATTATCACTGGGTAGACTTAATTAAACCACTGAGTAGGATTTCAATGGATCTGTTACAGAGGGGTATTTTATATACCCTCTTTTGTTTTTATAAGAATGTTGTTTTTGAATATTCTGAATATTCTTATTTTTTCCGGCGATTTTAGGCTGAAAATATTCTTGTATTATTCTTAAATTGTAGCCTTTGACTTTTTTATTTTGGAATGTATTGGTGTATAAATTGCAGTTATGATAAAGGCACATTGTTTTTCTTTTTGGTGGCTAGCTTTGCCTTTAAGAGAAAGAGTAATAATTTCACGGTTAAGCTTAAAACATATAGTTGTATTGTGTAAACAGATTTTTACCGGGGCATCATTTCGCATTTTTAATATTCCTTTACAAGTGCATTGGAGGTAATAATTATATTCTATTTCAAATTTGTAAACGTAATAGTCTATCCTTAACAATCAGTCTAGGACACAATTGGCCAATATATAATTATTGGCCAAAAGAGCTCATTCTCTCTTGTTGTTTTTCTATTTTTTCCTGCATTTAATATTAATAACTGCCTCGTTGAGAATGTAAATTGCTCACTCATTTCCCAATTAACTATGTTGAGGTATTTCGTCTTTCTTGTTACCATACGGATGCTTTACACAGAGATTAGACCTTAGAAAATTTTTATAAATTATTTTGCTGTTGACCGTACGTAGATACTTGTGGGGGGGTAACTTTTCAGACAATGATAGATCAAACGCTGGATAGTGCTAACCACCGGATATATCACTATGCAATGGATAAGTATTAGGAAAACCAATTTATCCACTGGATAAAATATTTATCTGGATAAATCAGTATCACTGATTCAGTGGACAATAGTGAGGGAAACCAATCCTAGAGGCCATTTCCGAGTTCCTCCGGGGCTCTGTCAAAACGAGGTTAAGTGCTCAGCCTTTGATATGGAAATGATTTTTCATTCTCATGCAAATAAACATTTTCACAAGAAAGTTTGTGCACTTGGCCTCATTTTGAAAGTGAGGGTTTTTGGAAATGAGAAGTGGCCTATTCCGTTGTCGGCTGGATAGAGATTTTTATTCAGTGGATAGCGTTTAATTTACCTTTTGAAAAGTCGACGGATTAAATCAGACAAATCATTCGTACAAAAAATCATTCCATTTGATGCGAATCGTCAATTATACAACGTACAACCCGTCACTTGTGTGAAAACGACTAACAATTCCTTTTTTTCCAGGTATGGCAATGAACGGAGAGTACGACCGTCTAAATACTTTGGGATGGAAAGAAAATCCCAAGAAAAACGCCAGTATTTTTTCCATTCTTTTCTACCGGTGGGTTGGGGAGATTGTTGCCATCGGCAACAAGCGCCCCATTGAAATCGACGATCTTTTCCCTTTACTGAGCGAGGACAAAACTGAAACTTCAGCTGAAAACCTCCAACGGACATGGAGCGAAGAGAAGGCAAGAGGTGTCGCTGTGACAGACAGAAGAGGTTATCGACTGTTCAGAGCTCTTATCCAAATGTTTTCTTGGACTTACCACCTGTTTGTTGCGAGCGCTACTTTTTTAGCCGGCGTTTGCAATGTCCTTCAGTGCGTGTTTTTGAGTTTGTTGTTAGGGCAGTTTGTGAAGTCTTCCTCCTCTGGTCGCTGGCTGATGTACTTCTATGCTGCTGGCATTTGTCTTAGTTCACTGGTGCGCGCCATTGCTACCCACCAATGGGTATTTCATGCTTATTTAATAGCTCTTCGGTGGAAATCAGGAACTCTCGCAGTTATCTATAAAAAGGTGAGAAAACGCATGCGGCAAATTGTCTAAGCTCTAATCGACTGAGGGTAATAATACAACCAAACACACACTTGTTACCTGGTCAATTACCAATTCAAGTCTCATATGAAATGAGTAGCAACATTCCACCTACGTCGAAAAAATAGACAAAATGGCGGGCGGATCTCCCTGAAGGCCTTGCGTGTCCCTTTCCCCATGCAATGAAGCCGATTTTTGAGGGGAGGGGATAGACTGCACGCACCCTTTCCTCGAATAAAAGCCGTCCCTCGATTAATCGTCCCCCTTTGATGGAAATATTCAAAATAATCGCCTCCCTCTAACAATCGCCTTCCCTCGAACAATCGCCCCCTTTTAATACGAAAATAGAAACAATCGCCCAAGGCTATTATTCGAGGAAATACCTTATACCAAGTATGGCCGGCAACTGCGCTCTAACAATTAAGTCTGGAATATCCAGTTTCTTATGCCAAGCCAGTCTGAGCGTATTTTGAGATGGATCCCGTCTACGAGTCCCTACTTACGACCCCAGCGCGTGAGAAATGTCAACTTTCAAAGTTTTTTAAAGAGCTGAAGTTTGAATAATTAGATTATATTCGTGCATGCTCCATCGGTAACTATTACAATATTTGCAATAGAAAACGTTTTCCGTGTTTGCATAGCCTGATATAACCACGAGAGGGGTTGCGAGACAGTTATGCAAACCCGAGACGAAGTCGAGTGTTTGCATAACTGTCGAGAATTCTCCCAACGCCTCGAGTGTTTATATCAGGCTAAGCAAACACAGGAAAAAAGTTTTCTATTGCTTTTAAGAAATAACTTTCCTGAGAAAAAACGCAAAACTTTTTGTATGGCACTGATTAAAAAGAAATTCTTACCAGTCGCCAAGTCTTGTCCACGAAGTCTTGTTCTTGTTTTGCAAAAAGATGCTTTCCAAAATACGGATTTTTCTCTCTTAAAATGTCAGCTTAAGCGTAGAAAAATTGACACACCTTCTTTGTAACGATTTTCCAAGTTTCAGCCGACGAAGGAATGGGTAAATAAATAAAAGATGTCGAGTTTTGAACTCGAAATTTTTTTCAAATTCTTGCTTGCGTGATTAGCGCGCGAAAAGCAAAACATCTTGACCCCACAACCATGTTTACATACTCTCATGCAAACACTCCTCTCGGCCAATCAGAGCGCTCGTGCTATCTTAGTTATTTTAAAAATCTTTTTAATTCAACATATCTCTGAAACGCAGGTCTTGAGTTTGAATCAAGAGGATTTATTAAATGTGACAAGTGGCTGGATCATTAACCTTGTCGCTGGTGACCTTCAACGTTTTGAACATTCCGCATTGAGCATATTTCTCCTACCTCAAGCTGTATTAGAAGTGTGTAGTATCTCTTGTCTAATGGTGTACTTCTTTGGGTGGAAACCTCTGTCAGGGGTAGCTTTTATGGTCAGTCTTGCGTTATATTACGGAATAGCTGGACAAATCAGCTTAAGACTGCGAACGAAAATTTCTCATGTGGCGGATCAACGCGTGGATATGATGAATTCCATCATTTCTGGAATTCGTGCCGTCAAGATGTATGCTTGGGAGGGATCGTTCATGGAAAAAGTCAAACGGATTCGAAGGTATATTACATAGACATAATTAACTATTGAGACCCATTCACAGTTTTTTTTTTTTCAAGTTCTGACAAAGACCAGTAAGCGAATATCCATCGACACTACTGGACAGAGGTCATTTATAATTATATAAGGTATTTGTATGGTAGGGAGCGCTTACTTGCCCTCTCCCCCCTCCCCCACCATACAATTGTCAATGTAAATTACGCGACTTTGCGGTGCTGTATCTTCGTTAGTTTAAAACAAAGTGACTTTCAAACTTGGAACTTTACCTATTTTTAAGCGTTGCTGATGGATGCTCGTTAACTAATCTCAGTCAAAAGTTGAAAAAGCCGTGGAAAGATCTATTCCAAATTTATTAACCAAATATATTTCTTCCAAATTGGGTAAGCATATTGGACCCGTCATTTCGTACAAGGCTACATCGATGCCAAAATCATCACATCCAGCTATTTCGAGAAGGTCGTCGGAAAAAATGTGCACGTGACAATCCCGAAAGGTAATATATAATATAGGATATGATAAATACACTGTTCATGATACTGTAGTTGTCGAACCTACTTTTGATGCGTTCCTTTAGCACTCGCAAACATTCGTTCATGCCCTTTGTTTCATGCCATTCTTTCTTTGAGGAACGGTACACTAAAAACCACCAACAATACCTTTCGGGATTGTCGCGTGCTCTTTTTCTGACAACCTTTCTCGAAATAGCTGTAAACTCTACTAGACTTGAAATGATATCTAGGCGACTTTTGTCCCCGCGTAACTTCCCCCTCTCTCCTTTCATTGCTCTGTATTCGTTTTCGTTATGTCACCAAAGATTTCATTCCAAAAGGAGTCATACCGGTGCGATTTCATTGCAGCTTGACGTATAGCGTGATGTCCAGCAACAGGTATCATGTAAACGAACAATAAAGAACTCATTACAATTTAGATTCCACCCAGTCCCACTGGACTAGAACTAATGGTGTAAGTGTAATTTTAATTTGTCAATCCTCGGCGCCGGCGTCGTCATAATCCATAGAGATATGGTACCTTTGCCTCCTTCACAAGCTTTCCTAAAGCTTATTGGGAACAGGGACTCATATTACCGGTGATGGAGACAAGGCAGGGAGAGAGAGCTGAGAACAAGTGAGAAGCGCGTGAGGGGGATGATGGGAACGAGCGCATAGGAGGCGTGGATACGAAGGGAGTGCCTTTTCTGCTAAACATAGTATATAAAAGGGTAATTTAAGGATTGGAACTCGGGGCGGAACCTCCTCGTATAAAACTTTGTTGAGTACCCCTCCGGGTTCAAAATACATCACTATTAAATAACACCCTCAGTCAATTTTTGCAAATTGTAAGGATACCCGCTTACTATGGTTTTTTTCCAGGACCGAAATCAACCTCATAAGAATGAAAACGGTGATACTGGCAACCTTCGCTTCTCTTTTTTTCTCCTGTCAAGTGATTGCGACTTTCTTCTCACTGGTTACGCTGGCGGCTACTGGAACTGAACTGACTGTGTACAACACGTTTTTGATTGTATCCTTTGTCAACTCATTAAGGACGACCATTTCGTGGAATATTGCAAGACCAATTTATTTATTGGCCGACTTTGCCGCAGCGCTGGCTCGCATCCAGAAGTTTCTCGAATTTGAGAACAAGAACACACACAGATACCTAAAAGATTCCTTCGGCGATGCGATAAATGTAAGAGAGGACTCTAGCAAGCGTTATTACCCATGTGTTGATCACATCAATGAAATAGCAACCCAGTCCAGCCAAGATTTTGCTGTGTTACTGAAAAATGTCGCATGCAGTTGGAATGGCAAGTTGAATAAGTTAACTTTGAAGTCCTTAAGTTTATCTGTCAAAAATGGTGATCTTGTCCTCATCACCGGTCCTGTTGGTTGCCGCAAGTCGTCCCTTCTGTACGCCATTTTAAGGGAAATTTCTCTCTTTTCTGGCAGTGTATCTTGTCACGGTAAAATTGCCTGGGTTGGTCAACAGCCTTGGGTGTTCTCGGGTACCGTGCGAGAAAATATCTTGTTTGGTGAAAAATTCGATCCGCACTCGTACCGTGAGACGATCGAGGCGTGTGATTTAATCAGAGACTTTCAAAGATTCCCAGATGGTGATATGACGCTCGTAGGAGAGCGTGGAATAGTACTTAGTGGTGGTCAACGAGCTCGTGTTGAATTGGCACGCGCAGTGTACTCCAATGCTGATATATATCTTTTGGATGATCCTCTGAGCGCAGTTGATGCAAAGGTTGGCCAGCATATTTTTCAAACATGCGTCTGTGGATTATTGAGCAAAAGTACTCGGATAATGGTCACGCATAATCTTCAGGCTTTAAGAGATGTCGAAGACATTGTAATACTGAAAGAAGGTACTCTTTCAGCAAGGGGCGATGGTATCTCGCTGTGGAAGTCCGACATAGCCATGAATGAAATAAAGAAGTGTATCGATAGGAAGAAAAATATTCACAAAGCACAGGAAAGTACATTACCTCCAAACACGTTGGGCGATGAAACAACAGTGGACGGAGAATCTGGTTTGGAAAATGCCGAGGAAGATCGTGGAGTGGGTTTTATATCTTGGAAGTTATACTGGCATTATATACGAGCTGGAACGTCTGCCATTTCAGCTGCGGTCATGTTCATCTTTATTCTACTTGTCCAAGGTTAAGAGTTGAGTATGAGTTCAGTTATCCTATAAGGCAACTTTCTCTCCAGGGCATTTCCCTTAGAAAATGGGTGGGGCGCTGTTACAGTGATATGGGCATCTCCTTCTCATATTATCTTAGTGATTTGGGTTAGGGTTAGGGTTACAAGGGATGCCCATATTACGTGGGTTTGGGGAATGGGGATGCCCATGTCATTGTGACAGCGCTCCTTTTTTATGGGAAAAGTCCTGGGGACGGCGCTGCCTGTAAGGAAGTATCTTAAATGATGGCACCAGGGTAGAGGGCACTTTTCATGAAAATAAAGACATATAGAGTGTTTACCCAGGAACAGGGTGTGGCCTTAGGGCTTCTTAACCCTCTATATAGAGTTTTCTGAAGTCCAGGTGACATCGAAGAATAGGATGCTACATGCTTTAAAGTTTACAAACCCTCATACTTCTTTTAGAGATTTAATCTCATAGACTATCATACCGTTAGTCAATAAAAGTAAGTATAAGTTAAAATATATCTAGCCAATTTTTTGAAATCGAACCTAGCGAATTAAATTTGCACCAATTTGAGTGAGAAAAAAGCAAAAGGCAAGTCAATTTTTGAAACCGATAAGCTTAAAAATCACACCAGCGAAGGAAAAAGAAAGGAGAAAAAGCGAGGAGGAAGAAAGGAGCCAGGAGAAGAGAAAAAAAAGCAATGGTTGAACTCTTAGTTTTTATATTGGCTACTTTGGAGATAGTTTTTGGACGAAAAACTGCTGAAGCTATTGGTGGTGCCCTTTTCAATAATTCGGTTAGATATATTTTCAAAACACTGTATTGGCCAGCGCCATAAAATAACGACGAGTAAGGGTAAACGAAGTTTAAAACTAAAAACTATGTTCGTGCCAGAGCACTGAAAAATGATTGTATCCTATTGTTACATAGTTACTAAGTCCCCACTAAGTTAGTAGGGAGGAGCGTTGCGTGAAGACAGTAAAAATGGCTGTGTAGCAGACTAATTGTTATAAGTCAGTGAAGTGGGACTCGTTCCAGTCAAAAGAGATATTTTTCCAAGATTAGAAAATTAGCCATACGCTAAACACAGTCTCTACCTTCTCATTTTCCTTACTGTCATGTCTGGTCAAGCGTGCCCGTAGACTCCGTCTAGGAACTCAGTCGTTATTTGAAAATTTGATCTATTAGTTGTTGTGATAGTAGTACGTGTAACGAATATAATGGTTCCACCTTTAAATTATCAGTTTATTGATAGAACCTATGAATGTACGCTTGATCTGGCGCAATTGGCGATTGAAAGAAGAAAAGGACTTACTAACGAATGAACCTGTCTTCTTTATGTATCGATCATAAAGCATCCCTAGTTCTTCCCGACTGGTGGCTTCTTCAGTTGACCAGTAGATCACGTGATCCCCAGCGTCAAAGTCAAGACCTTTCAATATATGGTTACCTGGTTGGTGCAGCTTTCTTACTATCGACCATCAGAGCGGCGACTTTCCTGAACGTGTTGATTAACTCATCGATGAGCCTTCATAACTTAATGCTGTCAGCGGTAGTCAAAGCTCCGGTTTTGTTTTTTGACACCAATCCAGTTGGACGAGTGTTGAACAGGTTTTCCAGAGATATTAACATCATGGAAGAATTACTGCCAGAAGCATTTCTGATGGCCATGCAGATAATTCTATTCTGCATTGGAGCAGTTACACTTCAATCTGTGTTAATCCCCTGGATAATACTGCCAGCATTTCCGCTCATGGTTATCTTTGCTTTGATTGGTCGATATTACCTCAATCCATCACGTGACTTGAGGCGCATAGAGGGAGTAACTCGAAGTCCAGTGCTATCGCATTTTAGCAACTCTTTGGAGGGACTGGTGAGCATTCGAAATTACAACAAGGAAAACATGACTATAGGAGCTTTGTACAGGTTTGTGATTATAGAAGACCTTAATTAATTTCCACGACAAGGACTACGAGATTTCTCAATGAAACTAAGTGGTATGCGCGCGTGCACCGGTGTCATTTTGGCGGGAAAACATGATGACCAGCGTTATTCATGTCGTAGTGGTGAAGCAAGGTATGAAATGTTAGAAGTTTTGTCATTTTAGTTTTCCAGGTGTCTTCTTTTTTGATAATACGCGAAAAAAATGTGAAGTCAAATCTCGTCCTCATAGTGGCTCTCGTCCTCGAATTTGGGTTATAGCCGGTCCTTTTAGAAGACAGTTACTTGTCACAAGTGCCTTTATCACCTTGATACATCCATATCTGTAGGGCCTGGGCCAGCAATGGAAAAGCTGAGTATCATCTGAAGAATTATGGAGATCGAGGAAGGTCTTATCCGCCGAGGCCGTAAAGATCATACGAAAGCCGAGTTCAATAGTTGTTTTATTAAAAATAATTCTAGTTTAAAAACAAGCTAAAACATGCTTACCTCCATCGAAGTTAAGTTCATCTTCGATAGTGCACGTTAATCGGCAAGTTTAGGAGCGAAAGGGTTGTTCAGCTCTGCAAATATTCTCCAAATAGCAGATGTCACCCTTCGAATTGTCTTCTTGCTGTTCTTGCTATGTTTTTAGCCAATAGTTCGCCTATTCCACAGGAAAAAATAATGGATTCCCATTTTTGGATATTTTAGGGTGTTTAAAGAATACCCATAAAAAAGTGGAAAAGTGAGACAAGTCCCAACCAGGGACTGGTGTCTCACTCTTCCAAATTTGGGATTTTTGTGGGTATTCTTTAAATACCCTAAAATATCCAAAAATGGGAATCCGTTATTTTTTCCTGTGTTCCTTCCCGGTGAAACGAAAAATCGTGTCCGCCATATTTCGTTCTCACTACCGAAACAACTCAACCTCGACCCCAGGTCTTCTCGGTTAACGGTTCAGTAATCTGTGATAATCATCAGTTCAATATGGCAAAATTCTTCCAAATTTGGCCGACAATAGCTGGTTATGATGAATTATGCGTGTGATTTTAGCCAATCAGAAACGGAGAAATATTTTGAATGAATAATAATAAGTTTTTCGGGCTTTATAAAGAGAGTCGTGAGAAGTGACGCGTGACACGCTCACGGCTTCCCCCCTCGCTCGTGTGTTCTCTCGTGGCTACTCGCTACCCTTTATACAAATAGTGAGCTTGCTCGCAGGCTAACTTGACATGAAAAAACTTATTTTAGTGTAGCAATAATGATTAGTAAACGATATCAGTAAAAAGGAAAGTTGGTCACGTGGCGTTTGCTCTAAACGTGATTTGGTTGAAACTGGAGATAAAGAATATGGGAAATTCTCACTGGGGCTTAAAAGCACAAGTATATATGAGCCGTGTTTTGGACGAAAAAAGGTATATCTCTTTCGGCTGGAGCATGCCTTCATCTTGTAGACCATTAAATGGGTACCCCGCGGGCTTTCAATGAGATCGACAGAAAGAAATTCTTCCCTAGATTTCTTCAAAGCGAGTTGATTGATTAGTTTTTAATTTGTTTGTTAATCATCAGATACCAGGATGACCACAATCGAGCTAATTTTGCCATTTTTGCAATAGCTAGATGGCTAGGCATACGTCTGGACATGATCTGCGTCATCTTCGCGACATTTGTCATTTATGTTGCAATCATTACTCAGTCTAAAGTAGGTAAATTGAAACAACAAATGGCTAAGTCAAAATGTGCAATATTTAATTTTAGGACTCACGGATTTAACTTTAAATCCTTGAGCCCCAAAATTAAGCATTGCACATTTTGGAACGAAGGATTTTTGTAGCCATATCTTGCGCGATTTATTTTGTGGGTGTTTTTTGCTAGTCACACCTTAACTGGAACGTGATTTCACCATAATCGTTAGGCATAAAGTTTGTTCCTTAGCTCCATCTTGTTATTCTCCCTGATGGAGCTTGGGGTGTAAAACCGGTCGAAGAAATAAAAAAAAGGTAACAACATTCTCACGTTGCTTCGTGCTGCTCACTAGTGTTCAATTAAAAAATATATATCATTAAAAATATTTTAAAATGCAATAAATTGTACACCTGAGCTCACGATACAGTCATGTGACAGTGGTCAGCGGATACCCTATTTTGACAGCTGTCAATTGACCATAACATGTAGGTCCAATATCAAGGTAAACAGAGGTTGTATATGCGTTGGACTCCAAGCTAGTAAGTTTGACATTTCACACGCGCTAACATGAAAAGACAGACGTAAGGACAGACAAACGGATGACTTTTTCGCAATCAAATTTCTTGAATGCATAGATAACCAAAATCTAGTATCCATAGTGCTCCACTGTGCACGCTCTGCTGTAAATTGCGACTAGAAATGTAGTTTTTGTTTCGTTTTTGCTAGGGATTGCAGCATTATCCATTGTATACGCCCTGCAGCTTGCTGTTGACACGTCTCAGTATGCCGTTAGGATGTGGTCACAAGCTGAAAGTTACATGACGTCCGTGGAGCGTGTCGTCAAATACAGTCAAGCAGAACAAGAGCCTGGGTACCAGAATCATCGACAGCCTCCAGAACATTGGCCCCAGTACGGTCAATTACAATTAAAAAACGTGGAACTTGTTTACTACCACGGCGGACCCAAAATACTTAAAGGTATCACTTTTACTGTTAATCCACAAGAGAAGATCGGAATTGTTGGTCGCACTGGAGCTGGCAAGTCTTCATTGATTGCAGCCCTGTTTCGTATGCCTCAACCAACTGGCTACGTCATCATCGATGACGTCAATGTCGGTGATGTTAACATTCAAAATTCTCGCCAAGCCATAGCGGTTATTACCCAGAATCCAGTGTTGCTTACCGGTACACTGAGAATGAATTTGGATCCTTTTGAGGAACACGAAGACAACGAAATCTGGAATGCCTTAGAGGATGCGAGTTTGGAAGCCATGGTGAAAAAGCTTCCGATGCAACTGAACCAGCTGGTGAAAGAAAGCGGAAGTAATTTCAGTACCGGAGAAAGGCAACTTTTGTGTCTGGCCCGTGCGTTATTGAGGAAGAACAAAATTATTGTTATGGATGAAGCAACGGCAAATGTGGATCACAAAACAGATCAATTAATTCAGGAAACACTTCGCACGAAATTTAAGCATTGTACCGTGATTACAGTTGCTCATCGATTGAACACAATCATGGATTATAATCGAATTTTGGTTCTGGATCACGGAAGAGTTGTAGAGTATGACAAACCAGAAATTTTACTTCAGAATGAAGGAGGATATTTTTCCAGACTTTGTCGTAACTATGATGATAATGCCGACCATTAAGAACTAAATATTGAGTTGAACTTTAGCCTACAAACATCTTGGCGAGTTTTAGTTTCTAATCCTTCGAGGGATAGTTATTTAAGTAGCAACAATTGTCTCAATCCCTGAAATTTCTCTTTTTTTACTTAATTACCATATCTTTTGGATGTGAGCAGCCCTAATATCTAGGAATAAGAAGAAAAATACTTAGATTTTTGGGGATCATTGGGCTGATGGGGAGATTTAACCAAATGGGAGGTCTTGAATATTTTATGGCATGCCTGCCAAATCGAGGAGTGTCAAATATCGGTCCTGTAGCTCCATCTTTGAGCATCTGGACTTTTTAAGAATGACATAGATAGGTTGCTCACCTGTTTCCGTAAACCGATCAAATAAACAAGATACTTAAAGTCTTAAGTAAAAATTTTGTGCAGTTACTTTTCCTATGCATGATTCAGGGGCACCCAACGACTGAATGTTTCCGAATACGTTAGAAATTTATCATAATTGGTTTTAGAAGCCTGTTTAGTTTTAAAATTTGGAGCTGTCGTAAAAACTATTGATCTGTTCGGATATCATAGCGTGTTTTGGTTTGGTCGTCTTGAACATTTTAGTTGGCTTTTTCGTCTCATCCGGATCTCTAAGCTGCCCTGATGGATCATCTCGAAAGTTCGTGGGCATGATTAAGTAGCTGTACTTTCGTTAGAATATTCTAAGGGGTATTTCTTTTACTTTTATACCGAAATTTCCGTTTATTCTTACAAGAATTGCAATATCTTGATACTAATGTGAAAAACTCAACCTCCGAAAATCGCGGGTAAGTTACGAGGGTCTATATTTAGCCTTTCTCGAGCTTTAAACTTTTCAAGTCAAAATTTGCCCCTTCGAAAACGTTTTTTCACAGGAAATAGTCGTTGGGTGACCATGATCATTTGTCTTGAGGGTGAGGGTAGCATCACCCTCAAGTGCAGCACGGAGCAGTATTGCTCTAGATCGGATGTTCACTCAGTGAACTTTGCTTGGCTAAATATGATAAACATCAGTAGATGATCACTTGACACACAAATGGGACAATGATTATGTTTTTTGAAGAGACATTTTGATCTCATCACGCCCCAGTCGTGTGCAGGATGCTTGTGACCTCAAGCTCTCTACTGACTTGTGTAGATGAGCCTACTTTCGTCTTTAGATTTAATGTAATATAAAATGAATTCGTACTGACTTTGTAAACAAATTCTTTATTATTATTACTATTACTATTAACTTCTCAATCTCTTTAGCAATTTATTTGTTTTATTAATCTATATTTTTATTTAGACCTTCAGTATGTTACGACTCAGTGTCCGATTTCCTCTAACCGCTTAGATTGGCACTGCTTGCTGGTAGAGCAGTTTGTAAATTATCGCTTTGTAATTCTTTGGTGAATAAACTCAAAGAAAAAAAGGGACTAGTCTTCCGTAGCTTAGTTTTAGAGCATCTGCATTAGTAACCAGTAGGTCATACGTTAGATCCCTGTCAGGAAAACTTGTTTTTTGTTTGTTTCTTTCTTTTCCGAGTGGTCTGTGACCAGAGGATCTCAATCTCAAACGGCCTAAAAATTAACCGTCAACGATCAAAAACGTTATATTTTACCGTCAACGGTCAAAAAGGTTATATTTTACCGTCAAACGTCAAAAATGCAGATTTGATTAAACGTCAATCAGGTGATTTTCACAAATATCACGAGATTCTGGCTAAGAAGAATCTCTTAACTGTAAACGCGACGCTCACAAGGAAACAAAACACGAGACAACCTAGCCCAGTGTCTGGTGTTTGGCATTTAGTGTTAGTGTATAGCGATGTAGGTGCCGTTGTGGGTTGTGTTCATTCTCTCTTGTGTAGTGATAGTAGTAGCATTAATGCTTCGTTTCCTCGGCTTTCCGTTATTATATGTTATGTTTTTTTTTTCTTTATTTATTGGAATTTTTTTCTCTATTTTATTTTTTTTCTTCATTTTATTTATTTATTATTATTTTTTGCAACCGTTGTCAAAAAATCTATAATGATTACTTTAAAAAAAACCTGGGAACAGTGAAAAAAATGTTAAGACAACAGGTTCAATTGAAATTTAAACGTACACTGAAAAGGAAACTTTGTTCGTGACTGTCCTGAACGTAGGAAGGGTGAAGGGGGACAAGCGAAGAAATTTGTCCACTTCGAGGGTTGAACTACTTCCTGATAAAATGCTCCTCTTTCTTATCCAAAGCGATGGAAATTCAGGTCGCTGAAGGTCGCAGAAATTAATTAACGGCGCGGAAATTAACGTTTCAAGAAATCAACGCGCCTTTAACGCGAATTTTTCGAAACATTAATTTCCGCCACCAAGTTCCCCTCTCCTGACTACCTCTCTGCTCGCTTCGCTCGCCGATTTTTTTTCTTAGGCCACGCCGATTTTTTTCTCTTTTTTCCCCTAGTGCGGAGCCTGGTCCCAGGCTGACGTAGCATGTGCTTCCGCTCGAATTGTTGCGAGAACTCGACCGCAAACGCTTGCTATACGCAGGCTATTTAGCTGTTTTTTTAATAGCTATTTGTGATTTGCAATAAAAAGCAAAAATTGTCGCTAATAAATCCTCTGATAGTTTTGGAACATTTGAGAAAGAAACAGGATGTACTTTAACTTGCTGAGGCTCAAATAAACGGAGCAAATTAAGGAAATAAGTGAAATGTAGCGATTAATTTATTGAGGTTAATTTATTACAGTATTACCATATTTAAATTTAGCGGGAAAAATGAATTGAGTTCGCTTCATTACGCGCTAGACAGAAGTGGCGCTCAAGTCAACAGAAGTCAGATCATTGTCAAAATCTCTGTCAAATTCACGGCCTTTTTGTTGTCGGTTGTTCACCGATGCTGCCTATCTTGTGATCTTAAGTGGAAAAGTAAAGAATTCTACTATGCTTCGGAAGCAAGTTATGTGACTTAAAAGGTGAGTAGGTTTGTACTCTAAATAGTTATAGCTACATCAGAGGCTTTTAAAAAAATAATGCGAGAGAAATATTCAAAAGATATGGCGCTAAGATGCTGAACCACATATCACGCGTTCAACTTGTAAAGACTAGCTGCTGACGGTAATAAAGCTGTTAAGCATTTTTGTATTCTTATATTGATGCAGCCAAGTGGTTCCAATGTACAATTTACTACTTTGTACGAAGAACTGTTTGACAATTGTTAAGCAAACTGTATTCGTACTTCAAAGGATTAGGTCTATGTGGCTTGACTGTAACTGACATACTGGATAGCTTTTCGTGCCGACACGCAAAAATTATCCGGTATATAAGTGGTATATTATATAACCGATACGTGACTCTCTATTTTAGAGAGCCCGGCTTCGCTCCGTTAAAGAAATTGCGCCGAAATCACCGTTGTTAGGAGTAAACAAAAGCTAATGGAAGTCCTGTATCCGGTATGGGCATAACGAGCTGCACGGTCTTAGCAACCAAAAAAACCCCTCAGTATCCAGCTGAGATAGCTGAGTAAAAGTCAGCTATCTCAGCTGGATACCCAGTAGCTTGCAACATTCCCTATTCCCTTAATCTCTGATCGTATTTCGCATCTAATATGATAGAGGCGTCAATTTTCACGCAATCATGTCATCATCCTGGGGCGGCAAATAAAATTAATTAAAAATGCGGTATCAAACAAAATGTCCGCAAAAAATAATACAGTGCCTTCTAAAAAGAACATTTTAAAGTCTGCGGTGGATTTCATTGCCAACGTGTTATATATCCTAGAAGCGCTCAGGCATAATAACATCATGCCAGGACTTCTACCTGGGTGAACCAGAAAGGATATAGAACAACAGCCTATTTTTTTTTTTTCGGCTACGGGTCGAAACGCTAAACGTGTTATATATCCCAGAAGCGCTCAGGCATAATAACATCATGCCAGGACTTCTACCTGGGTGAACCAGAAAGGATATAGAACAACAGCCTAATTTCTTTTTTTCGGCTACGGATCGAAATGCTAAACGTGTTATATATCCTAGAAGCGCTCAGGCATAATAACATCATGCCAGGACTTCACCTGGGTGAACCAGAAAGGAATGCTACGGACTTGTTATATTGGGGCATATCATCATGCCAGGAAGGATATAGAACAACAACGCTAATTTTTTTTTTTTCGGCTACGGATCGAAATGCTAAACGGTTATATATCCTAGAAGCGCTCAGGCATAATAACATCATGAACAGGACTTCACCTGGCTGAACCAGAAAGGATATAGAACAACTGCCTAATGCTAAACGTGTTTTATTTTTTTTCGGCTACGGATCAAAATGCTTAACGTATTATATATCCTAGAAGCGCTCAGGCATAATAACATCATGCCAGGACTTCTACCTGGGAGAACCAGAAAGGATATAGAACTACCGCCTAATTTTTATTTTCGGCCACGGATCAAAATGCTTAACGTATTATATATCCTAGAAGCGCTAAGGCATAATAACATCATGCAAGGACTTCTACCTGGATGAACCAGAAAGGGTATAGAACAATTGCCTATTTTTTTTTTTCGGCTACGGATCGAAAAATGCTTTTTTTCCTAGAACAAGAAGCGCTCGGGCTATGCCAGGACTTCTACCTGGATGAACCAGAAAGGATATAGAACAACGCCTAATTTTTTTTTTTACGGCTACTGAACGGATAAACGTGTTATATATCCTAGAAGCGCTCAGGCAGAAATAATAACATCATGCCAGGACTTCTACCTGGGTGAACCAGAAAGGATATAGAACAACTGCCTAATTCAGGCATTTTTTTCGGCTATGGGTCGAAATGCTAAACGTGTTATATATCCTAGAAGCGCTCAGGCATAATAACATCATGCCAGGAATTCTACCTGGCTGAACCTGAGAGGATATAGAACAACTGCCTAATTTCTTTTTTTCGGCTACGGATCGAAATGCTAAACGTGTTATATATCCTAGAAGCGCTCAGGCATAATAACATCATGCCAGGACTTCTACCTGGGTGAACCAGAAAGGATATAGAACAACTGCCTAATTTCTTTTTTTCGGCTACGGATCGAAATGCTAAACGTGTTATATATCCTAGAAGCGCTCAGGCATAATAACATCATGCCAGGACTTCTACCTGGCTGAACCAGAAAGGATATAGAACAACAGCCTAATTTCTTTTTTTCGGCTACGGGTCGAAACGCTAAACGTGTTATATATCCCAGAAGCGCTCAGGCATAATAACATCATGCCAGGACTTCTACCTGGGTGAACCAGAAAGGATATAGAACAACTGCCTAAATTTTTTTTTGCGGCTACGGGTCGAAATGCTAAACGTGTTACATATCCTAGAAGCGCTCAGGCATAATAATATGCCAGGACTTCTACCTGGATGAACCAGAAATGATATAGAACAACTGCCTAATTTTTTTTTACGGCTACGGGTTGAAATGCTAAACGTGTTATATATCCTAGAAGCGCTCAGGCATAATAATAACATGCCAGGACTTCTACCTGGGTGAACCAGAAAGGATATAGAACAACTGCCTAAATTTTTTTTTTGCGGCTACGGGTTGAAATGGTAAACGTGTTATATATCCTAGAAGCGCTCAGGCGTAACTATATCATGCCAGGACTTCTACCTGGATGAACCAGAAAGGATATTGAACAACTGCCTAAATTTTTTTTACGGCTACGGATCGAAATGCTAAACGTGTTATATATCCTAGAAGCGCTCAGGCATAATAACATCATGCCAGGACTTCTACCTGGGTGAACCAGAAAGGATATTGAACAACAGCCTAATTTCTTTTTTTTGACTACGGGTCGAAACGCTAAACGTGTTATATATCCTAGAAGCGCTCAGGCATAATAACATCATGCCAGGACTTCTACCTGGCTGAACCAGAAAGGATATAGAACAACTGCCTAATTTTTTTTTTTGCGGCTACGGGTTGAAATGCTAAACGTGTTATATATCCTAGAAGCGCTCGGGCATAACTATATCATGCCAGGACTTCTACCTGGGTGAACCAGAAAGGATATAGAACAACTGCGTAAATTTTTTTTACGGCTACGGGTCGAAATGCTAAACGTGTTATATATCCTAGAAGCGCTCAGGCATAATTATATCATGCCAGGACTTCTACCTGGATGAACCAGAAAGGATATAGAACAACTGCCTTTTTTTCCTACGCGTCGAAGTTCTAAACGTGGTATTCTTAGAAGCGCTCATGATTTTAGCTGATTTTGCGGTGCGCAAGAATGGATAATTTACCCGACTTGTAAACAGATATTTCCTTCAGCCGATTGTGTCTCATACAGGAGAATGTCATGTCTGCGTTGTTTTGTTTCCACTGAAGTTTTATCAAAGAAAGCTTAATAGGGAGATCGCAATTTATACTCTTACGAACTATAAATTAGGGCTGACCTGGAAGACGCGTTGAATTGTGCCGCCATCCTTCAAAATATAATCTGGCTGCGTTTAGGGAGACAATTTCCTCTTCCATCCAGATTTACTTGGTATATGTGTTTGCGAGAATCTTCAGACTAAGAATTGGGTATACACTGATTCGAATGGCTTGGCGATACTAAGTGCTTAAGTCTACTTACCGATTACAACATGTTTTGGAAGTATTGAGAAGCGCGCCAAACGAGGTTGTCACAGCGTTCTCGAGCGAACACGGCGCGACCTGGATTGATAAAATTACTTTTACATGCAGCTATCATGCCAGTGATTTTTCCTTTCGTCGCATACATGAATAGTTTGTGAGCACATCCTCGACTCTCGAAACATTTGTCTTGCGCCGCTATAGAAGTTGCTTCTCCCGCGAACCATAGGTAGATTTCCCGCTTAACATAATGTTTGATAATTTATGCAAAAGTTGACCTCGTGAAAGTCAGCAGTGCATTAATCGACTCAAAAATAAACAGACTTCCTACAGGGTTTTGAACACGGTTTTAATTAAAGTACTTTACGAGCGCTGCGGTAGTTGACCGCAAAAGTGTTACGGTGATGGATACTCAACTGGATGATTACGTCACTTCATAGCAACCAGACGGTACGAATTTTTTAACTTCCGGAGCGCTGAGGCTCGTAGTGTTCGTGCCGGTCGGTATTTAAAAAGCTATCTGGTATCCCAGTAGATACCTGTGAATTCGAACTGATGAACTTTACTTGATATCATTGTAGGTTTATTACTGCCAAAGGTATATACTACCAAATGAACTTTTATACACCCCTCCGTAAGAGACCCAGTGGAATATCTATATCTTGACTGGCTTCTCGGAGAAAACGTCACTGGGTTGGTTTATTCTCCACTGAGTTTTTCTTCTCCTCTGTTCTTAGGGGTGGCAGGCCTTACATCGTTAGCGGCATGATTGCTGTTGCGAGATTGATTACCTGTACCATCTGTATTTTGTTGATTCTTTGTTTTTGTCAATGGTCTGATAATGTTTTATATGTTTGTTTCTTCTAACCTGGCAAATGTGAACAACGGAATACACTGGTCTTGTAAGAGTCACGATAGAAAGTGACCGGGGAAGCAAAAGCTCGGCCGGGTAGAAACAAACTATTCGTTGGGTATTGAGAAGGCTAAATTATCACTGGGTAGACTTAATTAAACCACTGAGTAGGATTTCAATGGATCTGTTACAGAGGGGTATTTTATATACCCTCTTTTGTTTTTATAAGAATGTTGTTTTTTGAATATTCTGAATATTCTTATTTTTTCCGGCGATTTTAGGCTGAAAATATTCTTGTATTATTCTTAAATTGTAGCCTTTGACCTTTTTATTTTGGAATCTATTGGTGTATAAATTGCAGTTATGGTAAAGGCACATTGTTTTTCTTTTTGGTGGCTAGCTTTGCCTTTAAGAGAAAGAGTAATAATTTCACGGTTAAGCTTAAAACATATAGTTGTATTGTGTAAACAGATTTTTACCGGGGCATCATTTCGCATTTTTAATATTCCTTTACAAGTGCATTGGAGGTAATAATTATATTCTATTTCAAATTTGTAAACGTAATAGTCTGTCAGTAAGAATCACTCTAGGACACAATTGGCCAATATATAATTATTGGCCAAGAGAGCTCATTCTCTCTTGTCGTTTTTCTATTTTTCCTGCATTTAATACTGATAACTGCCTTGTTGAGAATGTAAATTGCTCATTTCCCAATTAACTGTGTTGAGGTATTTCGTCTTTCTTGTTACCATACGGATGCTTTACACAGAGATTAGACCTTAGAAAATTTTTATAAATTATTTTGCTGTTGACCGTACGTAGATACTTGGGGGGGGGGGGGGGGGGTAACTTTTCAGACAATGATAGATCAAACGCTGGATAGTGCTAAACACCGGATATATCACTATGCAATGGATAAGTATTAGGAAAACCAATTTATCCACTGGATAAAATATTTATCTGGATAAATCAGTATCAGTATTCAGTGGACAATAGTGAGGGAAACCAATCCTAGAGGCCATTTCCGAGTTCCTCCGGGGCTCTGTCAAAACGAGGTTAAGTGCTCAGCCTTTGATATGGAAATGATTTTTCATTCTCATGCAAATAAACATTTTCACAAGAAAGTTTGTGCACTTGGCCTCATTTTGAAAGTGAGGGTTTTTGGAAATGAGAAGTGGCCTATTCCGTTGTCGGCTGGATAGAGATTTTTATTCAGTGGATAGCGTTTAATTTACCTTTTGAAAAGTCGACGGATTAAGTCAGACAAATCATTCGTACAAAAAATCATTCCATTTGATGCGAATCGCCAATTATACAACGTACAACCCGTCACTAGTGTGAAAACGACTAACAATTCCTTTTTTTCCAGGTATGGCAATGAACGGAGAGTACGACCGTCTAAATACTTTGGGATGGAAAGAAAATCCCAAGAAAAACGCCAGTATTTTTGCCATTCTTTTCTACCGGTGGGTTGGGGAGATTGTTGCCATCGGCAACAAGTGCCCCATTGAAATCGATGATCTTTTCCCTTTACTGAGCGAGGACAAAACTGAAACTTCAGCTGAAAACCTCCAACGGACATGGAGCGAAGAGAAGGCAAAAGGTGTGGCTGTGACAGACAGAAGAGGTTATCGACTGTTCAGAGCTCTTATCCAAATGTTTCCTTGGACTTACCACCTGTTTGTTGCGAGCGCTGCTTTGTTAGCCGGCGTTTGCAATGTCCTTCAGTGCGTGTTTTTGAGTTTGTTGTTAGCGCAGTTTGTGAAGTCTTCCTCCTCTGGTCGCTGGCTGATGTACGTCTATGCTGCTGGCATTTGTCTTAGTTCACTGGTGCGCGCCATTGCTACCCACCAATGGGTATTTCATGCTTATTTAATAGCTCTTCGGTGGAAATCAGGAACTGTCGCAGTTATCTATAAAAAGGTGAGAAAATGCATGCGGCAAATTGTCTAAGCTCTAATCGACTGAGGGTAATAATACAACCAAACACACACTTGTTTTCTGGTCAATTACCAATTCAAGTCTCATATGAAATGAGTAGCAACATTCCACCTACGTCGAAAAAATAGACAAAATGGCGGGCGGATCTCCCTGAAGGCCTTGCGTGTCCCTTTCCCCATGCAATGAAGCCGATTAATGAGGGGAGGGGATAGACTGCACGCACCCTTTCCTCGAATAAAAGCCGTCCCTCGATTAATCGTCCCCCTTTAATGGAAATATTCAAAATAATCGCCTCCCTCTAACAATCGCCTTCCCTCGAACAATCGCCCCCTTTTAATACGAAAATAGAAACAATAGCCCAAGGCTATTATTCGAGGAAATACCTTATACCAAGTATGGCCGGCAACTGCGCTCTAACAATGAAGTCTGGAATATCCAGTTTCTTATGCCAAGCCAGTCTGAGCGTATTTTTAGATGGATCCCGTCAACGAGTCCCTACTTACGACCCCAGCGCGTGAGAAATGTGAGAGTGAGAAATATCAACTTTCAAAGTTTTTTAAAGAGCGGAAGTTTGAATAATTAGATTGTATTCGTGCATGCTCCATCGGTAACTATTACAATTATTACATTTAAGCAACAGAAAACGTTTTCCGTGTTTGCATAGCCTGATATAAACACGAGAGGGGTTGCGAGACAGTTATGCAAACCCGAGACGAAGTCGAGTGTTTGCATAACTTTCGAGAATTCTCCCAACGCCTCGAGTGTTTATATCAGGCTAAGCAAACACAGGAAAAAAGTTTTCTATTGCTTTTATGAAATCACTTTCCCGAGAAAAAACGCAAAACTTTTTGTATGGCACTGATTAAAAGAGAAATTCTTACCAGTCGCAAAGTCTTGTCCACGAAGTCTTGTTCTTGTTTTGCAAAAAGATGCTTTCCAAAATACGGATTTTTCTCGCTTAAAATGTCAGCTTAAGCGTAGAAAAATTGACACACCTTCTTTGTAAAGATTTACCAAGTTTCAGCCGACGAAGGAATGGGTAAATAAATAAAAGATGTCGAGTTTTGAACTCGAAATTTTTTTCAAATTCTTGCTTGCGTGATTAGCGCGCGAAAAGCAAAACATCTTGACGCCACAACCATGTTTACATACTCACATGCAAACACTCCTCTCGGCCAATCAGAGCGCGCGTACTATCTTAGTTATTTTATAAATCTTTTTAATTCATCATATCTCTGAAACGCAGGTCTTGAGTTTGAATCAAGAGGATTTATTAAATGTGACAAGTGGCTGGATCATTAACCTTGTCGCTGGTGACCTGCAACGTTTTGAACTTTCCGCATTGAGCATATTTCTCCTACCTCAAGCCGTATTAGAAGTGTGTAGTATCTCTTGTCTAATGGTGTACTTCTTTGGGTGGAAGCCTGTGTCAGGGGTAGCTTTTATGGTCAGTCTTGCGTTATATTACGGAATAGCTGGACAAATCAGCTTAAGACTGCGAACGAAAATTTCTCATGTGGCGGATCAACGCGTGGATATGATGAATTCCATCATTTCTGGAATTCGTGCCGTCAAGATGTATGCTTGGGAGGGATCGTTCATGGAAAAAGTCAAACGGATTCGAAGGTATATTACAAAGACATAATTAACTATTGAGACCCATTCACAGTTTTTTTTTTCAAGTTCTGACAAAGACCAGTATGCGAATATCCATCGACACTACTGGACAGAGGTCATTTATAATTATATAAGGTATTTGTATGGTAGGGAGCGCTTACTTGCCCTCTCCCCCCTCACCCACCATACAATTGTCACTGTAAATTACGCGACTTTGCGGTGCTGTATCTTCGTTAGTTTAAAACAAAGTGACTTTCAAACTTGGAACTTTACCTATTTTTAAGCGTTGCTGATCGATGCTCGTTAACTAATCTCAGTCAAAAGTTGAAAAAACCGTGGAAAGATCTTTTCCAAATTTATTAACCAAATATATTTCTTCCAAATTGGGTAAGCATATTGGACCCGTCATTTCGCACAAGGCTACATCGATGCCAAAATCATCACATCCAGCTATTTCGAGAAAGGTCGTCGGAAAAAATGTGCACGTGACAATCCCGAAAGGTAATATATAATATAGGATATGATAAATACACTGTTCATGATACTGTACAGTAGTTGTCGAACCTACTTTTGATGCGTTCCTTTAGCAATCGCAAACATTCGTTCATGCCCTTTGTTTCATGCCATTCTTTCTTTGAGGAACGGTACACTAAAAACCACCAACAATACCTTTCGGGATTGTCGCGTGCTCTTTTTCTGACAACCTTTCTCGAAATAGCTGTAAACTCTACTAGACTTGAAATGATACCTAGGCGACTTTTGTCCCCGCGTAACTCCCCCCTCTCTCCTTTCATTGCTCTGTATTCGTTTTCGTTATGTCACCAAAGATTTCATTCCAAAAGGAGTCATACCGGTGCGATTTCATTGCAGCTTGATGTATAGCGTGATGTCCAGCAACAGGTATCATGTAAACGAACAATAAAGAACTCATTACAGTTTAGATTCCACCCAGTCCCACTGGACTAGAACTAATGGTGTAAGTGTAATTTTAATTTGTCAATCCTCGGCGCCGGCGTCGTCATAATCCATAGAGATATATGGTACCTTTGCCTCCTTCACAAGCTTTCCTAAAGCTTATTGGGAAGAGGGACTCATATTACCGGTGATGGAGACAAGGCAGGGAGAGAGAGCTGAGAACAAGTGAGAAGCGCGTGAGGGGGATGATGGGAACGAGTGCATAGGAGGCCTGGATACGAAAGGGGTGCCTTTTCTGCTAAACATAGTATATAAAAGGGTAATTTAAGGATTGGAACTCGGGGCGGAACCTCCTCGTATAAAACTTTGTTGAGTACCCCTCCGGGTTCAAAATACATCACTATTAAATAACGCCCTCGGTCAATTTTTGCAAATTGTAAGGATACCCGCTCACTATGGTTTTTTTCCAGGACCGAAATCAACCTCATAAGAATGAAAACGGTGATACTGGCAACCTTCGCTTCTCTTTTTTTCTCCTGTCAAGTGATTGCGACTTTCTTCTCACTGGTTACGCTGGCGGCTACTGGAACTGAACTGACTGTGTACAACACGTTTTTGATTGTATCCTTTGTCAACTCATTAAGGACGACCATTTCGTGGAATATTGCAAGGCCAATTTATTTATTGGCCGACTTTGCCGCAGCGCTGGCTCGCATCCAGAAGTTTCTCGAATTTGAGAACAAGAACACACACAGATACCTAAAAGATTCCTTCGGCGATGCGATAAATGTAAGAGAGGACTCTAGCAAGCGTTATTACCCATGTGTTGATCACATCAATGAAATAGCAACCCAGTCCAGCCAAGATTTTGCTCTGTTACTGAAAAATGTCGCATGCAGTTGGACTGGCAAGTGGAATAAGTTAACTTTGAAGTCCTTAAGTTTATCTGTCAAAAATGGTGATCTTGTCCTTATCACCGGTCCCGTTGGTTGCGGCAAGTCGTCCCTTCTGTACGCCATTTTAAGGGAAACTTCTCTGTTTTCTGGCAGTGTATCTTGTCACGGTAAAATTGCCTGGGTTGGTCAACAGCCTTGGGTGTTCTCGGGTACCGTGCGAGAAAATATCTTGTTTGGTGAAAAATTCGATCCGCACTCGTACCGTGAGACGATCGAGGCGTGTGATTTAATCAGAGACTTTCAAAGATTCCCAGATGGTGATATGACGCTCGTAGGAGAGCGTGGAATAGTACTTAGTGGTGGTCAACGAGCTCGTGTTGAATTGGCACGCGCAGTGTACTCCAATGCTGATATATATCTTTTGGATGATCCTCTGAGCGCAGTTGATGCAAAGGTTGGCCAGCATATTTTTCAAACATGCGTCTGTGGATTATTGAGCAAAAGTACTCGGATAATGGTCACGCATAATCTTCAGGCTTTAAGAGATGCCGAAGACATTGTAATACTGAAAGAAGGTACTCTTTCAGCAAGGGGCGATGGTATCTCGCTGTGGAAGTCCGACATAGCCATGAATGAAATAAAGAAGTGTACCGATAGCAAGAAAAATATTCACAAAGCACAGGAAAGTACATTACCTCCAAACACGTTGGGCGATGAAACAACAGTGGACGGAGAATCTGGTTTGGAAAATGCCGAGGAAGATCGTGCAGTGGGTTTTATATCTTGGAAGTTATACTGGCATTATATACGAGCTGGAACGTCTGCCATTTCAGCTGCGGTCATGTTCATCTTTATTCTTCTTGTCCAAGGTTAAGAGTTGAGTATGAGTTCAGTTATCCTATAAGGCAACTTTCTCTCCAGGGCATTTCCCTTAGAAAATGGGTGGGGCGCTGTTACAGTGATATGGGCATCCCCTTCTCATATTATCTTAGTGATTTGGGTTAGGGTTAGGGTTACAAGGGATGCCCATATTACGTGGGTTTGGGGAATGGGGATGCCCATGTCATTGTGACAGCGCTCCTTTTGTATGGGAAAAGTCCCGGGGACGACGCTGCCTGTAAGGAAGTATCTTAAATGATGGCACCAGGGTAGAGGGCACTTTTCATGAAAATAAAGACATATAGAGTGTTTACCCAGGAACAGGGTGTGGCCTTAGGGCTTCTTAACCCTCTATATAGAGTTTTCTGAAGTCCAGGTGACATCGAAGAATAGGGTGCTACATGCTGTAAAGTTTACAAACCATCATACTTCTTTTAGAGATTTAATCTCATAGACTATCATACCGTTAGTCAATAAAAGTAAGTATAAGTTAAAATATATCTAGCCAATTTTTTGAAATCGAACCTAGCGAATTAAAATTGCACCAATTTGAGTGAGAAAAAAGCAAAAGGCAAGTCAATTTTTGAAACCGATAAGCTTAAAAGTCACACCAGCGAGGGAAAAAGAAAGGAGAAAAAGCGAGGAGGAAGAAAGGAGCCAGGAGAAGAGGAAAAAAAGCAATGGTTGAACTCTTAGTTTTTATATTGGCTACTTTGGAGATAGTTTTTGGACGAAAAACTGCTGAAGCTATTGGTGGTGCCCTTTTCAATAATTCGGTTAGATATATTTTCAAAACCCTGTATTGGCCAGCGCCATAAAATAACGACGAGTAAGGGTAAACAAAGTTTAAAACTAAAAACTAAAAAGTTTTTAAATCTACATATGTTCGTGCCAGAGCACTGAAAAATGATTGTATCCTATTGTTATATAGTCTGCTACACAGCCGTTTTTAGTGTCGTCACGCAACGCTCCTCCCTACTAAGTCCCCACTAAGTTAGTAGGGAGGAGCGTTGCGTGAAGACAGTAAAAATGACTGTGTAGCAGACTAATTGTTATAAGGTAGTGAAGTGGGACTCGTTCCAGTCAAAAGAGATATTTTTCCTAGATTAGAAAATTAGCCATACGCTAAACACAGTCTCTACCTTCTCATTTTCCTTACTGTCATGTCTGGTCAAGCGTGCTCGTAGACTCCGTCTAGGAACTGAGTCGTTATTTGAAATTTGATCTATTGGTTGTTGTGATAGTAGTACGTGTAACGAATATAATGGATTCCACCTATAAATTATCAGTTTATTAATAGAAACTATGAATGTACGCTTGATCTGGCGCAATTGGCGATTGAAAGAAGAAAAGGACTTACTAACGCATGAACCTGTCTTCTTTATGTATCGATCATAAAGCATCCCTAGTTCTTCCCGACTGGTGGCTTCTTCAGTTGACCAGTAGATCACGTGATCCCCAGCGTCAAAGTCAAGACCTTTCAATATATGGTTACCTGGTTGGTGCAGCTTTCTTACTATCGACCATCAGAGCGGCCACGTTCCTGAACGTGTTGATTAACTCATCGATGAGCCTTCATAACTTAATGCTGTCAGTGGTAGTCAAAGCTCCGGTTTTGTTTTTTGACACCAATCCAGTTGGACGAGTGTTGAACAGGTTTTCCAGAGATATTAACATCATGGAAGAATTACTGCCAGAAGCATTTCTGATGGCCATGCAGATAATTCTATTCTGCATTGGAGCAGTTACACTTCAATCTGTGTTAATCCCCTGGATAATACTGCCAGCATTTCCGCTCATGGTTATCTTTGCTTTGATTGGTCGATATTACCTCAATCCATCACGTGACTTGAGGCGCATAGAGGGAGTAACTCGAAGTCCAGTGCTATCGCATTTTAGCAACTCTTTGGAGGGACTGGTGAGCATTCGAAATTACAACAAGGAAAACATGACTATAGGAGCTTTGTACAGGTTTGTGATTATAGAAGACCTTAATTAATTTCCACGACAAGGACTACGAGATTTCTCAATAAAACTAAGTGGTATGCGCGCGTGCACCGGTGTCATTTTGGCGGGAAAACATGATGATCAGCGTTATTCATGTCGTAGTGGTGAAGCAAGGTATGAAATGTTAGAAGTTTTGTCATTTTAGTTTTCCAGGTGTCTTCCTTTTTGATAATGCGCGAAAAAAATGTGAAGTCAAATCTCGTCCTCATAGTGGCTCTCGTCCTCGAATTTGGGTTATAGCCGGTCCTTTTAGAAGACAGTTACTTGTCACAAGTGCCTTTATCACCTTGATACATCCATATCTGTAAGGCCTGGGCCGGCAATGGAAAAGCTGAGTATCATCTGAAGAATTATGGAGATCGAGGAAGGTCTTATCCGCTGAGGCCGTAAAGATCATACGAAAGCCGAGTTCAATAGTTGTTTTATTATAAATAATTCTAGTTTAAAAACAAGCTAAAACATGCTTATCTCCATCGAAGTTAAGTTCATCTTCGATAGTGCACGTTAATCGGCAAGTTTAGGAGCGAAAGGGTTGTTCAGCTCTGCAAATATTCTCCAAATAGCAGATGTCACCCTTCGAATTATCTTCTTGCTGTTCTTGCTATGTTTTTAGCCAATAGTTCGCCTATTCCACAGGAAAAAATAATGGATTCCTATTTTTGGATATTTTAGGGTGTTTAAAGAATACCCATAAAAAAGTGGAAAAGTGAGACAAGTCCCAACCTGGGAATTCCCAACGAAGTTCCCTGATTGGGACTTGTCTCACTCTTCCAAATTTGGGATTTTGTGGGTATTCTTTAAATACCCTAAAATATCCAAAACTGGGAATCCGTTATTTTTTCCTGTGTTCCTTCCCGGTGAAACGAGTGATCGTGTCCGCCATATTTCGTTCTCACTACCAAAACAACTCAACCTCGACCCCAGGTCTTCTCGGTTAACGGTTCAGTAATCTGTGATAATCATCAGTTCAATATGGCAAAATTCTTCCAAATTTGGTCGACAATAGCTGGTTATGATGAATTATGCGTGTGATTTTAGCCAATCAGAAACGGAGAAATATTTTGAATGAATAATAATAAGTTTTTCGGGCTTTATAAAGAGAGTCGTGAGAAGTGACGCGTGACACGCTCACGGCTTCCCCCCTCGCTCGTGTGTTCTCTCGTGGCTACTCGCTACCCTTTATACAAATAGTGAGCTTGCTCGCAGGCTAACTTGACATGAAAAAACTTATTTTAGTGTAGCAATAATGATTAGCAAACGATATCAGTAAAAAGGAAAGTTGGTCACGTGGCGTTTGCTCTAAACGTGATTTGGTTGAAACTGGAGATAAAGAATATGGAAAATTCTCACTGGGGCTTAAAAGCACAAGTATATATGAGCCGTGTTTTGGACGAAAAAAGGTATATCTCTTTCGGCTGGAGCATCCCTTCATCTTGTAGACCATTAAATGGGTACCCCGCGGGCTTTCAATGAGATCGAAAGAAAGAAATTCTTTCCTAGATTTCATCAAAGCGAGTTGATTGATTAGTTTTTATTTTGTTTGTTTATCATCAGATACCAGGATGACCACAATCGAGCTAATTTTGCCATTTTTGCAATAGCTAGATGGCTAGGCATACGTCTGGACATGATCTGCGTCATCTTCGCGACATTTGTCATTTATGTTGCAATCATTACTCGATCTAAAGCAGGTAAATTGAAACAACAAATGGCCAAGTCAAAATGTGCAATATTTAATTTTAGGACTCACGGATTTAACTTTAAATCCTTGAGCCCCAAAATTAAGCATTGCACATTTTGGAACGAAGGATTTTTGTAGCCATATCTTGCGCGATTTATTTTGTGGGTGTTTTTTGCTAGTCACACCTTAACTGGAACGTGATTTCACCATAATCGTTAGGCATAAAGTTTGTTCCTTAGCTCCATCTTGTTATTCTCCCTGATGAAGCTTGGGGTGTAAAACCGGTCGAAGAAATAAAAAAAAGGTAACAACATGCTCACCTTGCTTCGTGCTGCTCACTAGTGTTCAATTAAAAAATATATATCATTAAAAATATTTAAAAATGCAATAAATTGTACACCTGAGCTCACGATACAGTCATGTGACAGTGGTCAGCGGATACCCTATTTTGACAGCTGTCAATTGACCATAACATGTAGGTCCAATATCAAGGTAAACAGAGGTTGTATATGCGTTGGACTCCAAGCTAGTAAGTTTGACATTTCACACGCGCTAACACGAAAAGACAGACGTAAGGACAGACAAACGGATGACTTTTTCGCAATCAAAATTTCTTGAATGCATAGATAACCAAAATCTAGTATCCATAGTGCTCCACTGTGCACGCTCTGCTGTAAATTGCGACTAGAAATGTAGTTTTTGTTTCGTTTTTGCTAGGGATTGCAGCATTATCCATTGTATACGCCCTGCAGCTTGCTGTTGACACGTCTCAGTATGCCGTTAGGATGTGGTCACAAGCTGAAAGTTACATGACGTCCGTGGAGCGTGTCGTCAAGTACAGTCAAGCAGAACAAGAGCCTGGGTACCAGAATCATCGACAGCCTCCAGAACATTGGCCCCAGTACGGTCAATTACAATTAAAAAATGTGGAACTTGTTTACTACCACGGCGGACCCAAAATACTTAAAGGTATCACTTTTACTATTAATCCACAAGAGAAGATCGGAATTGTTGGTCGCACTGGAGCTGGCAAGACTTCATTGATTGCAGCCCTGTTTCGTATGCCTCAACCAACTGGTTACGTCATCATCGATGACGTCAATGTCGGTGATGTAAACATTCAAAGTTCTCGCCAAGCCATAGCGGTTATTACCCAGAATCCAGTGTTGTTTACCGGTACACTGAGAATGAATTTGGATCCTTTTGAGGAACACGAAGACAAGGAAATCTGGAATGCCTTAGAGGATGCGAGTTTGGAAGCCATGGTGAAAAAGCTTCCGATGCAACTGAACCAGCTGGTGAAAGAAAGCGGAAGTAATTTCAGTACCGGAGAAAGGCAACTTTTGTGTCTGGCCCGTGCGTTATTGAGGAAGAACAAAATTATTGTTATGGATGAAGCAACGGCAAATGTGGATCACAAAACAGATCAATTAATCCAGGAAACACTTCGCACGAAATTTAAGCATTGTACCGTGATTACAGTTGCTCATCGATTGAACACAATCATGGATTATAATCGAATTTTGGTTCTGGATCACGGAAGAGTTGTAGAGTATGACAAACCAGAAATTTTACTTCAGAATGAAGGAGGATATTTTTCCAGACTTTGTCGTAACTATGATGATAATGCCGACCATTAAGAACTAAATATTGAGTTGAACTTTAGCCTACAAACATCTTGGCGAGTTTTAGTTTCTAATCCTTCGAGGGATAGTTATTTAAGTAGCAACAATTGTCTCAATCCCTGAAATTTCTCTTTTTTTACTTAATTACCATATCTTTTGGATGTGAGCAGCCCTAATATCTAGGAATAAGAAGAAAAATACTTAGATTTCTGGGGATCATTGGGCTGATGGGGAGATTTAACCAAATGGGAGGTCTTGAATATTTTATGGCATGCCTGCCAAATCGAGGAGTGTCAAATATCGGTCCTGTAGCTCCATCTTTGAGCATCTGGACTTTTTAAGAATGACATAGGTTGCTCACCTGTTTCCGTAAACCGATCAAATAAACAAGATACTTAAAGTCTTAAGTAAAAATTTTGTGCAGTTAATTTTCCTATGATTCAGGGGCACCCAACGACTGAATGTTTCCGAATACGTTAGAAATTTATCATAATTGGTTTTAGAAGCCTGTTTAGTTGTTTAGTTTTGGAGCTGTCGTAAAAACTATTGATCTGTTCGGATATCATAGCGTGTTTTGGTTTGGTCGTCTTGAACATTTTAGTTGGCTTTTTCGTCTCATCCGGATCTCTAAGCTGCCCTGATGGATCATCTCGAAAGTTCGTGGACATGATTAAGTAGCTGTACTTTCGTTAGAATATTCTAAGGGGTATTTCTTTTACTTTTATACCGAAATTTCCGTTTATTCTTACAATAATTGCAACATCTTGGTACTAATGTGAAAAACTCAACCTCCGAAAATCGCGGGTAAGTTACGAGGGTCTATATTTAGCCTTTCTCGAGCTTTAAACTTTTCAAGTCAAAATTTGCCCCTTCGAAAACGTTTTTTCACAGAAAATAGTCGTTGGGTGACCATGATCATTTGTCTTGAGGGTGAGGGTAGCATCACCCTCACGTGCAGCACGGAGCAGTATTACTCTAGATCGGATGTTCACTCAGTGAACTTTGCTTGGCTAAACATGATAAACATCAGTAGATGATCACTTGACACACAAATGGGACAATGATTATGTTTTTTGAAGAGACGGTTTTGATCTCATCACGCCCCAGTCGTGTGCAGGATGCTTGTGACCTCAAACTCTCTACTGACTTGTGTAGATGAGCCTACTTTCGTCTTTAGATTTAATGTAATATAAAATGAATTCGTACCGACTTTGCAAACAAATTCTTTATTATTATTACTATTACTATTAACTTTTCAATCTCTTTAGCAATTTATTTATTTTATTAATCTATATTTTTATTTAGACCTTCAGTATGTTACGACTCAGTGTCCGATTTCCTCTAACCGCTTAGATTGGCACTGGGATGCTTGCTGGTAGTGCAGTTTGTAAATTATCTCTTTGTAATTCCTTGGTGAATAAACTCAAAGAAAAAAAGGACTAGTCTTCCGTAGCTTAGTTTTAGAGCATCTGCATTAGTAACCAGTTGGTCATACGTTAGATCCCTGTCAGGAAAATTTGTTTTTTGTTTGTTTCTTTCTTTTCCGAGTGGTCTGTGACTAGAGGATCTCAATCTCAAACGGCCTAAAAATTAACCGTCAACGATCAAAAACGTTATATTTTACCGTCAACGGTCAAAAAGGTTATATTTTACCGTCAAACGTCAAAAATGCAGATTTGATTAAACGTCAATCAGGTGATTTTCACAAATATCACGAGATTCTGGCTAAGAAGAATCTCTTAACTGTAAAACTCACTTCCCATTTTCTCAAAAATTGAACACACTCTCACACTCTTACAAGGTCTTGCAACTTGCTTATATCTGAAACTATTCCACTTTTTAAAAGCGAAAGGCCAAGACAACCTCCAAGACACAAAGATTGATATTAATTTATACATACATTAATATTTACTTAAACTCTTGGAAAAAAATCTCTCCTTAATAAAAGTTAACCGTCAAAAGCTCTGAATCTTAATCGTCAACTGTTAAAATGGGAAAAAAATTAACCGTCAAAGCTACCACCCCATCGAGACCCTCAAATAACAGAGAAGTTCTTACAGGTTTTGTTTGATTGTCGCCAAGTATCACGTTTTTTGCAAAAGGCGTACGTGATCATCCTGGATTTTGACAGTTTTCTACTGCGCCTTAATGAAATTAATATTCTCCGCCACATAGCTTTTAGATCTAACCGCTTAGAGCAATTTAAAAAAACATTGGCCAAACTTCTTTAACTAGGTGAATGATAGTGTACCTCCTTTGATACATATTCCTTTAAGCTACTCTGTACTGTTTCTCTTTTTAGATTAGCGTCTTCTTCTTTTAGTTTGTTTCCTTTTCTTTTTTTAATTTCCCTTACTTTTTTAAATTTATTTTATTTGTCAGCGGGCCATTGTGAAAATAGAAAATAGTTACTTTGCATATGCATCGTAACTGTTATTGTTCTTTCGTTTCATTTTCAATGTATTTAAATTTGAAAATTAAAGTAATGCTAAAATGAGCAATGTCAGAAAGAAACCTCTGCTGGCAGGGTAGGATCCCAGCACAGCGCCATGTCCCACTCGTCTAAGCGACATACGTCGATCAGGCGCGGATCTAAAGGATGAATACTGACCGATTTCCTAAATGAGGGGCCGAGTGAGAAAGCTTTTAAGGGAGCCCGGGGGTATGCACTCCCGGGAAGTTTTATGGATTTTAACTCCCTAAAGGTCCCTTTCCCGGCTTTCTGTTTCATTGAGGGGGTATCTAGTGCCCGGAAATTGGAAAAAGAAAACATTTGTCCAAACCATCAGTTCCAGGTTTCAACTTGGGAAGTTCTTTTATTACTAAATATATGATTATTATGAAAAAATCTGACCGATTTCCGTAGAAGGTGGAATCCAGTGTGTATTCGCGCCTGTGGGTGACCACTTGAGGCAGAAAGATTTGTGGGGACAAAAATACGTGACAAAATGGTTTTAAAAAATGAAAGATAAAAACAAAGGGGGTGAGTGTGCCTTAACATGAAAATTGATCGACTTGATTTTTTGTTGTTTTGGTGGGTTTTGGACGAGCATAGTAGCACGTTTCACGAGGCACGTTTTAGGTCACGTTTGTAAGGTACTATAAAAGTTCATGTCGAGCTTGAGGGCTCAGTTTGCCTCTCTCATCGAAACGGAAAGGTTGTAACGATCCCAAGCTAAGTATCAGTATTCAGTACGTAATCGAGAATGTCTGCTTCAAGGGAGGTGAGTATCTCCTACAATTTTCATTTTATACAAGAGAGAAAAATGAGCTCATTTTCTCTTTTACACAAGTGCATGGACGAAAAAATGGATTTGCACCAAATTTACTCGGGGCAAATATGTTGCAAAACTGTGAAAACTGACTGGAAAAGGTGGGGTAAACTGTACCTGTACATACCAATTTACATGGAGTTGTAAATTAGAGAGAGAGAGAGACCTTTAATTATTCGTATTAAAGTAGTCCATTCAGAAGCATTTCAGGGGCTTGTTTTGCTGAAATGTACTGCTGTTAATTTGTGCCACGATAAAAATTAAAACAATAAAACTAATAAGAAGACAATTGGGCTTTTTATTTTACCATCTTCGCTCCGTTTACTCCTCATTTTGCACATTTCCTGACATTTTTGCGACATGTTTGTCAGACAGGGACGGTCAAAGATGATCTTTTGTTGCTTTAAACAAAGTTTTTAGCTTTTATAAAAATAAGAACTGCCCTGAGTGCCAGCAGGTTATTTTTTGTTCTTTCTAAATCATGGAAAAGGAAACTGTATGCGAAGGCCTGAGCGTCATCATGGCCTGAGAATTGACAGCCGACTTTTCGCCAATGGTTTCCCCACGAAATAGGGAGCTGAAGCGAAGACGTTTTTGAGCGACGAAAGTCAACCGGAAGTAGCCTTTTTCCATTCTCGAACAGTGGTTTCGCCTTAGTTCTATGGCAAATCGTCTCTTTACGAGTTAAGACACTTAGTAATAAAAATTTAGTCTCGTAAAGGTACAGTGAAAGGAAAAAGACCACACTTCCGGTTGACGTGCGTCGCTCAAAAAAGTCTTTGCTTAAGGTGATTCCCTAGTAAAAGAACCTAACATAGATTGTAGATGAAACTTGGTACACTGATGTAACAAGTCAAGAAGATGATAAAAAGGCAATAAAAAGTGTGGGTCACAGTGCTCGTTTTGACGTCACAATGCTGACAAATACGGCTATTTTGGACCCTTTAACAAAAACCGCGCGCAGCCCAAAACTAGACAAAAAGGAAAGATATTTTCAATGATGCATGTGGTATGGCACAGAATTTGACTTTAATGTATTGTTTATCCACTTACGTACCGGAAAAATGCCTTTTAATGCCCTTGTTTTTACTTTACGCTCCAAAGTAGAATTAAATTGGACACGCGCTATTCGACACGTAATGGCTCAATCCGTACAATTTAGTAAAATTGCCAAAAAACTGAACATAGATTTGTGCCAATTTTTTTCTCACCGAAAGGAAGCACTGTCCTTATTAAAATCATGAAATAAAAAATGGGGGTCACCGTACTCGTTTTTGCGGTAGAGCTGCAGAAAGTGCGCGCCAAATGCATTTTCCTTGATTTTTGAGAGAGGACTGGGGCGAGTTTTAAAATAGAATGTATGCGAAAGGGGGAAGGAAGTATTCAAAAATCCGTTTTTACAGAATTTACATCGAGATATCACATTTAGGACACAATGTGATGAAGAAAGCGTTTAAATGAAAATCAAAGTGAATAAGCACTAACATCCACTATCGAGGTTCTCCGTGAGGAAGTCGAACTCAGCAACACGCTTACTGCTTGCGTTATGCACATTCCCACCACACCAAGTCTCACCTCGGCAAGAAACAACCGCAAGCAAAAATTGCAATAGCGCTTCTCTTCGGTCAACTTCATTTTAATGATGTTACTTCACATGCTCTTTTTTACGGAGGCCATCTTGTTATGCGCAGTAAGAGATGCGCAGTGCAAAACCAGGGAATCACCTTAAGCTCCCTAACGACG